AAAAAGGAACAGTTCAGTCTAATTAATGTCCGATGGCCCATTGACTTGAAAAAATATTCTATACATATGAAATTGACAGTGGGCGGGGCTACCCGACTCTCCCCTACATAAGCAGAAAATCTTTAAAATTAGACAAATTATATTTTACTGGGAAATGAAAACTTAACTTTATTTTTACTTATTATAATGATTTTTATTTATTAGTAATTTTGCATCCACATGAAAGTGACATCCCGCCATCTACTGGTGTATGTAGAAATTCTTGAACATTTTTCAAGGAGCATTTAACATTTTTCAATTTAATCTATGTAAAACCTGCATAACTTATATATTTCGAACATGATGAAAATAAAACTAGAAAATTAATTCAGATGAAATAAAAAAAAAAGAAAGAAAACTCAGTAACTTATTGAAAATAAGTATTTAACGAATTTAGAAAAAACATGAACAAGAACTTATATAAAAAGTTAATAAATTAATACTTTATACTAAAATATTAAAGAAATGCAACATAATAGAAATTCATGTGAAGATCTAAGGTAAGGCTGATAAACCATTAAGATTGTGAAAATTCGATCATAAGATCAAAAATTATTCAGAGTGTTCCATTTTTTTTTATTTTGTTTACTAAATGCTGTCAGCCAAGAGACACTGGCAGTGACTTTTTCAGAACGTTGCGAGCGATTTATGTTAATTTTTCATGATCAACTAATCGATACGAAAAAGTAAAAAGCATTGGTATATCAGTGAAGTCTGATTCTCGAATTCGGTGGAGTGTCAGACTGAGTAGAAGCGGTTAAAACAATCTATGATAACCTAGAAAATATTATAGAGCTATTAGAGAAGACTAATCGTAACCAAACTAAAATAAGATGACCAAACATACATTTTGATAAAGTGATCGATTAAATTTGAATCAACAAAAGCCAGAAAAATCACGCTTTAAAACATTGTATTAAATCAGACTTTCTTTTTTTTTTTAAAGTATATTTTTGAATTGCGAGTTATCTAATTTTAAAAAAGTCGTATATTTAAAGATTTTTGGATTTCTCGATGACTATTCGACCTAAATCACTCAATCTTTGTATTTTGTCATTTAAAATTAAATTTTTTAAAATGATGCAAAAATTTGTATACCTCTCACAATTCAAAATTTTTTTCGACTATCATAAAAGAAATTTATGGAAAATAATGAATAATTGTAAAATATTATTTTTTTGAAGGACTCATGTTTAGATTGATGAATTTGAGATTTTTTAGTAGATTTTATATTTTAGTGTGATTTTTTATTTTAGATTCTCTTAGGGAGTCAGTAGGGGCTATAACAATAATGCTAAAACTGACCTTTTTCTATGTATTTTTCTCCTCATCTAAACAAGATAATACTTCAGTTTTTTTCACAGAATATTTACATATACGTGTTTACACCGTGCGTGATAACTGTTAATACATATCTTCGGCAGAATTTTTTTTTTTTTAAAATTATGAAATGAGCATTTTTGATTTTTTAAAAAAGGTTAATCAAAAATCTTTCATAACTCAAAAAGTATTCCTATTATCGCTAAAACATTATCACAGCATACAACTGATATAATCTCAAATATTCCTAAATTTTCTTTAAAGCGATATCATAAGTAGTTTCTTAGAAAAAAGTACATCGAAAAAGGTCAGTTTTAGCATTATTGATATATGCCCGACCAACTCCCCTTAAAAATTTCTCTAGATATAACGAGATACTCGAAAATTAAAAATAAGGGGTCAAAACTTTCGATTGCTTTCCTGCCTGAACAATTAGGACCACATTTTTCAGATTGGAATTGATCCTTAAGAGTCAAAAATTCAAATCTGCAAATAAATTTATTTTTTTTATTCAGAGAAAGTACGTTTTTAAGTCTGAAATCCTAACTTTAAATATCGTCTGCTCAAATTAATTAGCATGTTTAAGATGAAACCCTCGAACCATTAATTCCCAGTACATGAAAATCCGATTATTAGATCAAAAGTTATTCAGCTTGTTCCGTTTTTTCATTTTGCGCACTGTACACCTACTAAAAAATGCAGGTGGTTATCACAGTTAATGATTTTGCGCATTTATATTCAAGAGGGGCAGCGCATAAATTTACACAGATATGTATACTTTAAAGATATAAAAATAATTGACCAAAGAAAAAAAAAATCAGAATAAATAATTCAACTACTAGCTTTGTAACTAATTTTAAATGCTTTAGAGCATAGGTTTCCAAAGTGGTCCACGTGGACCCCCTAGGTTCCATAGGAGACCACACGGGGGTCCACGTAGACGTGAAAAGAAAACAGGGGTTCACAAGTTGTAAGTGGGGTTCACGAGAAATTTTCTGGTTTTCATAATAAAGAACAAAAATTTTGGCTTGGATTTACCTATCAACGTAGGCAGGTAGTATAAATACGAATACCAAGAACAAAACGTTGCTCATTTTTTTCCGGGACTTTGAACATAAAAGTGTGACTGTGAGTGAATCGATTATTATTTTAGTAATTATTATATTTAGTAATTACGAAGTATTATTTTAATAAATAGGACACAAGAAAATGTGCTACTTTTTTTTTCTTCTGAACACCCCCGTATTTAGGGTGATATTTTTTAGGAGTTTTGAGAATACAGTAGAAATGTAGCAGCAGGGGGTCTACCGAAAATAGTAAAACTTTGAAAGTGGTCCACGAGAAAGAAAAGTTTGGGAACCTCTGCTTTAGAGAAACAAAAACAGAACAAACAGCTATATTTAGATCTTAACTTCGTTTTTCTTCAATTGATGTTTCAAATGGGCAATCATTATTGGGACATTATTACTTAATAGCAATAGAATATGATTTTATCAGTTCATTATGTCATTATAAATATCAATTAACTTCAGTAATAAAATTTTTTTCAAATAGTTTGGAGGAGAAAAAGATTTGCAAAGCATTGGTTACTTAGACTTCACTGTTATTCTATACACCAGTCAGTTTGTACCATGCACATCTTTGTTTTTGAAAAAAGTGCTCAGTTCATAATTTTGGCTGCAAATAAAATTGCAATTTTTTTCTCTCTCTAAAAGGGCATTAGCTTAACATTGGAATGTCTATAAAAATTTAAAACACAAAATGTGAATCTCAAGTTCAACGAGCAATCCCACAACTGATATTGTTATCTATAGCTGTTTTTTAAAGTTTTCGTTTGTCCAAAGAATTAATAAATATTGATATTGTCTAAAACATCGATATTTAAAAATTGGAATGTGAAGAACAATTACTTAGTTGAAGGCACTATTTCTCAAAAGTTATGCAGACAACACAAATAGTGTACTAGATTTTAAATATTAAGTAGAGAGAAAAAAAACGCACACACACATTCTAACATAGTTCTAAAGACTGAGATCGTTTTTTAACCTACTCCAACAATTAAATTGCTTTGTTTTTACATGTAAAGGATAAATAAAATAAACTTTGAGTTAAAAAAAGAAAATTATATTCCTTTGACACTTATTTAATACGAGGGTTGTTTTTTTAAAATTAAGATCGTTTTGTTGTGTACTTTAATAGGTACACATCGGATGCGGAATTCGTATAGACTGGGATTTGAACCCGGTTTGCCACATTGGCAGGTGAACGCTCTATCCCCTGAGCCATCACGGCTCTGGCTCTTTCGGATTGAAAGTTTTGGACCATAGAGTTGAAATACTATGTTTTGGACCACCTCCATCAGCCCAGAACTTGCGCTAAGAGATTTTCATCTTTTCCGATGTTCTAAACATTGTTTTGCCGGCAACCAGTACAGCAATTACAAAGGCGTGAAAACGGTTGTAACCTCTTGGATATCGGAGCAGGCGGCAAGTTACCATGAAGAGGGTATTCTAAATCTAGTTGTAAGGTATGATAAGTGTTTAAGCAAAATTGGCAACTATTTTGAAAAAAAAAAAGAGAAACGTATGTAGAATCAAAAAATAAATTTGCTTCATGAAAATTTTCTTTCACTTGGTTTTTATTTTCAAACGGCCCTTATTTATGAAATAGCCCCCCATATGTAATTCTTCTTATTGTTACCAACAACAGTTTTAGAAACTCGTATTGACTCCAAAGTGTTTCAAATCATATACATAAATAAAAATTCAAAGTGCTCCAAAATTTTTTTTTTGTATTTATTATATGAAAATGGAACAGTTAAAATGAACGATTTGAAGTTACTTAATCTATCGTAATATCGCTTAAAAAAGTGACGATGCAAAAGACTCTAGGTACTAAGCACATGATGATTTTATAGTGGCTGGATTCAGCAATAATATCACTTTGCATAATAACTTTGATTCTCTGTATTTAGCAAAGTTAAGCGGGTATGATACATGGATACACTATATCTCATTGCACAGTCAAAGAAAATATATGACTTAATTAAAATGTAGTGAAACAGATGATTACATAAAAGATCTTTATCTTACACATATTTACAAAATTTACAGTTTAAAAAGTTCATCAAGAAACTTTTTGTTCTGATTTAGGAGGAGGTACAGGAGTGGGTGGGTTGACGAGCCCTTTACGAACTAAAGGTGGTAAATTGACATAGTGATTGGAACATGTGTGTTCTTTAAGATAATCACCACCTTTTTCCTCATATTCTTGACGTGTGATAGAAAACTTCTTTAAATTGTCATTACTTGTGGCCCATTTCTTAGCCCCTTTCCAAGCATCTAGCATTACATCATCTAAAAGAAGAAAATTAAACAAAACAATATAAATTCAAAAGAAAACAAATGAAGAGCTTAGTGGATGAAGGTTCTAAGTAACATTTTTGAGAGTAAAATAGAGTTGTCAAAAGAAAAGTTTTCTAAGTATACTAGACAACTGTATATAGTCAAATGCACATAGAATCTTTCTCCATTACATAGTAATATATGTATATGTATAGCCACATATTATATACCATATTTTTTGAGCTCCTAAATTACAAAAAAGGTAAGGAATCAACTTATGCACTGGCCATTCATTTTAACATGATTATTTTTTTAGAAACTTATATGAGGCTCAGTTTCAGAAATTTATTATAGATAAATAAAAACACAAATCTATACGATGAATATAAACTCAAGGAAAAAAAACACGATTATGACAGAATCAGAACTTATAATAAAATAAAACGTTTTACACTATAACTGTGTGTTTTTCGAGTTGGTACTAATGATTTGAGAAATCTAAAACCATTGATCAGCGTAAGTTTCAGACACTATGTTTACAATCTCATCTGGCGGATTTAAATCATATTATATAATTAAAAGGCTGTATTCAAAAACTATGTTTTGCATATCTTTGATTAACCAAGTACTATAATTGGTTACAAATTTGCTTTTCAACAAGTCTGAATCCAACATTCGACTTATACAATCAATAAGTGTAAAATCTATTATTTTGAAGCTAAATAAGGGGTTCATTTAATCCTACAAAAAAATACAATAATTTTAATGACACATTTTAAAGAGTTCAAAATGAATGGGGGCAAATTGATGCATTTGTAATATGCACTTAACTAATTTTTAATTTTAAAATGTAAGATTACATGAATTAAGTCTACAAAGGTAAATTTAACAAACAAGTTAAGTTCTTAGGTAACTTAACTTAGGTAACTAACTTAAGTTCAATAAATTAACATAAACTTTATCCAAAAGTGACAATTTTACATAAAACTGTACCCTACTATTGTTTCCAGAAAGATACTTTACAAGTTTCCAGAATTTTCGTCAGATAACAGAAGATACTTGATCCATGGCGCTTTACAACAAAAACACTCTTCCAAAAATGAGACTTATTTTATACATTGCCCTTAGTTCTTCAATTTTTTCTAAAAAATAATATGGAAAAGGGAAAAGACAAAAAGAAGCAAAAACATAGGAACATGGGAAAGGCCATCTTCATCTGCAAGAAGAGGTTACAATTTTTGCATAAAATATAAGAATATTTCTTAAAAGTCATTCTACATTATTTTATTTTCATAGTTCCACAAATGTTACACATTTATGACCAATTTTACTGTTACAATAGATGCTAAATGACTTTCATCACACGCCCAGAGACAAGCATTATAACAATATAATGTGACTCCTTCACAAACATACAGGATGTATTTGCCCTAACAGTGTGGTGAAAAATTCGAGATTTCCTATCGTAGGTAGATGTGAAAAGTGTGGAAATGTAGTAGAAATAAAATGATGCAGAATAATTTTACGAATAATTTGCATATGCACCAATTAGTGTATGTGACCCCATGTTTCTATGTGGTATTTTATTCCTTCGGTAAGCCTTCTTCCCTTTTTTCCCATGTAATTTTGAGATAAAGTCGTTATTAATTTTCCTGTCTTCAAAGCAGAGGAAAACTAAAAAATAAAAAGGACTAACTAGCCTTTTCATTTCTTATGATTAAGCCTTTTAATATTAATGGACCTATAAAAGGACTAACCAGCAAGTTGTACAGTGAAGTTAGACTTGAATGGCCTTATAGATAGTAATTCTGCTTCCACTCTTTCTTTAATTAATGGTAAGTTTGCACACCCTCCAGTTATGAAAACATTCTGAAAATAAAATACATTATATTGAATTTCTTACATAAAATTAAGAAAAGAGTAGCAATTCAATTTAAGAGCAAAAGTAGAGACATCTATAATCTAGACACTTTACTATTGATTTATAGTTATGCAGATAACAAAAAGTTATTGTTGATTGAAAATATTCAAATACCCAATGCTTAAAAACTTTATAAATTGGATGACATTTTGTAAATAAAAAAAACATTTTGTTGAAATTTTGTAAGTTTATGTAAAATGACACATTCATATGCAGAGCCGGATAAGCTTCCTTTTATTCTTAATTTTTTTTCAAAAATAAATAAGCACATTTTGATTTTTCATGCTAGATATTTTATGGATAGGGTAAATCACATTTTACAATTTGAGCTGAAATTTTTTTGTTGAAAAAACATAGATTTTAATGAGAAACTTAAACAGCATAGGGTTAAATTTTTAAATATACTTTGAGGACATTGTGTATTTTTATTGTAATACTTTTACCAGAACTTTTGTAAAAATATTGCAGCAAAAGTACAATTTTTAACATAAAAAAAATTTTAAGTAATAAATTACCATCAATTATTTTTTTTCTCAGATTTTATTTCATATAACGAAAGTTTAATTCTTCAAAAACTTGTTTTAATTCATCCATCATTGCAATTAAATTTTTCAAGTTTCTTCTACAGGTCATTTTTTTATTGCTATTCTTTTTTTTACAGATAAAATCATTAGCAAGGAAACAATCTTAGTACAAATTTTGAAATTTTTCAAAAAAGTAGTAAAACACAGTGAAAAGTAGTGGATTTTTAATTTTAGCAATTAATTTTTTTTTAAAAAGTAATGTCTAAATAATTTTAAATCTAGGCTATACTTTTTCTTACTTAATTTTGTTATTCACTTAACTTGAAATGACCATGATTAAACATTTGGTAGATTAACATTATTTACCATAATTAAATAATTTAAAGAACTTTTCATAATTTTTCTAAAATTATTTTACCTCAGCTAGCTTTTGTTGATCAGCTGGATTGTAGCGTGCTAGTACCATTTCAATAGTTTCAGCAATTCCTGCTTGTTCAACACCAATCATTGTTGGTTGAAAAATAATCTCTGGAACTCTGCAAAAGGATAGAAATTTGTTATCATAGGTTAATTTTAAACTTTTATTATAGGTTAAATTTAAAAACATACAAAATGAACATGAATGTGTTGTGCGAAAATGTGTTACATATTTCATAAAATTATTTTAATTATAACTTCAATTTTAAATTACTAAAAAAATTTTTTTTAAAAAATAACGTAATACCTGATTTACAACATTGGGTATAATTGACTCCGTATAAATTCTATAATTTGAAGTAGTACTTGGTTTTTCTTTTATTTTAGGGGATTCATAATTGAAATTTTTTATGAAATTTTGGACTTTTATCACAACTAAAATGAAAGGAATCATATATTAACTCAGTAGCTCTTAGGTACTACCTATAGTAATTACTACATGCTTTGAATTTTGCACATGAGTGCAGTAAAAAAAAAGTTTACTCTTTTTAATCTGAACATGGATAACAAGAAATAAAAAAAAAAATTCAAAGTCATGTTAATTTTACTTGAATTTCCTATTGATACTAATGTTAAAATGTTATCTATAATTTGAATGTTTGCCCAAGTTTTGGGATATTTCGAAAATTTGATGTAGTAAAAATCAAATTTTTTATCTTTTTAAGTTTTTAGAAATCTTTTCCCGATTCAATCATCAACAACTCTATTTTAATTTCTTATAAACAGGGAAAAAAACCATTAATTTGTAGGATACTAGTAAACTGCTTAGAAAAGCATGAAAATAAATTGTTTGCAGTGTAACTGCTCCTTCTGTAAAGAAACATTTATCTTCAAATATATTCCTGATCTTGAAGATACCCAGGTTTCAGATGAATCACGAATCATATCTATCAACTTTTATCAGAATGAATGCAGGAAGTTTTTCCTAGAATCGATTATGAAGAACAAATTCAGATTGATAATGGAAACACAAATTGTGGTGAAACAACAATCGAAGACAACATTGTACTAAAATTGATTCAAAAATGGGATATTTCCTATGATAAGCATGAAGAAATTGCAGATAAGAACATAACTGATTCAAGATGTGCTCTATCTAAAGCAGTGTTTCCCAAACTTATGACTTTTGTGTACCCTTTCTAAATTTTTCCTAATGCTGTGTACCACTAACAACAAAATCAATGCATTTTTTACTAAAAAAACTGCACAAAAGTTAAAAATCACAACTGGCTGTTGACACCACTAATTATTAACTGTTAACTCTGTATAAAATAGCCAATAGCAAAATACGTAATCGTAAATTTTCCTGGCTAGATTTGTTTTTAATTAAATTTTTTGAAAATTTCGTTTGTTACAAGATATTTTGCATACGAACGCGTAGTCCCGCTAAACTGTTCCCGTACCCCTGGGGGTACACGTACCACACTTTGGGAAACACTGATCTAAAGCATTAAAAACGATTATTAATTTAAGACGGTAGGAGGAATCTAAGACTAATGTTAGAAAAATTTTATCTCATGCTGCTGATGTTTATGCTCCAGTGGAGTAAACGTTAATGAAGAGCTAGAGGTCATGAGTTCAATCCTAGTTGCTGACTAACAACTGGTATGTATGAGCAGCAAAGTGTACATTAAATGTGTCTGAAAGTATCCTAGTTGGTTGTGGTATGGACGGTGAGAGGGGAACCAATCCAGACACTGTCCACATTATCTGACTAGGGTAAAAAAATGTGATATTCCTACAAAGGAAATTAAAACAGAGAGAGCCCGTGAAAAATGGGGCCAAGTGCTTGGCCATGGTTGGGTAATCTGTGTGCTATTGTTAATTTTGTTAATAATTTAAAATTGGGCCAACTAAAACAAACTGTTCATGAATTACTTTGAGTGAATCCATAAAGAGATTAATAACATAAATGTGCATGTAAATTGTAAGTTTAGGAATTTCCAATTTATAATGAAATTTATTACAAATATAAGAGTTGAAGGTTATCATTAAAATTTAAAAAGATTTTAAGGTGAGTTCACTCTTTGAGTGAGTTAATAATTTAACAGTTTTATACAAACGACAGTGGAACACAGAATATATACAGTTTTGCTGATTAAATACAATCTGAAATTATTCAGTGAAAACATTTCAACACACTATTTGTAACATTAAAAACTATGGACATCATACTACCTTATTCTATCTAATCCTATATGTAGCTGATAATATTCTGCCAGATTAAAAGAAAAATTTGATTCAGACCTGTAAAGAAAAAAAAAGAACATTATTTTCAAACAAACTAAAAAAAATATTTCACAATCTGACATGGTTGCACATAGAAAATCTCAGTATGACCTATATTTTCCTTTGCATTACGAAACTGCTTTCACCACAGTATTATATAATGAAATAATGTACAGAGATCACAGCCTCCCTTTAAAGATATAAAATCTCAGTTCTAGCAATATAAACTGAATAAAATAAAATTTCTATAAGTGTATATTTTCATACGTGTTTCTAAACTTCTTTCAAAGTAATAGAAATTTTTTTTTCATACTGTAATGAGAGTGCAAATTAATGATTTCTAAAGTTAAAGAGTTGCTTAAAATAAAGAAATTTTTTTATGAATTTTTATCCTAGCTACTGAGTATAATATAATAGATAAACTTCATTTTTTTAGCAATGATTTTTGAAGTAGGAAAACATTTATCATGCAAAGTATTCATTGGAACATTCATGTTATATGTCTATTGTCTTCGGGGCAAACCAACAGTTTGTTTCAAAATGATTAACAAAATCGGACATTTAAGAATATTTTTAAAAATTGGTAATAACTTAAAAATAAGAAAAAGAAAAGTTGTTTATTATAGCTAGCAAATGAAACAATGTTCAGTGCATTCTAAAAAGAAAGTTAATTTGGATTAACCATAGCACATTTTCGAAGGGAAAGAAAACACAATGAATTAGGGTTACCAGAAAATTACGTTATAATACGTATACGATATATATATATTATACCTTATTATACATTGAAGATTTATTCAAAAATAAAGAAGTAATTAATATAAAGTAAAAGAAAACTAAAAAGCAAAATTTTTTCAGAGAGAATGTTAAAATATCACAATAATTTACTTATTCTAAAGTAAAATTACAAATTTCCCTTAATTTATAAATCAAATTAACAAAAATTACATACAATATTCACAAAAGTCTATATAATATTTAATTAATATCGCTCTCATTCCATTGGGGAATATTTAAGCTATTTGTTATCAACAGATTCTGAAAAAGGCACATACACTAGTAAAATTATTGAGACACTTGCAAGAAATAAGATTATTAGTCTAATAATGTTTGCGAAAAATATAAGATTGGCTACCTTTTTAATAGCGGGAGAAAGAAAAACTTTTAAAACATTTTGTCAAAATAGTTTATTCTATTTCTATTATACTTACTTTGAAAACTCACGATTGTATTCAGCAATGATTTCATCTAATATTTTAAGTTGCTCTTTCTTTTCTTCCAACTCCATAGTCTATTAATCATAATGAAAAATATTATTTTTTTATCTTTTAAAATAATATAGAAGTATATCTGGCAACCTTCACAGGCATTAATGATTAGATATGGTAGTCAAAAATATCAACTTCAATAGGGAATCGAAAAATGAATAAGTTATTTAAGTTAAGTTAAAATAATACAAACAAAACATAGAATTTAGTTATCATTGAACTCAAATATTGCTGCATTATTTATATGGAGCATCAAGGCAGTCTTTTTTCTAAAACTTTTTTTTATTAAGAAATATAAACTTAAGTTTTATCATTTAAAATAACTGATTCAAGTCAAGAATGATACAGTTAATATAAAATAAAATGAAGGAAGAATTACAACATTTTTATTAAATAAGGCATAATTAATTTATAGCACTTGATAATTTTGAGAATTACTATGAAAATTAACAAGTATATAAGAGTTTAAAATAACTTTGTTAATAAATGACACAGTTAGTATATAAAATAAAATGAAGGAAGAATTATGGAATTTTTCTTAAGTATTGCATTATTAATTTATAGAACTTGATCATACTGAGAATTATCAAATAATTAAGAGTTTAAAATAACTATATCAAGGAATAATATAGTTAATATTAAATAAAATGTAAAGAGAAGAAATAATTACAGAATTTTCATTAAGTATTGTCTAATTAAATTATAGAACTTGATAATTCTGAGAATTACAATGCAAGAAGAATTATCACTCTCAAATCTATTAAAGAAATCTTTGATTGCATACCCTTCAATTATTAATCAGAAAAATAATATTTTTGTATAAAAAATTTTTGGTGAAAATTTGCCACACAGAAAAAGCTATCTACAGTTTTTAGTTTTAAAATTGAACTTACAACTACAAATTATGTTTTAATTTATTTATGGTTTTCAAACAAAAAACAACTCAACTAGAAATTACTGGAGGAAAAGACACAAGTTCTCATTTTACTTACATATTGCTGTAATGATTTCACTTCTAGAGGGTTAGCAAATATACCTGAAAAAATAATTTGTAATCCGTAAAATGCACTGAAGTTATTACAAAAAGAAATAAAATATTAAGTCAAGCAGTTCTTATTAAAGGATACTCGAGTTTTTATTTTCTTTCTATCAAGATTAACTCATGAATACTTTTCTACAAGCAATACATTTCTAAAGCCAAATAAAAGCCTTTGATTTTAACCAAATTTTTGCTAGTCTTTATTATAAAAATTTTATACATTAGAGGCAATAAAAGTAAAGTAATTTCTGCATAACACCAAATATAATGGCACTAAATTAAAGTAGAATAACTGGAACATTTTATTAAAGAGAAAATGCATATCACAACACAAAAAAAGGTATATTTGCACAAGGATGCTTAACCATGTTGGATTGGAAACCTTAGAACAACTAGCATAAAACATAGATCCAGTATAAAGGTGTAAACGGGTGTATAAAAGTATAGGTAATTGAGAGTGTATAATGAATATATTTACCACCAAATAAATCATTTGAAGTTGTTGAACTAAAACCACCAATATGAGTACTTTTCAACCTGTCTGATTGCAGTTTTTGGTGAGCTTCAAATACTTCCTGTATGACATAAAATAGTTGCAATGAAACAGACACAGAAGTCATAATGCCAGATATTCTAAAGTTCATTGATTGAATAATTTTTATATGAAATAGTACAATGGAAGATTAGCACACTATGTGATATTAGACATAAAACATTTACACAGTAAAAAAAAAAGAATTGTAAATTGAATCGTAAATCGGATTAAAATAATTTTAAATAAACTAAATAAATAGAACAATTAAAATATTTGAAACAAGTTATCTCCATCATACAAGTTTTGATTTCATTTTCTAAAAATAGCAATAAGAATATGTATCAAAATTCAAACTTATAAAAATTCATGATTCGCAAAACTTTATAAACAATATACCGGGTAGAATTTCATTTACTTTGGTACTATGTGGATGATCCCACAGTTCATTTTTCAAATTATAAATTTTGCAACATATCAAATTTTTGCAATATTTACAATACATTAAATATCACGATGTACAAGCTATTCAGTAAGTTCAATTCAATGCTAGCCAATAAGGATTGTCAGTAACCGCAATCGAAATACGAAAATTGTGTTTGCATAATATAAAAATTTTAATTGTTCTAAAAATTCCTTTTTATTCTTCAAACAAGTTACATGAAAAAAAAATATTATAACGGTTGTTATATAAGTAGAGTATATGTGTCCCACTTTCACATGCAAAGATTTTTTTTCTTGCAAATCCCATATCTGAAAAGGTGCAAGATAATGCAGTAAGTTAATATGCTTACCTTTCTTTTCAATTTAAGTTCACTTATCCATGACTCGGCATCGGAAAAATTATTTATATTCAACATTTCACACCAATTCTTAAATGGTGAATCCTGGAGAAAAATATTTCAGTAAATCTTTGTAGAATAAATATGTTATTTTCAAGGGATATTATAAAATTCAAATTCAGAAATCAGTACTAATTAGAAATGATCAACAAAATTGTTCTGATATAGTATCAAAAAAGTATAGCTTTGGTGCTTTTTTTTTGTGTGTGGATATTTTTAAATATTAGGAAACCAAATTTCAATACTTTATAAAAGAAGCTTTGAAATATATGTATTATTTATTTTGCTCATATCACTTGGATAAAATTTACGATCACAACAAACAACATAACCTTAAAAAGTGTTCACTTAAAGGCAAAATTAGGTTGAATTTATGAAACAATGCATTATTGGAAATGCAAGTTAATATGTGAGGAAAACCATAGCCCATTATTTTTTTTGGGGAATTCACAGTTGTTACTAAGCAACAAACATGCCCTCGCTCCTGAAACTGCCCCTTCTCCATCTGCTCTTGCAACTGAATTTTTTTTTGTTTATAGGCATTACTTTTTGACAGATGAAGATGTGCAGATAGCAGATTTCCATGATACTGGAGTACAAAAATGTATCCAACAGTATCCAGTGGTTTATATGTTCAGAGATAGCTGAAATATTGTTGTATCTTTTGCAATAAATCTCTCCAGGTCAGTGACAGCGGAAGTATCTCAAGAATGGAAGGGGGCTCTCTACCCCGTATATATATATATATTAATCGGGTCTGAATAATCAAGAATTCTTCGAATTTGCATTTTCAACTTCATGATTCGAATTGTTTTCAATTGTAAAATGAGCTTAATGAAAGAAATTAATTACCTGTAAATTACTATCTCTTATTTAATGGTATTTTATTATTATTATTCTGTATTACTGTTTTTTTTCATTCTGTTCCATGTGACATTTGAATTCAAGAACTTTCCCGTCACTCAGCAATAGGGACATATATTTCCTTTGCAGGGGGGGGGGTGAGTAAGAGTTGATGAGTTTGGTCGAAGTTTTCAGTATGGAAATGTTAAACATCGCTTAAAATAGACGTTTTTATTTTTAAGAATTTAGACACAAAAAATTACCTATTTTCGTAAATTGTAAATTTAATTACATAAATATTAAGTGAAAATTTTAAATCATAGAAGTGGCTATGCCTCTTCATTTATAAAATGGGTTCCTGCTTCAGGTAAATTAGTTTCTTTTTTATAGGGTCAGGGAAACCCACATTCCGAATGATACTATCAGCCCAGGTTTCAATGATGCAGGCCTTCAATTCTGCTATAAACTGAAAGTGCTATTTTTTGGCTTGAACAGTCTTACTGAGCCTCTACTTATTCCTGGGAATATAGGTCAGGTAAAAAGGCGGGCAATGTGAAGATTTTGCAATGTAAAGGGAGGCATTGTCCTGATTGAAAATCTAAAGTGGGCAGTTGCAAATGGCAATAAATAGATTTCTCAAACTTTTTGATTATTAAAAGCCTTCAAAAGTTCATAAAGTTAGGGAAGAGGCTAACTAAAGTCTTCCCAGGCAACCTAGCTTTTCACCTGACTGCATAATGAAGAATGAATTGCAAAAGCATAATGAATTGCAATAAGGCATAAAACTGTCAGTTCATCTTAATTCTTTTATTTTCTACTCTCCTTTGCTTGTGGATTACTTTCAATATGGGCTATTACTAAATTTTTGAAAATTGGGAATTGTATGTTTGGTTCTCATTGGTGTTCTTTGCATTTAGTTATGGCACACAATCACGGACACACTGTATGAGAAAACTGTATTTAAGAAAGCTCCAAAGAATTCTTCAAAAGAATAAAGCAGTAAAAACGTATTTAAAAAATTAAACTATTCACTTGATTATCTTCCTGATGTGTGGCCATTAGATTTTTCAGATTTCTGATGTTGCAGTTCAATTTTTTGATACCAGCTTGAAGTTCAGTAGCTGAGTTGTATCCCAATTCTTGTAATGCCTGTGGAACAAAAATTTAAAAATTAAGTACATGAACACAAACTTTTTCTTTTCTTTTAAGAATTCAATAGCTACATCAATGTTAAGTTTGTGATAGCTTTGAGTTTGAAGAGCTCAGAGGAAGGAGGTTTTAAATAACTTATTTGACAAAATTTGATATTTTTCAGAAAAAGATCTTATTTGAATCACATTTAACTACACAACATTGGTTTATTTTGCTAAGTCAATGAGTTTTGGAGATTTAAGTAAATAAAAGCTTTAGCAGAAAGTGTTTAAATGTTTGGGAGTGAAAGTAAGCTTACAGTTAATTTCATATCAAGCAGTACACAAGTATGCTTAGAAAAAATTATCTTATTTCAGCAAATTAAAATGTGTAAATGTTTTTGGATTGTCAGAGCTATAGCACAAACAGTTTAAATCAATCTTAAGGATTTATAAATTTTACAAGTTGAAACCTCAGGGATAAATAAAACTAAATCTTTAGGCTTAATCTTCACCCCAATTCATTTCTTATTGTCAATTTTCTAAGTAATTTACTTAAATTCATTAAAATGCCACTTAGAAGCATCATCCACTTAGGTCTTCCATTAAATAAATATAAAACATTCAACTACAAATTTGGAATAAAAAAAGAGAAATTTTTAGTTTCATTTAGGTGAGAATCAAAAGATAATTTTGAAAAACACAAAATTTAAACAAAATTTTAATTATCATTACATGCAGAAGTATTACTTACTACAAGAGCAGTTTCATCTCCTTCTTCAAGTAATTCTTGAACAGTAAGATACTCCTGTAATCTTTCCTCATCACATGCAATCTATAGAGATGCAATTTGTTTAAAAAAATCAGTTCAACAAAATATGTTTGTCACTAATATTAAAGTATGGAGAGAAAAAACATGTCTTTATTATTTTTTGTAAGAAATATATCAAAATTAGTATTAAAGCTTTGGACAACTTACAAACTATTGCTGCAAAATGAGCTTGGTATTCAAAAAGTCAATCAATGAGTCTCATTTTATTTAAAATTAATGTTTTAAGATTATTAAAATGCAGGAAAGAAGCCAAACTAAAGGACAAAAAAAAAGTTTGTTTTTAAAGTTAAACACTCAGTCAAAATTAGGAAAAGCTTAAACTTAAACTCTAACGATTCAATTTTGTTTTAATAACTAACTGAAATTTGAAAGTTACAAAATTAAAATTTAAGCTAAGAAAAAACAGTGTTATAAATTTAAAAAAAAAAAAAACATGCACTTATTTAAATGCAATTTATTTTTTTAAGACAAAATCAACAAACAAATCAGTTTTTGTCTCATTTGAACAAACAAGCTAAGTTTATTAGATTGATGAACAAGGAACAAATCTTTTATAAGGATTTCAAAAAACAACACAAATTAAGTTAAAAAAGGTAAAAGGTAATTAAACAAAATTACACAATGTTTGCTTAGCTATTTGTTATTTAAAAACAACCTCCAAATACATCAGACTGTAAAATTAGATCAAACAAACAATTTAAATATTTTATATTAAAGGATGTTTACAAATAATATTATGCACAAAGGTTAAAAAAATATTTACTTTTTCAGCTCGTTGTTTTTGTCGAGCCAATTGCACTCGTTTCAAAAGTGTTTCACATTTCTCCATTTTTCCACTAGCAGAATTTACTGAGGAGCCTGGCAACTGATAAGAATAATTAGGCGAAAAATCAATGAACTTTTAAACTCGAAAATCAAGCAGTCATATGACATTTACTATAATACATCCAAAAATCTGATAACAGAAACAAAAATATAATATAATAGTTAAATCAAATGTTTAAAGGATAGAAGAGGGGAAATGTTTTACCCTATTATATAACTTTCAAAAAAATTTATATTATAATTATTTAAAAGTATAATTAGAAACACAAAAGAGTTTATGTTATATTATATAAGCTAAATAGTAAAAAGGAAATTTTCCTTAAAATAATTTAATTCAATTTCTAAAACGTAAATACATTATAAAAAGTTTCAAGCTCACAGGTGTTAACAACTGTTAAGCTTATAAAACAAACAGATGTATCTAAAACAGGACCCTAATTTATCCAGAAAAGAGAAAACTGTTAGTAAAATTATTTCATTTCTTGCTCCTTTTTAAGAGTCTATGAATTTCACATATTATTAACAGTTCTAAGGATGTATTTACTTGTAAGAAATTTCTCAAGTACACATATTTCTTTTAATCAATCAATACAAAATGGTAGTCATGAATAATTTACTTCTGAAAGACAAAAGAAATTAATCAGTTTTTCTCTTTTCTGGGTAAGTAACAATCCTGCTGAAAATCCATTATAAATTAATATTAAAATTCCATCTTAATCAATTTACATATTTGAGAGTTTAAATAAAATATACAAAAAATCTCCCATTTAATTAATTGTTTAATACTCAGAAAAGTTCAAATTTCTAAAAATTATAATAATTAAAACTATATTTAGCGAGTGATAAGTAATAAAATATGAACTATCATTTAACTATCTGAAAGAATTATACTAGATGAAAGATATTTTTAATAAATATAATATAAAATCAGGTTTTAAACAATAAAATTAAAAAAAAAAGGAAAATTGTTTTTAGAATTATTTAAGCTACTTTCTAAATGTTAAAGAAAAATGCAAGCTTACAGATGCATATGGCAATTGAATAACATGTGTATTATGTTTAGCATAATCCTCCTTCTCCCACAATCGTACATCATCTGTGAAGTTAGGGCTGAATTGCATATGTTCCAAAATTAAATTCTAAATATGAATTTTAAAGAATTTATTAGAAATGAGGATTAATAATTTGTCAGATATTGCAACACAGATAATACAACACTACACACATACAAAGATTAACAAATAAATTAAATAATGCAAATAAATTAAAATTTGATTCAGATGGACTAATTTTTTACATTGATTTGATGAATAGGAAAAATAATAGCAAATACTTGATGATGCATTTTCAGATTTTACAAACGCAAAAGTTAACATTTATAAAAGATTGGCTAACTGCTAGAGGGCAACTTGATCAATAACTAAATTAAATAATTACAAAGGAGAGTAATATGCAGATGAACTGGTCAATAAAGCTAGTTTGTCCTCTAATAGCATATTTTTAAACGATTTATCAATTATGGTGACTGAGGGCCATTATGTTTTCATACGTTTATGATTATTTTTAATATGCAGAGGAACTGGTCAATAAAGCTAGTCTTTTTTCTAATAGCATATTTTTAAACAATTCATCAATTATGGCGACTGAGGGCCATTATGTTTTCATATGTTTATTGTTATTTTTAATTCATGAATAATTAATAAACAAAATGAATAATTCGTGAATAATAAACAAAAATTATTTTTGTTTCTGTTGTTGCCAATAGAATTTATTTCAAAGCTAGTAGCTGTTGCCATAAATAACATTAATTTTTGTCATACACAGAAAGTTTTTCTTCTATGCCTCTTTTTTTTGTATCTATTTAGATCAGCATTAGTTTTCATAGTAATATAAATTTAATTTAAAAACAAACTTAATTTTCTTTTTTAAAGCTTCCGATACAGTTTTATTCCAAAATCATAGTAAAAAAAGAACCTTTTTTGAAAGATGATATGAAGTTCTATAAATTAATTTTTTTAGACTTAAGACTCAATTCATGGCTGTTGAAATGCTGTTCTGATTAGAAATGTTTTTCATAGTTTTATAAAATAAAAGTAAGCAGTGATTAAAAATAAGAAACCTACAAAATTATATGAGCTATAAAACTAGACCCAAATATATGTCCTAGAAATGAAAAGGTTAAAAATGTCTAATTCACTAAAAGAATAAATGTGAAACAGTTTTTTTCTATGCATGAAATATATTTAAAACAAAAAGTATTCTGCATAAATCCTTTCAATAATCCAATAATAATAATTGAATGGAAATAATAATTATTATAGAATATTACTTACTTCAACTCTGCTTAAAGTGATCATTGATGCATGAGCAGAATATTTCAACTGTAGCAAGCGATGAAAAAAATTTGTCATGTTATAGGTTCCAACATTTATGCGTTTAGCATTACGAACATCAAACCTAGAACGGATAACAGGCAATACATGGCAAGTGTGATGACCAAGAGATATTATTAATCCAAATACACCTTGAAAGAAACAGATAAAGATAATTAAAAAACCTCAAAGTTAAATAGTAGGTTTTCAAAATTGTATAAAATTTATTACTAGTAAAAAGGTTAATATACTTTAACATGAAAAATACATTTTATAGATTAATCAAAATTTATGATTAAAAATACATTATAAATGAAAAAAAAATGCCAGAGGTATTATTAAATTAATACATTTTTAAAAAAAAATTCAAAACTAGGATTTATTATGAATACGGATTTAAAAAATATGTGCAAAGATACAATGAGTAAGAAAATTTCGCTTAAAAATGTTTAGATAATCCTTTATGTAAAAGGTATTTTTCTTTTTAACTTTCTGTTTTTGTTCCTTTTAACCTTCAAGGTAAAGCACTTTTGCAACAGCCAGGTTATTGGTTAAGGAGGCATTGTGAACCAGCCACCTTTATTTCTTAAACAAGCTGATAGCTATCAATTTGAAGTAGGATGGGATTCAAATGGGGATAGAAGCCCAGTTTTTCAATGTCTTAATAACTGTGCTATTGTGGCTCATTCAATTTTTCACTACAGTGTAAAAAACATTGTTATTTTTTGAACAGTATAAGCAACTAAAAGATTTTACGAATTATAATCAAACATCATAAGGGAAAAATCTATAAATCAAAGTGTGTAGTGTAAGAAATAGGAGACAGGCAAAATAAAAACGTTATATAACACAGCTATGAGTGTTTCAAGATAAATTATAAGACATTGCAAAAGTGATTATACGAATAACATAGTAATAAACCAAAAAATATAAAATCAGGGCTTTCATCACAGAAATAAAAATTGAGAATTTCAAATCCTTTTTCCAAAAATAGAGAGATTTCTTAAAATTAAGTGAATTATAAATTATCTAAAAATTATAAGTTATCAAAAAATTATAAGTAATATAAATTATAATCTATAAAATTATACCCAAAAATTATAAGAGAACACAAATAGGCTTTAAAAAAATTTATTTCCTTATTTATACAATTAGAAATTTTTGTAATATCTCATTTTATTTTAATGCGTTAAATATTTTTGCCTCATCATCACAAGGAAATATTCTACATCTATTTTTTCATCAGGCTGTTACTTATTTACCTAATTTAAAAAAAAAATTATTTCAGCATACTTTGAACTAATAGAGATAAGTTATTTAAATAAAGTGAAGTCTCTATTGACATTTGCTTAATTTTTACTTGTTCGTTTTGAAGTGGAAGATGGTTTCTTAGGTATTTTTCCATCTTAAATTCAAGCATAAAATAATGAAATTAAATGTGTTAGGATCTCAATTGTGTTCTGAAAGGGGTTCCTTGGTTTAGGGGGTGCCAGTTCTGAACAAGACGAGAGAGAGAGAAATGAGATAAGCTGAATAAATGTTGAAAAGAATAAAAAATAGCGGAATTTGAAAATTTTTCAAAAAATATAGGATATTTGTGCATTTTTAAAATTGGTTAAGAGAGTGCCCGAATTTCTCGTGTTAACAATTTTAAAAGTGAGAAAAGGAAAAAGTATGTGAGTCGCCCATGCTGTAGTGCAGTGTTTCCCAAAGTGTGGTACGCGTACCCCCAGGGGTACGGGAACAGTTTAGCAGGGGTACGCGTTCTTATGCGAAATATCTTGCTACAAACGAAAATTACAAAAAATTTTATTTAAAAACATAGCTAGCCATGAAAATTTACGATTACGTATTTTTCTATTGGATATTTTTTGCAGAGTTAACAGTTAATAATTAGTGGTGTCAACAGCCAGGTGTGATTTTTACTTTTTGTGTGATTTTTTATAGTAAAAAATTCATTCATTTTTTTATTAGGGGTACTCAGCGTTGCGAAAAATTTAGAAAGGGTACTTAAAAGTCATAAGTTTGGGAAACACTGCTGTAGTGAAATCACTGTGAAAATTATGAAAATAAGAAGGTATTTTCTAAGTAATTGCTGCATCAAATAACAAACATAAACATTTATAAAGTTCAAAAAATATCCACAAAATAAATTTTAGTCAAACAAAATAAGTAGATTCAATAAGAAAGAAAAAAATTAAAATTTCCTGTGCATTAATTTTCAATTAAATTTAAATCACAACTTAAAAAAATTATACAATTACCAGTTATTTTTGGTCTGTAGTTATAAAAGCTGAAGAGAGAATCAATGCCATATGCAACTGATGGCACATTGTAGCACTCGAATAAAAGTTCAGACATCACTGCAAATGAACAAAAATGTAAATTTTCCAAACATTTAATCAAATAATATAATCAAAACAACTTTTTTTTAATTAAATCAATTAGAAATTATTTTTATTTATTCTAGCAATATTTTTTAATATTTGATATGAATTAATCTTATAATGTTTATGTTTTGTAAGTTAATATAAAAATATACATAAATTAATAAGTGAATGTGGCTAATTGCTTAAACCACTCTTTGTTATAAAATTCTCAGTAGGTCAACACATTGTTCGTCTCATTAACATAAATGGATCAAATACTAATTTATGCTATTTTACTATAATTTAAAAAAAAAAAAGCATAAGCATAATTTTTAAAAAAAGCATAAATTAAAAAAATTTTCTAGGAATTTTTATGCTTTAATTTACAATGCAAGAGTGAAACAAAATGTTTTCAAATATTTCACTAAGTAATTAAAAAAAAAAAAAAAGCTTGATACTTAAATTTTTGAGCAATTAAATTTTTTCCTTTTACTGCTTCAGAGAAAACATGAATAAAAAATAAACATCATTAATAACTTTATATAAAAGAAACTAAATAAAATGATATCTAAATTAAACATTAATTTTCAATTCTTAAAATTATCTTTTCAAAATAACAAATAATTTTTACATTGCCTTGAGTAATTTGGGTTACAGACAGCTTCAGTAAGTACGATAGGATGGTCTACTACACCAGCAGTATTTATTCCCAAGTGGTTAAAGATATGATCAAAAATTACTTCCTAAAAATTAAAAAAATATGAATTTGTCATCAGACTTTTTTTCACCAATTTCTCAAAATATAATATTGTTAAATGCTTACAATTGCAATATTTTATTTATTAAAATTTAGATAAAACAAATTAAATATTAACTGATCATATACAAGTAATTTATATAATACTTCTTACTTGAGCATCAAATTGAGTCACAACATTCTTATCAAACTGGGTTTTCAATAACCATCTGACAACTTCAATATTCTTAATGTCATTACCTACTTGAGTTTCACTTTCCTACCAAATTAAACAAGAAGACACTAAGTCTAAAATTGCATAAAGTAAATATTGTTAATTTTAAAAATCTAAAGAATTGAAGCATTAACCTTCTTTCCACGTAATTTAGCAAGGACATTTCTAAAAACAAAGGATGGCTTTTCATTAATTGCCCAACCAGCCTTACACATGTAAGAACCTATAAAAAAAATCAGTATTAGTACATTTAAATTACCATAGTATATCATTTGCATCAAAAATTACTTATACAACTTTTACAAAAATAAAATCTCAATCATATGATTTCAAATCATATCATATATTAATATAAAAATATATAACTGTAAAGGAATATAGTAGAATGACAGGTTTACGGAGTTTATTCTTACCATTATCAATTATGATGGTAGTTCTTCTTTTAGATAAATTTTCACTATAAGCTAGGAATGGATCTGGTTTTACTTGAGGAGCTGGTAACGAATATATTTTTACTGAAAAAAAAAAAAATCAAATAAATTATACAGTTATGTGGATAATTTATTATTCAATTGCAGAAATATTAATCAACTGTAGTTAGCAATTAATAATCATTAATCCGCAATTTAAATACATTTAGCAGAAGTAAGCAAACTGCTAGTCATGTCCTTTGCAGGGCTGATACTTATCAAGAAAAGATTAAGAACTGGTAATAAGAAAATTTTAATTCTTCAGTACTTTCAGAAAAAGTAAAAGTTTTGAGATATTTACAACTTAATAATAAACAACTTAAAAATAAACTTTAACTGCAATTACAAAAAATAAATAAATAAATCACTTACTTATTAATAAGCAATGGCAGTTTCAGTGAGTACATCTTCTCGAAAGGAAAAAAAATTTTTTTACTACCAGTTTCTAATCTTTTTCAGATAAGTAGCAACTTTGGCTTAAGTTGACTTACTTCCTCAAAAAACTAAGAAACTGGTAGCAAAATTTCTAAAAAAAGCATTCGAAAACTCACCTTTTTACCTTTCTAATTACTGAAAAAAATTATTTCTGCTAGACTATCTCTGTGAGGGATTTTTAAGTAGGAAAAGTAAAACTGCAAGTTTTAAAATGTCTGCTTATAAAAATTTACTTTCAATTATTTTAGTTTTATGAGGACGCTGGTCAGCTTAACTAGATAACATTAAAATTTCAGATATATATATATTTATTTTTTTTGTTGAAGAAAGTTTTATGAAATTCCAATTATATAATACTTTTATAAGAGCAAGTCATTGAGTAGCTTGCAGAACTACACTTATTCTATTAACATGCATATATATATGCATATATATATATTTTCATATATATATATTTGTGTGTATAGATAGATAGATGGATAAAAACATTTTTCAGAGGACATCTAATTTTTTTTAAAAAGGCCTGCATATGAGATATAAAACAAGAAAAATAAATAAGACTATATTTTTTTTCATTTCTTCTAAAGTGATGTAGAAAATATAGCAAATGAATAAAATGTGGCCTTGTTTTAATATTTCTAAATTATTCTTACTTAACTTTAAACTATGATTCTTTAATAAAAAAAGGACCAATTTTAAAAAAAAATTCAAAACTCTTTATTACACTTTAAAATATGAAAAATATTTCAAAAAACTAAAGTTTATATATTTTATAGTTTTATAAATTACCAGTTTCTGTCATATTTTCCGGCAATTCATAGTATTCAAAATATCAACAAACAAAAGTCTTGTACGCAACAAACAAACTAGATGCAGCATACCATTGGAAAAAGTTATTCAGTTTATTCAAAATTCGTTTAAAATGTTACTTAAAAAGCCTACAATAAGTTCAAAAAGAGCAATCGGTTTTTAAGGAATACTAGTTTAAAAACTTTTTATAGTGATAGTTGTAGTAAGAAGAACACTTCGCACAAGAGCAACGTTTTAATTCATAAACTTCTTTGTCAAATTATATTATTGAATTAAATAATTTTTTAAGCCATAATTTTTCCAAAAAATTGCTATCTTTCTTTAGTTTCAGTTTCAATGCTCCTCGTGATGAACGAGCGAATAAGTTCTTGAAATCTTTATGGCAACATTCTATTGTTTGTAATGTGAATGTGTTGTTAGCCGAAAAAGTTTATTTATAGTTAGATATTAAAAGTATTTAAATTTTGGCTGTATTTCTATGATTCTTGAAATGTAATGGCGACGACAGAAATAGACTTCGCCTTTAGGGATCCTTCAATTTTACTTCTTACTGCTTCCGTGAATGTCATTAATAAATATGACGTTCTACAGCTGATCCGTTCTGTTACGAGAAGGTAGTGACCGGATTTTCTAGTTTTAATTTTTTGGAATCAGTTATTTAAACACTCACCTTATGTAAATACTCAATTTTCATTGTTTTGAAATTCTAATGAACTCGCAATCCTTCTCCTAGGGATATTCATAAGCTTCATAAAACCTAATTTGTTAGATGACGTCAGGGTTGGCATATATCCTATATGTTTTAGGTTTTAATCTTGGAACACTAACTATATTCGTTACCCATTATTTTATCAATTTCATTAACGAGGGAATATCTATGGAGACCAAATAACGTTAATGATCCATGTTAAAAATAACTGAGCAACTTGTTTTATAAATGTCTTTGTTAACTTTTTTTGTTCTAATTTGTATTGTCCTGTACAGTTTTGTAAAGTTCTTTTCAAATGATCCTCTTGATTTTTGTAAATCTCTGCATGAAAATACTCTGTTACCACTTGCACTTAAAAAGTCACTAAGTCTAGGTAACAACTGGGCTAAGTCTAGGTAACAACTATTATTTCAGGGGAGAAACTAAAAAAGTAAATCCACAAAAGTTGTCACCTATCCTCAAAGACTGTTTTTAGGTAGAATTTTAAGGCGAACCTATCCTATTTCCCTTATTATTAAGCGATTCATGAAAAGTTGATCTCTGTACTAGGTATTCACTTTCACATATTCACTGCCATAGTTGTGTGTTGTGATATTTAACTTTTCTAAAGGAAAAAAAAAACCTCGCAAAAATATATAATTTAAGCATAATCTTTTAATTTAATCATAATCTTTTATTGATCTACACTTCAGTTACAATTTCATTATAAAGACGATTAATTACAAAAGGGAAGAAATTATATTTCCATTATAGTGATCACAGGTTACGCATTGGTCAAATTTTTTTTAAACAACTATCCATATAAAGCTGAATAATCATTTTACTCCAAAATATTTCAAGTCATAGGTTGCAATAACCGCATGAATTGATGTTCTTGGTGTTGTTCTTCAACAGATAGCTTTTCAATTCTAGTCAATATAAGGTTCTCCAGAGGTCAGAAAATTATTTTCTTTTTTCAATATTCGTATTTACATTAAAGTTGCTAACAAAGACAGTCATTAGAAATTAATAAGTTAATCATAAAGAACATAAAAATAATTTAAATTAATATTATGGATAAACTTTAAAAATGTCCTTTGGTGAAAATTACAAAAAATTTCTCTATTAAGTTGCTTCATTTCTTCAAAACAAAGACTCAATTTGAAGAATAAAAATTCAAGAAATTTCAAAATTATCCTGTTTTTTTTTTTGTTTTTTTTAATTGATCTTGTTATTCTGCTTTTTTTCTTAATGTTTATGTTAGCCTGTTTTTTTTTAATGATTTATTCTGCTCATTTATGATTATGCTGAAATTGATCTACTCAAAATTCATTCAGACATGAAAAACCTGGAATAGCACCCAATTTTCCAATGGGTAAAAGATTTTATAAATTTATGAGTGCATTTGTAGGTTAAAAGCATTCGAGGTAATTTCTAGTAGTTTAAACTCTTGTTTGTTTATTGGTAAAGTCTGATTGGTAAATTGATAACGTCTTCAAGTAATCAAAAGTATCAAGCAATCAATAGAGACATTGCTGATTCTTTTATAGTGTTTTTCTTAAAGTGGTTTATGTGTGAAAATAATGCATACATAACAAAAAGTTCCTAAACAGTTCTTTTAATAAACTTCATCTTATGCTCAATTAAGGCCTAAATTCTGTATATAGGTACACTAATTTTAAACAATTTTACGTATTGATACAAAATACTAATATTAAAATTGAACTAAAAAAGAAACATACTACTTTTTAAAAAAATTTTTTTTACAGGAGGCAGTTATATCTTATTTGTATTATTATTAATAGTCCTCCATTAACTATTGTCATCGATTACACATTAAGTGAGGTTATTATCAAATACTCTTAGTCTAAAATATATGTATATGCAGTAAAAAAAAATTTTCTACATCTGAATATCTTACATTTTATGATCATCTAGTATCTTATATTTTATGATTTATCAGGTTGTGATGGATAATACCCTAACTAATAAACAAATTAGTGTATGTTGGAAAAAAATTTATAAAATTTCTACTAAATACAACTGCTCAGATCTGCATATTTTCTAAAAATTTTTCTCTATTTATCACCTAAGTATTTCATATAAAAAGTTAATCTTTCAAAAATTTGTCCTATTAACAAAATTGTCTTCTTGCTCATTTTATAAAATACATTTTCTTATAACTATTTACATATCTAACTATTTACATATCTAATCATTAACTTTCCAAGTTACATAATTCTTTTTATTTTTGTCTATGCCTTATTTATATTGAAAGGTTTTTAACTTAAAATGTTTTTATATTAAATTGCTTTAAATTCAAATGCAAATCTTAAAAATAATTAATTAATAATATAAAACAATAATTAGTAATTATATTAGAATATCCCAAACATAAACAAGTTAAGCTATATTAAATTAATTGATTAAAAATCAAATATAGTGTTTATTACAACAAATAGAGGTAACCAAGTTATAGTTGGCCTTAAAGGTTTAATCTTCCTCTATTTTTAAATTCTGTGTTTGAAAGAGTTCAGAGTAAAGATACACTATGATATGTTTTATAAAAAGTTAACTTTTGGCGGATTCTTTAATTTTTAAATTTTTTTAAAATTTTTTATTAAATCATAGTATCTCTGTAAATTTATAATGTAAGTCGGAAATTAATTCTTAATGGAAATTGTTTTTTAGACAACAAGCTCTTTTGTCTCATGAAGATGAACATGAAAACTTCTTTGCATCATTTGCAGCTCTGTCTGCTCATTATATAACTTCAAATTCCTGTCATAGTAAGTTGTACTTTTCTTTTGTGTAAGCTTTACTTAGAATATTTTAAAAACATGTATAGATTTCTAATAAATAATAAAGCAATTTATTTATGGTTTTGAAATATTTTGCATACAGCTCCAAAATTAGTCGTTTTGTTTAGTGTCTATATTTTATGCACATTATTGAAGATAGCGTCAATATTTAAGAACACTTTTGATTTTTCTTTTGTTTTAAAAGCATCTTAATTTTGGAAAAATTATTTGATTTTAAAGTATATTAATTTTCATTAAGTAAATAGTTTTCAAACATGGTTCTCTAGTTGGAGGACCACCAGAAAGAATGGATAATTGTTTCTCAGAAGATCACTTGAAAATCTCTTCTTAATATGCCTTAGCCTACACTTGCCCCCCGTGGCAGAATCGTAACAACACATCAACATTGTCGCAGAACGTTAGAGCTTTTTATACCATATTATTTATTACAACAACCTAATCTCGAAATGAAACGCACATTCGAGGAGTCCGATTTGCATGATTTCATCCTCGATCTTTTTTTCGGCAATTACTACTACGGATTTCATGATTTGTAATTAATTTTTTAATTTGATGATTATTTACGAAAGAAGGAAATTTGTCAAAGAAGGAAATTTGTGCATTCGCCCCCTAACAAAATGCGAGAATATCACCTATAATATTAGAATAAAAATTTATTACATGTTCAATTAAGAGAAAAATTATATAGTTTTTTCTTTTGTAAACACAGCTCTTTTGTTATTTTAAATTAGTAACATATATGTTTGTTATTATTAAAAGTATCTTGCTGAAAGATATTAGCGCTATAGAGTTTTGTTGCAGATTGTTCGAAAAAATTCTGCCATAGGGCGCTTGGGTGTTGTGCTACTGAGGATGATGAGTTTTCAAACATACATTTTCCACCAAGTTATGTACAAATCGAAAATTATTTCTTGATAAATTTGAGCACTAATTAAACTAATTTTAAGAATTTTTTTTTTTAAAAATTTTTTTGTAATCAATACTTTTTTCTAAGATTTAAAAAAACATTGATAATTTATATTTTTGTGTTAAAATACACGTGACCACATGTTAGATACAAAGAAATAGTTATTATAATTTGTGTGCAGATATGGACAGCTATATAAATCATAAAAAATATTCAAATTTAAACAAATATTTGATTCATGATTTTCAAAAAGTTAGAGAAATTTTTTACTGAATTCATTTTGACCTGTTCTTAATTTACACTTGAAAGAATTTCAATTTCATAATGCAGACTTTATGTGAATTTTCATTTCAATGCAAGAGTTACAATTAAAACTACAATAAGCAAAGCGTTATGCGATATTTTAATAAAATGTTTGTTGTTAAAACATTTTATTTAAGACAAAATAATATGTTTGTAACAAAAGAAAAGAGAATATTTTTCTCACCTGTCTAAGATTAAAACTGGTTGAACTTTTTCAACTCTTTTATGTATGGCAACTACTGTTACAATACCAGCAATTCAAAGAGTACTCCATTGACTCTGTGTTATAGAATTCTCCCTCTTAATAGTGATTAGGTAAATCTTCTATAACCAGTGTTTTCACTACAGCGCGAGAATCTCGCATATTTTTTCCTTTCCTCGCGTTAAAAAATGATTAATGCGAGAAGTTCGCGCACCCTATTAATGAATTTCAAAATGCGCGAATTTTGGAAAAAATTTTGTCTACTGCCATTTCAAATTAAATCCGCTTAGTTTTTCTTCCTTGATCTTTCATTATTTTCAATATCGGTCCTTGTTATCTAGCTTCCTTATTTACCAGTATTGTTCACATTTTTCCGTAACCACGTGTTCACCGTAGGTAAGGTTTCTTCATGTAAAACGTTTAAATTTTATGTGCCTGAAAGTAAGATGGACAAATACCTTGTTAAGACAAATGAAACAAATGTCGGTAGAAGCGGTAAAAACGAAACAAATATGGATATTCAACGGATATGGATCAAATACTAGCATGAAGTATGAACTTGGAAAGAATATTTCACGATTTTATAGCAGAAATAATTTAAAAGCCTATGCTGGCAGATGTAGAGGTTAGAAAAGTGTGTGCACAATGCTACAAATTTACTTGAGTGTTTTCGAATAATTCAGCATCTGTTGCAAGATCATTTAGCACCCAAATCCGAATTAAGACAAAATATCGAAACAGATTGACTGATAAGCATTTGAGCAACTTAATGAGAATGGCTGATGAAAAAGTAGATATAGAACATTTTCCATATAATGAGGCAGCAAAAATAATCAACGCTTTAAAAATTAGAAGATGTTAAAAATGTATTATAATTAAAGAAATATTTTTTTCCCCAGTCTATTCGTGTTTTTTTAAAACTTTTAGAAACTTCACTTAACTTTTTGAAATCTCACCCTGTTTTTGAGAAAGGATGAGAAATTCTCACCCATTTTTTCTTTGTAATGAAAACACTGGTAACTTTCCTGGTCTTGGTACAAATGTAAAATTGCTTTTTTTTCCATGTGTTATAAAAGTTATTGATTTTTTCAAATAAGACTCTAACTAACAATTTGTAAATCTCTTCTTATCTGGTTATTACTTTAAGCCACTCAATTATTCTGAAAAGTTTTATGTAGCTTTGTGATTCCAATATTTGAGTTATTGCTACATAAAATGGTCTTGTCTAAAAATATTTTCAGCAATCATATTATAAAATACTTTTCTTTTTGGAAAATGATATCTATTCAGTTCACTTGTAATATTTCTGAATATAAAGAGATGACATGTATGGGTGTCTTACAATAATTTAGAATGTGATTATTTTCATAGTTTTCGTTCTTATTTACTTAAATTTAATATTTGTCATGCTGTAACTGAGTAAATGTATAGCAATAAATAATATATTATAAACAATTTTATAGATATTTGAAGAAAATGTAATTGAAGATGAAGTACATAAAGCTATTACTTCATATGAGAACGAAGTCAAACTAAAATTGCAAACTGAAAAACCATCTTGTATTCTTCCAGGTGTAACACTAACTGTAGCTTGGCGCTGTCGCATCTTGGAACGTTATTTCTTATATCTTTTCTTAAATTTTCTCTATTTTTGTATTTGTATCTTGAATTGTATTATATATATATTTTCTTAAACTATTTTTTTTATTCTTTTGTAGTTCCAAAAAGTCAAATAAATACTGCTGCACAAGCATGTAAGGTATTGCTACAATATTTTTTGTATAAACTGAAGCACTGCACAGAACAATGTTGCATATCTCAGGTTTGTATATGCATATTATGTTTCTAATAATTTGTATACATTATGTTCACCATAATTTTAATTTGTATTGTATGGAAAATTTTAATTAAATATTAGCCCTATGAATTATTAAACTTATTGTAAAATTATTTTTATATGTAAATTCAATTCATATGTTTTTATAGGATATGTTACTGATGTGACCTAGAGTTGAAAAAACAGAGTATCAAAATAATTCAAATTAATTCAATCGGTTCACATAGATGATTTGGGCTCTGGACCAATATCAATTACTTTTTATTTCCATATGTGTTTTCAACCTATACAGATTGCATTGTATAAAATTGGAAATTTTGCGATCTTTTTCTGAAGAATCGAGTTCAGGATGCTTTCAAATTGCATATGCTGTATATTTTGATTGTACTAAAGTATAATTTAAAATAATTTTGGATAAACTTACAAATTTTTTTTTTTTATTAAAGAGGAAAATAATTTGCACTCAAATAATAATCTACAACATATTTAAATGTCAGAAATCTCTTATATTTATTCTTATTATTTACTTACATACAATAATATTTGCTTTGATTCTATAAAAAATCTGCATGAGTTTTTTTTAAAACTGCATCAGTGAAATAGCAATTTTTTTTTTTGTTGCTTTATAACTTTATACTTCTAAGAAATAAAATTTTGAAGGGGAAAAAAACGCATATATCTTCAACACAGTTTATATCTGAAAAGTATGTTGCACTTTGTACCATTTAATTAATTATAATAATATCAAAAGTTACAATATATATTTTAAAAGTAATTTTCATCATCTGTCATACAAATAGGTGTTTCAAATTATGCTCGTGACTTAAACTGATTTTATTCTACTTACTTGTCTTTTACTTTAGTATTTCAGTGTTCTTTTTTTTATTTATTTTGAAATTTTTCTTTATTTTAAGTTGAAATTTTTCTTAAATTATTTAAAAAATATTAATATTTTACCTTTATTTTTTTTTCAGAAACAAATAATTTCTATGATCCATGGTCTCTGCCAGAATTCTAATTCTCAAGTATTACTGCGTTCCGAGATTCCTCCATTGGTTCATATTCTCAAAACTGCAAAAGATCCACCATCCTTTGCTCTTAGAAGCAATGACTTACAAGGTAATATTTGAATAATATGTTTGAAATACAAGTGCCAATGATGTCTTGTTTGATTTTAATTAATAGATTTAATAACTTTTTTCTACAAATAAATAAATATTGGGCCAAATACTTTGTTAACTGATTTTTATATTTTTACTTTTAAATTCAGAAAAAAAGGATAATTTTAAACTGTGAAAAAAATTAAATACCACTTACAATTTCAAAAATTTCATAAATAAGTTTGATAATATACATTTGAATGAATAAAATGAAAGAAAAAATATTCCAGTATATTTAGTTGCTTCACGAATGTCCATATCCACAGATTAAGTAGAATAAATTTTCTGCCTGAAAAGTATGTTTTATATTTGCATTAATTTTGTAGCTTACCATTATTTATTTAGATTCAAACAAACGGGCACATATATGTATACTGACATCATCAATATGTTATTTTGTTGCTTGTTTTACACTTTGTTCGCAATTTTTTCCCCCTAGCAAGTTTATTAGCTTCAATTCATATCTGAAATATATGTTTTTAATTATATTCTACAAATATGTTCTATAAATAATATTAATTTCATGTTTTTAAAATTAGATGGGCAAGATACCACCAAAGAACCCAAAAGACCAAGGCTTGATCCTAGTGCAGCAATTTTGGAACAGCTTATGACCCCAGTTCTCGATTCTCAAAGTACACACAAATCAGAAGGCCCTGTGGAAGTAGTTGATAAAGATGGAGATACTACAATCATACATATACCTGATCCAGGTCAAGAATCAAAGGTATTTCTTCTCTCATTAATTTTATCAACTGTTTAAAAATATCCAAGTTCATTTATATTAAATCAGTGTTTGAATTAGGATAATGCTATGTTTCAGTATATCAATATAGTATGTGTTGTAAGTATAGAATTCAAAATTTAAGTTTGAAAGTATTTAAAACTGGATCATTGCATTTCAGTTCGTCCGGCCATAGCAACCACTAATTAAAATTTTAATAAAAAATTGATAAAGGTTTAGGACTTATATGCTGATTTAAAAAAAAAAAAAAACACAATAACTTTGGGATTTATGAAAGAGATACATTAAAGGGGCTAAAAAGATACAATCCAATAAATAAAAAATATTGTGAAAATTACCCAACTCTGTCAATTAATAATAGGACATTTTTTATCTGTTTCATAAGCATTTAGATGTAAAATCATGTAATTGACAGATTATTATGGAGAATAAATAATAGATTAACATTGTAGAATATATTTAAAATAAGTTTCAGCCATTTGTAGCTCTATTCATATTATTAATGTAGCAATAAGATGATTAGCTTGCTAAGTTTGTAAAAGCTCTCAACTTTTAATTCAATTCTTTTACTTTTTTTCTTCCAAAATTACTGATACTTATTGAAATCATCAAAACTACAGGTTATTATCCATATATTTATACTAATTTAAAAAATTGTTTTGTAAATTTGTTTCAGATACTACTTTTGGCCAAAAATAAGTTAGCCCTACAAGTTTTAAGTGGAGTAGATGACCTGTTGGACACCTGCTTACTACTTCCTGCTATAAATCAGTATACAATAAAGCTGCAGGATTCATTGGCTGGAAAAGGCTTACTTCTACCATCCTGCACGGCTGGTGCTGTTCGTATAAGCAATTCGTAAGTCTTCATTTTTTTTTATATATATTTTTTATACAGTTTGAGATAAAAGTTTATTTTATGAAAAATTAAATAAATTGTAGTAAACACTTTTAAATTTTATTGATCATCATTATTTCATAGCGTCCGAAATGGGTCATCTCCATAGGAAATCTACTGTAGATGACCCCTTTTAAAACTCATTAATAATTCATCGAAAAGAAGAAATTAGCTGTAATACAGTAAATTAGTTTTTATCGTTTAATGCATTATTGGTACAGTACAGAACCCGTTATCTGGAAATCAGAAAACCGGAAAACCAAAAAACCGGAACGAAATTCAATACATTTTCCAGCCATTTTTAAAGAAATTTTTTTTTTCTCATAAGATTTTAGGATTTTTCATTCTTTTTTGAAAGATATTTACCTTACCATCATTTTGGAAATAATCATTAGTATATTACTTCATCTTTTATCTTCTGTTTAAGATTATTTCCAAATATTTTTTTTTTTTAGTTGGGCTTGACAATAAAAAAAAACGGCTTTTTGTACCGATTCAGAAAACCGGAAAAATCAGTTATCCGGAATAACAATGATCCCGATCGTTCCGGATAATCGGTTCCCTACTCTACTTCTATATGATATTGATACATGATAATCTCATATCTATTAAGTTGATGTTTATTTTTTATTTATTAGTAGTAGGATTTTTGAAAGAATGTTTCTCTTTCCTTTCTGATAAAAGACATTTTTAATTCAAATAATAAACAGGGTGCGTAGCGTTTGTAAAAAGTACTTAAAGGTGCTTTTTTGAGGATTTCGTTTTTAAAAGCTTTTAAAGGTGCTTTTTTCAGCTGGCGTTTTTAAAAAGTGCTTTTTTTTTCACGAATGAATTTTTTTTCCTTCAGTGATATCTGATAGATCCCATGCATTTTACGAAAAATGGGGTGTTTGCTACGTAATTATTCACGCGGACTTCGTGTCGCACTCACGTTATGACTTGCGCATGCGCGCACACTTGAAACNTTAAAGAACTTGAAGTTTATGAAAAAAAATTTTCTTTTTGTGTTTATTTAAGATATGAATATTTGGTTTTTTAAGAATATTTGAATTTTTTTCCTTTTTGTGTTTATCTAAGATTTATGAAAACATTTCACAACTGATTTTAAAATATTTTTACATGATAGTCATCATGATTTTTTGTGATTTTTTTTTCCAGTTACAAGGCTTTAGCAAGTGACATTCAAAGCATCAATAAAGCACTTAATTTGCCTGTTTTAGAACCATTAAGCAATCAAAGAATTGCAAAAATAATGAAAATTACATTGAGTTGTCTTTATGCTTCCATAAGTGTGGCAACTTCCAATAGTATATTGGGACTGTCTAGCAACCCACAAATGAAAGGGTCGACTTCTAAAGATGATGAAAATGAGATTTCTGCTACCTCTATAGTGGAAACCACTGTAAGTTTCATTTCTTATAATCTAAAGTTTTTAAATAAGTTGTTAGAGTTTGATGTGAAACTTTCTTTTCATTGGTTAGCCAATGACATGTATCAAATTTCATATCTGATATATTATCTTTAGTACTTAGACCTTTCTCATCACTTATTTTTTGTTAATCAATGAAAAGATAGTCCATTTGTAACTACAAAATAGAGGGAAAGTTGTTTGATACGTTGAAGTTTTAATTAGACCCAAGTTCTACTCTATTTTTATATTATTTTTTAGGTTGAATGCTATAAATTCATAAATTTTACTATCATCTTCATTATCACATTGAAAAATATTTGATTTATGTTGAGAGCTTTATTTATATTAAGGATATTGATTATTATTAAAGAGTGCCAATTTCAAGAAATTTAGTTAAATACTATTGTAATTTTAGTTGGCATGCTATTGCAATATTTTTTTTAAAATTCGAATAATAAGCATTACAAAATATTTGAGTTAAAATTATAATAACTGCTCATGAATAATTTGAAATTTTTATTGTTTCTTTATTATTATAAAAGTTAATTTGATAACTTGATGATTCACATTGCCTATGTAGAATATAAGTATTTTGTTAGAGTTTATTTTTTAGTGCACCAAATAATCAGCCCAGATTTGGCTTTTTGATCATACAGACACTATTACATACTGATTCACAAGTATTAAAAAGAAAATAAATAAATGAAAAAAATCCTTTCTTACTTTTACTGACTTGATCTTACTTTTTTAATCAGATTTTTTTTACTTCACTATAATGAGGTCATTAAAAAAAATGCTAATTATGTGTTTCTTTTTTTTTCAGTTAGAAATATATAATATCATTGCTGGGGTAATTAATAATTCAACTCGTGCAGGTGGACATGTAAGTATATATTAATAATGTATGTTTAATGAAATCTGATTGTGAATTTAATTTTTTTCCCATGATAATCAATTTAACTAACAATATGAAAATTATTTTATTTAATGTCTAAAGTTAGCAGAGATGCCAACTTGCTCCGGACAGCAAATATATATTTTAAAGTGGTAGTTTATCAATTGTGATTCTTGGTTTAATAAATTCAATTTAGTAGATATTTATCCACCACTATTTCTAAATAATTCATAGGCTTATATAATTCACCACTTTTTAGTACTTATGTTATGCTATACCTTTTAAAAGCAAGCAAAAGTAGTCAAATATATGCAAAATTTACTATGTAGTTATTTACCGTTTTTTTAAATTATTTTGGCGTGTCCGGAGCAGTTGGCATCTCTGAGTTAGTGCTATAAACTACAATGTCACATTTTGATCACAGTTGACTCTAATTAACATTCCCCATTATCTATATATCTACTTTAAGTTTGATTTTTGAGGACATATTATAGAAAAACTTCGAAAGCTAAAAATTAGGTGGTAACTTAAAGCAGCAAATACTAAAGCATTTTAAAATCTTGCATGAAGAATCACTTTAAAAATCTTTGAATGAAAACTAAAGGTAAGGAAAAGTATTTAATATTCAATTCTGTTTTCAGTCTTGAGGTTCCTTGACCTTTTTGTTCCCACGGGTCCCTCATTTGATAAATTTTTAATCTTGATGTCTTAAAATGATTCATCATTAAGATAGCTATTTTAATAACCTTTATGAAGTATTTTTTTATAATTAAAATAGGAGAATGTTTCTGAAAATTTTATAAAAGCTGCTTCCAATTTGCCAATTTAGAAAAAAACAATGTTGAAACTCTAGTTGATATTGCTTATTTGCATCATTTGCCTATCATATGATGGGCAATATTATATCATTATTCATTTATGTTTTGGTTTCAGTTTGTTAATTGTAATTATTTTAGGTCTCTACATTTTACTTTATTACATGGTATTTAGATTATGACTTGTCTCTTGTGAAATGATATTATAAGCAGTCAAACCTCCAAATTGCAGGATTTTTGAAACAGAGAATTACATTCTTTTAAATGTCATGCAATTATATGCATTGAAAATTCATAGATTATTTCCTATCTTTCTTAAATTTATAATTCTATTAAAAGTTCCTACTACCTTTTTAAATAAATAAATAAGTTAATTTTTATTTAATTTCATAAAAAAGGGTTGCAAATATTTCTACTCTTTTTCTTATGCCATAAATGTCTAACTTTTTATTAAATGTATAACAAATTATAAGTGAATGTCTTGACAACAGGATTTCAAAAATGTTTTTTCAATCCTTGTTTCTTTAACCTCTTTAAAAATAAGCATAAAAATTCATTACATCTTAACTAACTTTTTGTAGTTAAAAATTCTGCCAAAATATTTAAATATTGACTTTAGATATAATGGGATTTGATCAATTGCTTCACTTTTGGCAGTGTTTATTTTCGATAAAGCTCCAGCAATGGATTTATCCCTGTATTTCAAAGCAACAATTAAATACTCGCTTCTTACGCAGGTTATGTTCTTATATAGAATTTCATTGGGCAGGTTGTGGAGGTTTCTAACTCCCACGGCCTGTTCTTATTAATATCATAATTATTCAAAATAATACTCAAATATAGATCTATAGATTAAATGTTTTTCTTTAATTATTATTTAAGTGTGTCCCATTTAAATAACTGATAGATTTTTTATTTTTGATATTTTAAAATAAATCATTTATTTGAACCCAAGACCTGATCTTGTTCATGTCTTTCTGAATTTTTCCCAATATATGCTGGGAAACCCAAGAGATAGTAAATTTTCCTCAAAGGCTAAAAGCTCTATAAAATAAATATAGTTCACAAACATGGTTTTGTGTCTACAACTTCCATGATTAAATATAGTCCTACATTGTGCATCATCAATGGTTCAACAATTTATATCATAATAAAAATTTTCATTTTAAAGTGAAATTGGATTGGTTTATTTTTAAATCGCACACGATTGAGTTTTTTATTTATAAAGTTCAAAAAAGTAAATTATATTTCAAAAACAAAATTTAGGTATAAATTATAAATTCAATTATGCTGTTAATTTCTTTGAACTTTAAAAAGCATCTTGCCATCTTTTTACTTGAAACCAAAAAGTCATTTTTAGAAGCTTAAATATTACAGTTTTTTGTTACTTTCTTATAACAATAATTGTATCATCACCTTTTCAATTTGTTATATTTTTTTCACATTCATCATTTTTTTTAAAAAAAAAAGTGTAGAATTATATGGAATATTGCTTTAAATATAGTTTTTAATTCTTTCTAATATCTTTTTTCGTTAATTTAGATTTTGCAGAATCTGCATATGATTGGATGCTGGATTATATTAGGTGGTTTGCAATACATCTTAAACTTAAATCCCTCACAGCTTGGAGAAAGGACCAAAGAAATTTCCTCTAGAGGCAAAGTCACTCCTGACCAAACACCATCTAAGGCTAAAGAATCTCAACCCACTCCAAAACCCATCATTTTAAAAATGTAATTCAATATATATATATAGATATATGCATTATTTTTACTTAAACAGTTATTAAAGTACTGCTGATATAATCTACAGGATGACCAGAAGAAGAAAAAATGTTCCAAAGTAAAATGAAATGACAAAAAAATATGTGAAATAAATATTACAAAATGCTCAAAGCAAATTTGGTTGTTAGTATTGTTTAAACATTAAATGATTTATGTACAGTGGTTTTTGAAGTATTGCAGTTCCTTATCAGGGCACTTTTTTTTGGTTGCCTTGTATTATGGTGATAATAATAAAAACAATTTATTAAAATTTATTGCTCATTAGTGGTTTTCTTAAATGTAGAATTGAAGGAAATGTTTAAAATTGATTATTGAAGTTATCCCCGTTCAAGAATATGGCTTAGGTTGCCAGTTGTAGAGAATACTCATTCTGACTAACTGTCAACTGTAGAGAATTAGAATATCACAAGAATTGATATTGAACGTTGAAGACCGTGTGAATATAAAACCTTTATTCTAAATCAAAAGCATCTATTAAAAGCTAATTGTATGTGGGTATAAACTTTCCTTGAAAAATATGCAACTACTTTTTTTTTCATTCAAAATTATAAAAAAAGAAAAGGATATAATAACCTTTAGACAATAATTTTTATGCCATTTGAATATGTAGACTATTCTTTATTTGAAAAATTAAAAAATTTCTCAAGAAGAATATAACATATTTAAGTGTATTAGACAAACATATAAAAAGTAAATAAATTATAAAAGTATAATTATAGGTTTCTTGTATTTGAATTAAAAAAGTATTAAAATCCTTAATGAAAATATTTGTAAAATTAGTATAGTTGTAAGTTCACTCTATAATATGCATAGATTTAGAAGTTCATTTGTCTAAGTAGTGTAAATTCTGCAAATGAAATGTATAAATCATTATATTTCAACATTATTTTAGTATTATTTTTTTCTCACTTTATTAATTATTTTGTTTATACTGAAATATAATGTGTATAAAGCTATAGCAAGATAATATTGAGTTTAAATCTTTTATTGGATATTTTAATACTGTACATGCATTGTATAAATTTAAAGCTGTGGATTGTTTTTGTAATTTATTTTTAAACCTGAAATGTAAAAAGTGTGCATTTAAGAGTAACACCAGCTTTGTATCAATAGTTTGAGAATCTATTATCTTAATATAATTATCTTCTAAAAAATGGTTTGTTATATACAAAAAGGATATTGTTATAATAGCTGTCTGACGAATTTCTTCTTTAAATTTATTTAGACAACAAGGCTGTGGCGTATTATCTGTTGCTCTTGCAACACATGCTATTTCTCTGATGTCTGAACTTTTGGATGACTTAAAAGTTGAAGTAGGCTCTGAACTCATTGAAAGTATGGGAAATACACTATCATCAGCTCAGGGAGCATTTATAGTGCCTGATATAACTGAAACATTTACAGCTTGGCAACGAGTTCAAAAAATTACTTCAACAATTAACTTGACAAACTTGCTTTTCAGTCTTGCTTCTGTGAGTTACCGTAAGGTAAGATGCATATTATGTACTCCTCAATATCCTGTAATACGCATGTGTACAGATGTATAAAATTTTTTTATTTGTGTATGTGTGTGTTTTATAGGCATGTATGTTAAAAAGAATTCAAAAAAATCCAGTTGATGGAGATAATTTCAGTACTTCAGATTCAAATACATATTATGAAGATGATTTTAGCTCCTCAGAAGATAGCAGTGTTGACACAGGTATTAATTATATCTTTATTTTAAAAAAAGTAATCTGCTGCTACATTCTGCTGTGACATAAATATTATTCATAAATTCTTTAACTACCCTATTCTTTTGAAATGCATGATTTATGTTCAATGTATTATGTATCAAGAGGATAATATGTAAAATAAATATAATTTATTATGAATTTCTTTTCAATAGTTAGATGATTTTTATAAATACTTAAAAAATATATTTATTAATAGAAACCCCTTTACAAAATACTCTAAACCTCTAAGTCCCAAAAGAGGGAGAAAGTCTCTACAGAATAATTTATGTTTATAGCAGGACTTTTACATCCACTTTCTGCTAATAGTTTTTGTTTCATTTTGTGGGAATTTATGTTGCATGTATTAGATATAATTCCATTCCTTGAATGAAAATTTATTTTTACAATGTTGACAAGGCTTAATTCTAAGTTTAAATGCAAATTAGTGTATAGATAATTGAAATCTGTGCATCTATTTGAGTTTAGTTATTTGATAACTACAGTTATTATTAATTGCAACTACATTAATTTTAAACTGTACTCTAGTCTCTATCTAATTTAGACTATCAGTACAGGTAGTCTAAACCTCTATTTGCAATGTTATTAATAAAAGATTTTTTTATTTTTATATTACGTTTTATACGATAATGCATGCATCACCCAGTCGTGGAAAAGCATTTTGCCTCACTTTTTAGGACTCTATCTTTTAACGCCCATAGTAAGAATGCCACATAAGTTTTGTCATGGCCAGACTACGTGGACAGCACCTGAGCTAACACCCCTCTTTATAAACTTCCACACAACCAATGAGAGGACTTCCAGCATTTTACTCGCACCTTAATGCGTATACATGCGGGTTGTACTGTTGAGATCGAACTCCCTACCCCAACTTTCCAACCAATGGTGTAAACAACAGCTTAACCGATTGTTCCACAGGAACGTTTTCCTTTTCATTATGAATAACTTTGCTTTATCTGTATTGAGTATTTTTTTTAATAAATGAAAATATAACATTTAATTCAGCATCAGTTTTAATTGCTTTTAGATCTTTTACCAATTAGTCTTATCTTGTATAATGATGGTTAAAAAATATGTTTTGTATTTTTAAATAAAAACTATTTCTGTTAACACTCATTTTTTTCTTTACCTAATTTTCAACTTATGGGTTTAAGGTTACTTGAGTTTTATTTTACAAATATATTTTACCCTGCAGTTTTAGATAATATCACAAATTGTGACATTTATTTGTAAATTTTTCTACTCATATGCATTTTTTAGACTTGTGTAGTAAAATCTCTTTATAATTTTATTAGTTTTAATATTTTAAGTTTATATATTTTTTATTATATGGTCATTTACTGACAAACTTAATGCTTAATGAGTTTAAATAAATAAAATTATGTGAATTTTTATTTACTTTCCAAAAAAAGAAGAAAAAAAGGAAATGGAAGTACTTCTAGTTTAAGAATATAAATATAATCCATTATACAAATTTTTCTATTGGAAAAATTTGTATATGGATTATGGGAATTCATTTTTAGCGTAAAAAATGTTAAATTATATATGTTGTAAATATTTACTAAGATATCATCTCATTACTTAGATGATGACAGTGAACCTATTCTTGGACAGTGGTTTGAGGAGACTTTAGCTCCACCTGAGCCTCCAAATGCTGCCCCTGCACCTGCAGCAAATAGTAATGAATCTGATGCTTCAAATGCTAAAGCTCAACAACCTCAGCAAGTAACTGCTGAAAACTCTTCTCTAATACCTGATAAAGGAGAACCCAATGGGGTAAATTATGAAATTTCTTACATTTATGCTAATTGTATCTTTCTTTTGATCAAACATTGTATATATTGCTCCAACAAGTTAAAAACAGCTGGGCATTTCATAGTCTGTTAAAAAAAAGATTAATAACGAAACTAAACTAAGTAACTTGGCAACTTGAATCATAAAATATAATATTCAACTCAACATCATTTATAGCTATTATAATTTGCTGTTTTTTCTTTCTTTTTTTTAAAACTTAAAATGTAGTTTTCAATAACTTTTTCTGACAGTATTTTTTTTACTGTACAGCATATTTTGTCATCATTGTGATTTTTAAAAATAGTTAATAAATTATCAGAAATGATTTTAATTCCCTCTGTAACGTGAAAGTCATAATTATAGTTTTAGGACAAATTAAGGTTTTTTTATTCACTAATGATTTAAATTTCAAATTTATGCTTTTAGTGGAGATCTATGCTTATCTAAAATCTGAAGTATGTAAAACTAGATGAAATTTAAATGTAATAAATAATAAAAGTATGAATTTTCTTTTTCTTGCACTTCAATACTCATTTTTTGCAGTGTGCGTTCAGTAACAAAAAGGCAAGAAAAGATGAATTTTTTTTTTTTAAATAAATGTGTGTGCAACAATTTAAATTAATTAGGCAAAAAAATTTTCTCATAGGGCATTAAGTCATTTTATTTTAAAAATGAAAAAAAAAAATTTAATTCAAAGCAAAGTTCAGATAAATTAAGTTTTATTTAATTTGGAATACATATCTATATTAAAGAACAAATTATTCTTTATTTTCTAGTGATAGTAGATTCAGTTCATAAAATTTTTTTTTACCCATTTTTGACCAGACTTTGTTGACCATTTTTCTTAGAGTAATAGGTTTTTAGTTTTAAAATGTAAGGATTCATGTTTAAATTTATTATTTATTTAAAAATTTGGGATTGTTCATATTTTATTTTAAAAGTTTCAGCCTTGAAAACTTTTTCTCTTTTGAATGAACTTGCCATTTTTAACAGTGAATTTCATTAAAATAATGTAGCGTCTTTAATAACAAACAATTTTAAACTATTAAACATTTGAAAAAATTAAATAGCTTAAATATAATATCCCGTAAATTTAATATTATAGTAAAAAGTTAATAACAACATGTTTTTCTCTACAAAACGGGATTATAAGTGTCAAAAAACTTATAACTAGCTTTTTGAACTTATGTGTACAAATGAAGAGTAGCTTTTTCATCAGATGAGCATCAGAAGTTTTTGGCATGACAAGCATCAAAAATGGTTTAAACTGTCAGAAACTATTTTGGTGCATTAGCTTGGTTACGAAAACATTATTTTTCATTAATTCTATTATAATTGTTATTTTATTTATTTTGTTGCTAATGCTAATTTTCTTATTTATTTGGTAAATAACGTGGTATTCCCCTACATAGTCTGTGTGTGGTTTTTTTTTTATTATTTTTTTTAAGGAAAAAATTATTTTATTAATACCCTTTTGCTGGAGGAAAATTTTTTTTAAAATTGGTTTTAATTTTGTTCAGTGAAATTTCATTTGTTAATTGGTTTTAATTTTGTTTCAGTGAAATTTCATATAAGGTTTATAATTATTTTTAAATCTTCAGATGTTTTATCACCATTTATTATCATGTGATGTATCATTAGATTTCTATTCTATTTTTGGAAAATTCTTATTAATTTTTTGTTTATTCTATTTCAGTATATCAGTTTAGCTGCGAAAATATTCTCTTTCATGAACAACTTCTTGGTGAACTTTGATAATCAATGCATTAAAACATTTTTAAAGTATGTTATTAGCTTGTTTTTTTAATTAGCCTTATGTTATTTATGATTTCTGAATAATAAACATTTGTGGTTAATTATAAAAGAATGGCATTACATTAATTCAATTCACTTTAATATTGTTTTCTCTCTCTCTCTCTCTCTCTCTCTCTCTTTTTTTTNTTTTTTTTTTGCAATCTATATAATATGAGTATTCAATTAAATAATTTATTATGTAAATATTGAGGCAATATAATATAGTTAACATTGAGGGGAAGTGATGACATGTTTTTGAAAATGTTAACAGAGTTTATATAATTTAATTTACATTGAAAATGTTAATTGGTAATATTTTTAAAAAAAAAACATGAATATTGGGCCATATATTCTGCTGAATGTTCGGCCCAATATTAAATAATAATAAAATAATATTTTATTTATTATAAAATAATGTGTTATATGAATAAAGTATTATTTGAAAAATTGATTTAATAAGGAATAATCTAAAGTCGAATTTTTTTACTATATATTGTATAAAGTAGTTTTTACACATACTTATTGAGTATACATACTTTATTACAAATATATTTGTGCCGAAAGACGCATGGAAAAGCGAAATATGAAGAATTGAAACTAGATTACTTTATACTGATTTGTGAATTTTGTAATGCTGATTCTTATCTTTTTTAATTGTATTTAGGCAAGCAAATTTCATTGTTTTTTTCAACAATTTATGTTTTAAAAATTGATAGAATTTTTTACAAATTTTATCATTTTTGCATGTTAGCAATGGGTTTCTAGTAAATTTTATTCTTTTATTGTCTCTTTTTTCTTGTACATAAAACAGATAACTAGTAACACTGTAAACTGTGATTCTCAATGTTGAAGGTATATTTCAGAACTAAAAACAATTTTTCTTTTGATTTTTCATAAGCATTTCCTTTTATGAGCGTATTTATTAGGGATTTATTAAACATTATATATCAGACAACTGATTCGATATTATTTATTATGCAACTTATGACTGTATGTACATTTTTATTGTGAAGGTTCCTTTATGAAGGTTTCTATTAGACTTTCAATATTCACTTTTTCTTGAAAATACGGTAACTGGTAAACTGAAGTGGTTAGCTTTAAAATTTTCTTTCAAAATTTGAGATCGATTTTAATTTTTCTGTTTTCCTTTGGTGTATTATATATATATTTTTTTAAATAGGAATTTTTATGATGGGGCTGTGTTTTTAAAAGCGTTTTTGGTAGACATTATTTCTTTTAATGTTTTATGGATAATTTTTTTTCGGGAAAATATAATTTTTTTGCCTTAAAGTTTCATTTTAAGAACAAAGGGGATATATATTTTTTTCTTATTTAATAACTTTTTTTTTTTTTTAAAATCTTAAATCTTTCTAATTATCTCAAAATCTTATCTTAAAAATTTCTTATAAAGTATCTTTACCCCATATCAATATACAGCTAACTTTTGTTTAATTTTCAATAATGACTAAACTTATTTCTATGTAAAAAATATTTATTAATAATATTTTTTTTTTAAAATGTTGCTATTCGGCCAATTTTTTTTGGCTGAATATTCGGTATTCAGCCAAATTACTATTCATTACATCCTTATTTCTAAATGAATTATAAATTTCATAATATTTCTTTAGGTACAATCTAAGTGAATCTCAAATGATCGTGTTGGCTGGCATAATCAAAGACTTAGATAGAGAAACTTCTAGAATAGATAGTGGTATGTTTTAAAATTTAAATTTCATATTATGTTTTTGTCTTCAAATTACTTTAATGTGTTATTTTTTTTTATATAATTTAAATTAATTTTTTTCCTGTTATTTCTTAAAAATACTGAATAAATATACGCTTAAGATTATCAGACTTTTTTTAAAAAATGTTATTTTAACCTTACTAAATATTTTCATTCCGTAAAAAATTTTGTGAATTAATAAATTTTAATTTATTTGAAGCATATAAAAACTTAAATGAGAAAAAATACTGTTAAATTATCGTTAAACATTTTACAAATAAACAATTAAATTTTTTTCATTTACATTATTCGCATTATTGTGGAAATTATTGTTCAATGCAATTAAAAAAAATAATAAATAAATAAAAGATATTTGTCTTTATTTTATTTATTTATTTATTTAGCCATTACTATCCCACAAAAAATGGATATTCTTATCAGGATACTTTTTAATAATTACTTTTGGTGGCAAAGTAAATTAAAATATACAACATATTTTTTACTTGAAGTATGAAATTTTTTTATTTGCTTTAATATCGCTAATTGTAAAATTTTTAATAAAAACAACAAATTTAAAACCAATATTTTTGTGTATAAAATATATTTCAATTTATTTCATGCTTTCCTAATGTTTTTATTTACGAGAGAATCTATTAATATTGATTACTTTTTTCAGTTTATTATTTTTAACTTTCGAAATTATAAATCCTGCATTTGTTTGTCATCTCTAATTTGTTTGGTATTGACTGAGTAAAAATGTAGGCATTAAATTTTCTGAAATACAGTTATAGTTCCAGGATCAAACAAACTTTATATTAAACCAGAGTTTTAGGTAGCAATTATTTTCTGTAATACTGTTGTCTTTGATAATAGTATTATACAGTAATGATATTTTCTTTGGTAAGTAATTCTCTTATATTTGTTTTTCTGTTTTTTTTTTTTTTTTTTTTTTTTTTTTTTTTTTTTTTTTTTNCATTCACAACATTTTAGCAACTAACATTCTGATTGATAATTTACAGGTAAAATAAGCTATTATAGTTTCATTTTTTTTCCTAATATAAATATTTTATATAAGTACACATTCATAAACTAAACGAAAACAAAATCCACTTTTTTCGATTATATCTAAACCAATAAATTTAAATAAAATGAAATGGAATACATTTCGTTAGTTGTGTAATTTAGATAGTTTTTACTATGTATTCTAGTCTCAAATTGTGCATTAATTTGTTTGTTGGTATTGTAAATTAATGTGAAAATTCAGTTTTTTATTCCTCCAAATGTTTTGTAGAATTGTCTCTTAGCTCAACTTGGAGTAAGCCCTTGGCATCAAGAAACATGGCCATTACAGGTTTTCTCACGTACTTTGTCTGTGCTAGCTCAGGTATGTACATTTTATTGTTATTTTTATGTATGTATGAAAACAAATAAGCTTATATTTTCATATTTCATTATTATAAATTTAAGCAATTTCTCAATTTTATTTTTGATGAAACAAAACAATAAAAATCACTTAAATGTCACGTAAATAAAATTCTTTATTTCCTTACTTTTAGAAATTAAATTTTGTAGTTATTTAGATTCTGCTAGCTTGTAGTTTTATCAGACATAAAAAAAAAAAAAAATTTCATCCTAATAAGTGACTTTTTCCTTTTCTTAGACTTTATTACTTCGACAACAAAGAGAAAAAGATGAACTTCGGAGTGATAGTGAAGCATCTTGTGTTTTAATCTGGTTGAAATTGTTAAATACCATGAAAAGGATAATTTTAACTCCTGCAGCTACTTTTACTTCAATTGAAGATACTGAAGGTTTTTATTTTGTTTTAAAATATTCTGTATATTTTTATAATTTATTGTTGCATTTTTATAAAGAGCTTTATAATGTGTATTTGTAGTTAAAGTATTCTTTTTAAAAATATTCCAGACATAAATGTGGAACATTCTCAACTACTTTTGTTCTTATTTCACAATCTACATCTTATGCAAAAGAAAAGTGTTTTGTTAAAGATGGCACAAACTCTCATGGAGATTTCTTCTTCAGTTATGAGGTATTAATTTTTAAATATAAACTAAGGAATTGTTTGCATGCTTGACACTCTTTTGTTTTGATAATTTGCGTATGATTATGTATTTTTGTTATTAGTTTAAACAGCTAATAACAACTTTAAAACCTTTGAAATAGTGGCACAATGGTTGAAGCATTGAGCTAAAAAAGACTATGCTTCCTTCTTTGGTGACGGTTTAAGTCCACTTAGCTTTAAATTTAGAGGTACTAGCTAAGCTGATAAGTAACCACATTGTTAACCTGTAGGTCTCTAAATTTTAAACCTACAATTTATTGCTTCCAAAGTGTTTTACTTTACTCAACAGGAAAATAGACTATTATATGTGCATGCATATGTAATTTGAATTTTTCAATCTATCACAATTTGGCATTTAAAAATAGTGTTTTTTACCCTGCTACTTAATCTTAATTCTCGTTTAAGTATGTAAATTTCATTTAAGCATTAGTTTAAATTTATATACTTTTTAACAGCTGATAATAATTTATCCAACTTCATTTGTAATGGTATGTTTCTTTGTATAATATAGAAAACTCATAATTATCTTAAAATAAAAGTTCACTTGATTCAAAGATGCCTAATAAAAAACCATTTCATTTTGAGCTTTTGTTAACAGCTGATACAGTGTTTTGGTTTTTATTTTTGTGGAATTGCTGAATCAATAACTGATTACATTTTATATATATATATATAAAGTTAAATGATTAAACATGACATTTCAACTAAATGATATATAAGGAGTAAAGAGAGAATTTACAATTACTCTGACTTTTAAAAGGATCACTTTCTGATTTTGCTATGTGTGAATGAGGGATTCAAAACATATTGGTATTAGGAAAATATAGTTAAATTGAAATAATTTTGAAGAATGCTGTCGCAAAATGTATATATTTTTTATTTTAACTTTCCAGTCCCCTACGAGATTTCCAATTGTTGTATCTTGGCAGAATGTTATTAATATTTGAATACATGATGAGAAATTTATATGATGCACCACCATCTTTACTGGAACAGGTATGATTTTTTTTCTATCTGTATGTATCAAAATTTGAATTCTAGTTAACTGTTCCATGCTACGCCTCTGAATTATTTTATCTGCTAATTATTAACCCTCCATGAAGGTGTGAAAATTATAATCATATCATCAATCTTGATTATTTGCAACTTGATTTTGTTAATTTAAATCAGATTTATGATTTTTTTTTAAATGCAGGGCTCTTATGATTATTTGTAATTTGAAATTGCGTTAAATATTTGTAACAGCCCAAATTGCAAAAAAATATAATCAGCACTAGTGTATTAAAAGAGGTATTCTTCAATGAAAATGTATGTTTATGGAAGTAAATGGAAAGGTAGAATAATTAAATAAAGTGTTGTGTATACTTATTGATATTAGTTTTCTTTCAATTCTTTTTCAGATTCAAAAAAATCTTTTTAGTTTTCAAACAATAAGTGTAGCCACTGAAAAAGACAATACTAAAAAGCAAACTAAAATGTTTTTCGCATGCAAAGATATTGAAGAAAACTATGTTAAAAATTTGCCACATGATGAAACCCAAGGTGAGTGAAATTTGTTAAACTGTTTAAGAGATTATCATTCGAAGGCAATTTTCTTAAAATGCTATTGTTTTACAGGCTCAGTTTCAAAACCCAAATTCTTCAATCTGATGTCTGTTGAATTTAGTAATCAAGAAGTTCCCAAGTTGGATGGATTTGTAAGTTGTTTTCATGTGCATTAATTTTATTAAAAATAAATTACAGTAAAGTCCTGATTATCCTTAGAATTGGGTAGCTCACAAAGTGCAAATTGGCGATTTTCTGAGCATAAAATGCTTAAAAAAGACACACATCATGAATTTTTTAAGATATAAATGATAAATTTAATACCTTTTATTAAATACCTTTGGCTAGCAGTTTTCTTCACACTTTTTTCTTATAAATTTTTTAAAATTTCTGTATGAAAAAATCTGTCAACTTATTTTGTTTTTTGGTATTGAAACACCTCTTTATTATTTAAAACTACAGATTTTTTAGCAAACTTTTGTCACAAAGTGTCGCATCTTTTTGCTCTTTTATTAAATTAGTCCTTCCATATGGGCTAAAACTGTATCATGGCTTTTTTTTTTTTTCCTAATCTGATCTTTTTCATTTTCTTCAGCATCTGCACTTAATACTCTATCTAAAATTTCTTCATTGCTAAAATGTTCTATTGCCTGATAATTTGTGTTACCATCGAACCATTCACATTATATCCCTCCTCTACATTATTTCCTCCTGAATTTTTTTTAATGAAATTTGCCAAATCAAGAACAGATGTTTCTCTTCCCCAAGAAATTCTTTAAAATTGTTTTCCATGTTCAGTCATATTTTTTGGGGGGATTCTGTTAACATTGACTTTTTTACTGACTACTAAGCAGCGTTTATATCATAAATACAGTCAAGAATTGTATAATCATTCTCTGATTCCAAAACTTTTTGGATAATTTCTTTGTTATATCCTTTTTCCTTATATGTTTGCTTAAACTTCTTTTTTATTGATGCAATTATGCCTTGATCCATTGGCTGAATTAGAGCTTTCTCATTTGGAGGCAAAAACTTTACCAGAAAATTCCCATCTTGGAACTTCAAAACTGTCTCCCCTGGATGAGTAGGATTAAGAATAAAAAAAATTCTCTGGATTATTGAAAAAAGAATTGTGTTAAAATAGGAAAAGTATTAATGACAAAGTTGATATTTTGGTGGAATTTTTTAAATTTAAATTATCAAAAAATTATGTTATTAAAGTTTAGCAGCATCGTATAAATCTTTTGACACACATATTCTTTGTAACTATGAGCCATAAAAGTCTATGCAAAGTTAAGGAGAAACTCTGAAACATCACTTATGATGAATTTCAAACTGTCATTGGCCCATTAGTGTAGATTAATAATAATCAAACACTTACTGTTTTTGGTTTTTAGAAATTTTTTAAATCTTCAAAATTTCTTACATTTTTTTTTTCAGGCTTTGAGTTTTATTCTTAGCAGTGGAGATATTCTAAAGTATCCAAGTTTCTACTATTCTATTCAAAATCTTGTTTATATTGCCTCTCAGTGTGACATGATTAATCGAGCAACTGCTGAAAATTTATCATTTCTTGTAAGTAATTATTTTATAATTCTCTTTGAACGGTTTCTTAAATATGCTATAAATTTTTTATTGTATTATTACTTTTTTATAGGGTCTATGTGCTGTTCAGTATTCAATGAGCATCGCTTGGAGATTACTTCTATGCCTACCTCCTTCTGTACAGTCTCTTGAATCTATTTCTACAGGATCTTCATCTCTCAATGATGCTAATGATGCAGAATGTCTTCATGCTATTCTTTGGTCCTCAAGAGCAGGTCACAAAGTATTTTCTGGTTGGATGAAGGTAATATTCCATTAAATTGAATGTAGTTTTTAAGCAGTTTTGTAATTAAAATTCACAAAGAAATTAATTAGGTTTAAAGGATATGACATAATTATATTTTTCTTGGATAAGAAATTATTCTAATCCTAATTACTATATATAGTAATTAGGATTATCCCTGAGTGATATTTCTTTACCCCTCTTTTTAAAAAAACCATTTGTCTGAAACAGTAATGGTCAAGCTATACTACGGTAGTAAAAATTAAAAGAGCGATGAAGCAAAATTACAAATTTCAGATTTTTTTAGCAAAATAAACTTCACCGACAAAATACATATAAAAATAATAATAATAATAATTGAATATTTAAAAAAACACCCTATTTGGAATTGACTTTAATTTAACAAAAGTATTAAGATGAAGGAAGTTTAGATAATCGAGGTTCTGTTGTATTTAAAGAAATTTGTCAACAAATTTTTCTGGAAATGCATTTTTTAAGATAACATGCTTAAAATTTCAATTCAATTTCATTATATTAAATGATTACATTTTTCTGTGACAAAACTAATGTTTTTTTTTTATCTCTTAATTTTGAATCACCAGTTTGTTGTTGAAAATGCTATTTTTTAAAAATGACATTCCTATAATTAACTCTTTTGGTGCGTTAATCACTTATCAATTTAAATTAATTTTGTGGAACAAGTTTTATTTTAATTTCTCTTTCTGCAGATTCTTTTGAAATTGAAATCTAATCTTTAATTTGTGTGAATATAATCATGAAATTTCGTTCTAGGATACTCTAGTGAAGCAAGGCCTTACTACTCAAAAAGCTGAATCTCTTCTGCGATCTGTTACAAAGAGTGCCTGTACTGTCAAATTTGACATCAAAGTAGCTAAACGACTTTTAATAAAGCTGGTAAATAAACTAATTAATTAATTATTAGTACCTACTTATTTTTACATTGTATCGAGAGTAATTTTTAAAGTTATTTAGTTCTGACATTTGAGTTTCGTTTTCAGCAACAACTCAAAACCAAATCTTCTGAAGAATCGAGTAAAGAAAAATCATCTGTAGCTCAGAAAACGTCTATGTATGAAGAATTCAGTAAAGAGCAGTCCCCGCGCTTGTTTGATTTATTTCTGATTGAATGTGCAGTTGCTAAAGTTCAAGTTGCTCTTGATGAATATTTCTCTCGACCATTGGTAACTTTATAATTTGTTTAGTAATTTTTTGTAGGTTTAAGTTTTTTAAAGCAAATAAGCATTTTTTTTATGTTTTAAGTTATTGAATAAGTAGAATCAAACTGTTGTGTACTTATGCTAATTGTTTATCACCTAAAACCTGCTATTATAATAAGTTGTTTAGTGTCATTGCATATATATTATAGGGATGGAACAAGTATTCAGCCACTATTCAGTATTCGGCCTTCTCAACCCATTGACCAAATGTTTGACCAAGTATTTTTTGGAAAAAAATTTTTGTCAAAGTTTTTTTGGAATTTTGATAGATTAAATGGAATATTCTAAAATTAAAATAATATTTTTTTATACGTTATCTGATATAGTTTTTAAATATATTTGTTAAGTTTTAAAATTCATGTGCTTGCAAATTTATGATCTGGAAGAAGAAATGGAAAAGCAAAATTCCAAGAAATCAAACTTGATTACTTTATACTGAAACATGTTTTTTATACTGCTGATTTTTTTAATTACATTCAGGTGAAAATGTATAACATATTATATTCAACACTTCTGTCTTAAGAATTGAGAACTTTTATTTATCTAATTTTTTTTTGTTTTTGCTATTTTTATTACATTGCGGCACTTTAATGGAACATTTTATGATAGATTTTATTTTTTATTGTTACCTTTTTCCTGTGCGGTAAGATAAGTAACCTTGTAACAAAAAAGGTGTGATTTTCAAGGTTAGAGTTACATGTTAAGAAATAAGAAGAAAGAAAACTTTGTTTCTCTTTTGCCTTTTTTTTATAAACTTTTCTTTTTATCAGTGTTTTTATTATGCCACAACATTTTTAAACAGCTTTTTTAATTAACATTATTCTTTTATTGTCACCTTTTCCTAAAAATACGACAATGTGAAAAAGTCTAAGTAACTTACTGTTAAATTTTCTTTTAAAGACTAAAACTGATTTTCATTGACATTTTTATTATCACACAGCGATTTTTATTAGACTTAAAAATGCAGTATAATTGGAAAACTGAGATGTTCCGCTTCAAAAATTTCGTTTGAGAATTAAGATCCAATTTAATTTTTTCTGTTTTGCTTTTATATATAATCTTTTGTTTTGTAATGTGGCATTTTTAAAAACGTTTTTGACAGATTATATTTCTTTTAACGTTTTATGTTCACTTTTTTGGGGGGAAATGTTATTTTTAGCATTAAAGTAAGCTTAAGAATTAAGAGAATCTTTTTGTTTAAAAAGAACTGTTGCTATTCGGCCAATTTTTTTAACCCAATATTCGGTAATTGACCAAATCACTATTCGTTATATAATATAATTTTTCCCTAATATAATTCACCCTAATATATCTCACCCTAATATAATATAATTCACCCTAATATAATTTTTTTGTTAATTTCAATTCATCAAATTTCTTTAATAATGGTGAATATTTGAGTTGCGATTCTTTGATATGAGGATAAAATAGTAAGTTTTGCAATCTTGGGCTACATGGTAGTGTTTTGCACAAACTTTGTTTCCAACAGTCCACGTATGCTTATTAATTCAGTTATGACTTTGTTTATCATTCAAATAAAGTACAGTAGAGCGCCGATTATCCGAACCCTTATTATCCGAACGTCCAATCATCCGAACTATGTCTGATTTTTTTTTTTAAAGTTTAGAATATTTTTTAGCTTATCAACAATTTTTCTAACTTTCTGAACCAGTAGATCTTTCGGATGAAAGGATGCCAGGTTGTGCAGCAGAAGAAATCGAAGACTGATGTTGAGACACTGAAAACTGCCGGGAATTTCATATGATAATGAAATTTTTGCTGAAATTTTGAATGAAAATCGGAACTCTACAGACGAAGAGGAAGACGTAGGTGATCAAGTTCAAGATAGTGGACCTTCTCATATAGAAGCATGCAATTCATTAGATATTGCAGTGAATTTGCTAGAACGCCAAAATTATGTTGATCCAAGTTCAGTTGATTTATTTAAAAACAAGGAGGGATATGGCTGCTCAAAAAGAACATCTTCTTTGAAACAAAAGTCTGCTGGATTTCTTTTGCAATGGAAAATAAAGAAAAATGTGGTTATATCAGTAATTGACAAAAAAATTTAAAAAGCTGAAATTTGATTAAAAAAATCAAAATGAAAAAAAAGTTTAAAAACAATACTTAAAAATATTTTTTTAAGGAGCTATTTTAGACCACAGAGCTATTTTAGCCCCTGCCAGTCCTAAACCTGGAAAAAGTGTGAAGGGAAGGTAGTGCATAAATAATTATTATTTAAACTAGATTTTAAGCAACTTTCCAATTATCCGAACCACGTTCAGTCCCGAGCAATTCGGATAATCGGCGCTCTGAAAAAACTGTGTGAAAAACTTCCATGAAAAACTGTTAATTATAATTAATCTTGCTCGAATGTTTTTGACGAATATTACTCATTCCTGAAGTAAATATGGTTTCTTCTTAAAGTCTTTTTATGATTAAGTCATATTTTTCTTTTTTTTTAATCAGAGTGAAGGGGCTAATACTGAAGCAAAAGAACTTGCTGAAGAAATGCTTCCCATAATCTTGCAGTCTATAGAAATTTTATCTTCATGTATCAGGTATGTATTTTATGTTTTTCTACTTAAAGTATTACAAATACACCTAATATTTTAAATCATTTTTTTTTAAAACTTGGGTAAGCATAGTAGAATGTTTATCTAGCACTTACTAAAACTATCAGATAAAATTCTATAACTCATTTGTGAACTTATTTTCCCCACAAAGCAGGGGTTCAGATATTCTTCTTTTATGTAATTATAAATCTTTTTTACATAAAATAGTTTAATTTTTGTCTTAAATCTTTTGTGCATATTTTCTCTTTTTTTTCCCTTTTTTAAAATTTTTGCTTGCTTCTTTAAACTGATAAATAAATTACTAATGTGCAAGATAAGATGATTTTGGTCAATGGAAAATATGTTTGTATATTGTTAAATATGAGCTAATTTTAAACTTTGAAGTGTGTACTTTGTTATTTTTTCCAATTTAATAATGTTTTTTATTTTATTTTCTTTCTTTTTTTATCTTTGAAAGCTTCTGGAGGCTTTTAAATTTGTGGTTTTTAAGTGGAATTTTTGATTAAGTACTATTATGTACTTGGGATGTTACCATTAACGTAACATGCATTTCGGATATTTACCATTATATTATATTGCACTTAAGAGACTTAAAATTATATTATTTTTATGTTCTTAGAATATTTATCTTTATTTGCATGTGCTACATAAATTTTAAATTTCTCAGGGATGATTGCGCTCCGGAAAAAATCCGGATTTCCGGATGTTCCGCTAACCGCGATCCGAAACTTTCTGGAAATCCTAAGTCCAAAAGTTTCAAGAAGTCTTCGATCACATTTATATATAAAAGTTCTTGTATATTTTATTTAAAAATATTAGAACTGAAATTTATATTTGGCATCTCTTTCATTTGTAAATATTTTTTCTGGTAGAATAATAAATGTGATTAGAGATGAAAGTAAACTTATACATAATTATTCCTTTAAATTATGCTGCATATAATTCATTTAGAATATCATGTTTTGAAAATTTCAATGATTTAAATTTATAAAGATATTAATTTTTTAAATGATTTTACTCAAGAAATTTTCAGAATTTTTGAGTTAGGCCCCTGAGTATATAGTTGAATTGTGTGGGTAGCTATGAAGTGTTGCAAAGTATTATAAAAAAAATGTTTCTCATCTTAAACTATCTCTGGTATATTTTTATATTAAATATCTATTTATTTTCATTGAATAGATGGAATTTACTTCATCAGTTTGCAGAAATGTCGACTAATGCTGCACAGTCTACACCCCCTCTAAATGAGAAAACATTACAAGCTTATAATATTGTGCTCAGGATGGCATCTAGTGGTGTTTCTAAAGTTTCAACGTTCACCTCTGCTATTGCAGACTTTTTGCCCCCCTTACTGAGAAGTGTTTTGGGACATTGGAATGCCTACACAATAACTACAACTGCTTGGGTAAGAATTTGAAAGATTTGGTAAATGAAGCTTCATTTATTCGCCCACGAAAATTCAAATTGATCTTTGTTTGTGGTTAAAATGATTTAAATTGCAATTGAATTAGGAATAGTAAATTTGAAATGATTAAAATTAAATTTGTGTTTATTAAGATAGTCAATATTTGCAATTAGAATGTATAATGTATTGCTTGAAAAATTACTTATATTTGTAGATTATTTAATTTTTTAACTTGCACTTTTTTTTTAATAAATGGTTTTTAATGATATATATACTGCAATGCAATTTAAATAGTCTACCAAGAAGGTAAAAGTGATGAAAAAAACATTCCAATTAAAGATACTGAACTCGGCAAATTAAAAGTTTGTTTTTCTCAAAAACCTTGTTCATTAAGATTCAAATTTTTTTAATTAAATTTCTTTAGTATAAATACATTTATTGCCTAAGGTCATACATTAAATTGCTTTTTTAGCATTAATTATAACATTAATAAATAATAAAAATAAATAATTACATAACAATTGATTAATAAAATTATATTTAGTTGAGAAAAAAAATTCGCTGCATCCCCATGCAGCTAGAGATCTTGAGTATCTGAGTTGTAAGCTACTGAGAGAGAATACTTATATCTCCAACGACACGTCACATGAAAGTTGAAGTTATTTTTGAAGGATGTGAGCTAGACTCGACTGCCCCACTGTCTTAAAAAAAAAGTTAATGGAAATAAAACATTGGTCCTAATGGAAACTATATGAATATATGTGTTAATTAAGATAAAGCTTCAAACAGTTTTTCAATTTTATCAAACTCATGTTAAAAGTGGATAATTTTGCTTTTTCAGAGGAATGATTTCGCAAATGACATAATTCCCTCTGAAAGTTATATCATTTCCATTCAGCAAGCTCATATAAATTGTCTTTCAAGTAAGCCCACTTAGTTTTAATTTTTAAAATAATTTATATTTTTATGTAAAATATTGTCTACTGTACTATTTTATTAAATTTTTACTATTTCATTTATTTAGGTCAACCAAAGTTTTCAACAAGTCCCAATTTAAAAAGAGTTTTACATACTCTTGTTAGATTTGCTGGGGATTTAATAATGTAAGTTCATAATTTAATTTTCTTACATTTATTAATGAATATAAGAACCCTGGAAAAACCTATATTGTTTGGATATAAATTGTTATATTTTTACACTTTGTTTTGTACATTCATATTATTTTACTCAAACACATGTAAATATTTTTAAAAAAATATTTTGTTCCTGGAATTCCATTAGAAATGTATGCCTCTGTTTATATTTTATTTCAAAATGAAAATAAGCAAATTTTAGATTGACATAAAGTAATTCTAAATGCATTTAAGTTTTATCAATTATTATTGGTTATTTAACCATTAAAGATATAATGAAAAAAAAAGAAGAAAACAAATGGTACAAGAAATCCTGTTAGAAACAGAGTTGTTGGCAATTGCTCCTTCGCCTTTATGCTTTTTTGGCTCCAGATTACTATTTATTAGTCCAACATGAACCTAATAGTGAATATTAAATACACTATCCTCTAAAAGTGCTATTAGATTATGGCATCTATAAACAGAAAAACAAAATAGTTCAGGGAACAGCTCAAATGTGCCTGTAATTGATTAATAAATGTAAAATAAGTAAATAAAAAGTCTTGGAGTTTAAGAAAATAGATATTCCTAATAAATAATAACTCTTATTAAAAAAAACAGTATGCTTTAAGTTTCATTATTTTCTATAAAGTGTAAATTTATATGCAGATGGTGTCCAGAAAATAATAGCTCAAAAGAAATGATTCGTGTGATGTTACCATTACTCCTTGATGCCACAACCGAATCTTTAGGAGATTATGTGAGTATTGATGGCTCATTTATGCCATGCTATATTTTGAAATATATTCTTTTAATTAAAGGAAAGTTTCTAAAGATATACTTTATATAAACTTTATTTTACTTTATTCATCTTTTGTGCTATTAAATTGTACCTTTCATATTAGTCTAGCAATTCTAGAACTTTTTGTTGTTTAAGATTGTTGCAAATTTTATTCAGATTATTAGTACAATGAGCAAATATAACTAAATACTTATTCAAAGTGATATGAACATGAGTACAATGTGCTCATTTGATCCTAAATTTTCATTACAGACAACACTAGCTCTGGAAAGATTGATTGGTGCCCCAGATAGTGATGAATATCTATCTTACAATTATTTAGAAGTTTTAACTCAAAGTTATTATCTGCTTATTAATCATTCAAATAAGGAAAGGTAAGTTTGTATTGTAAGACTCCTCATTGCAAAAACAGTCATTCCATGTTATTAGATAGGAAAATAGTGTATAGGAGAGAAGCATTTTCCCAATGTTGCTCATTTGTTAAACGGCCTGAGGGTTTAAAATAAAGTGGTTGGCCATATACTTAAAGAACATTTTAAATGGTATATAAACTATCAAAAAGGATTAAATTTTACTCTTAAAGTTAGGAATTTGAATGGGTTTTTGATCTAAGCCAGGGATTTCCAACTTACATGAGGCCGGGGGCCACAATTAAAAATGCAAATCAAATGGGGGGCCGCAACTTTATCAAAATTTCATGTAGGACACTTTTATGTTTGAAGGAACATTACATATTACAGTCAGATTTTACCAAGTTGTACAAAACAAAAGTATTGAATTACAAATAAAGATAAAAAGTAGATTTTAAAAATATTTAATTGCATATTAAAAAATTCAAGCTACAATAACTTTAATGTGTACCCATGTATTGAACAATTAATGTGCAACAGATATCTAATTGCTAAGATATAAAACTTTAAAAAGGTTAGTATTAAAACTTACATAGTAGTACACAAAATGTTCAATGACAAAATTGAGGTTTGTCTGCTGCAACCACCAGAGAATAGATATTTACATTTAAAATTTACAAATGTGTGTGTAAATATTTTCGTCCTAAATCAGTGGTTTCAAAAAGTTAAATCGGAGAATTTCTTCGAGAAAATTTCTGATACACGCATGCTAAATTATATTCACAAAATACGAAAAAACTGAAAGAGCAACAGACACGATTATTTTTGTATTTGAATAAATATTTTCTTGGATGCAAAACCTGAGAAATATTTTTTTGCACCGTTGGTATGATAAATTTCACCGAGACAAAGAAATTAGGTTTTCATTAACGAGAAAAGTATTTTACGAAAATTTTCCGCAAAAATTGACAACTAATATATTTTAGTTTGTGGGCCACAAAAAAGGCTTCGCAGGCCGGATGCGGCCCCCGGGCCGCCAGTTGGAAACCACTGATCTAAGCTGAAGAATACCAGCAAGATGTTTCCCATTGGGACTTACTAGTTACTCTTTGGCGGGCTACACACTATTGAGGTAAGCAATAAGTAAGAGACATGCGAGAGGCAGACTCCCATATTTTAGCATTACCATGCGCACATCGCCTCTTCACATCCTAAGGCAAAACTATCGGCCTCTTCAGTGTGTGGTCTTAGTGTGTGTCATAAATAGCATCAGCATAAAAAAATGAGAAAGTTTGTGTCATTCATCTTTACTGCTTGTACCTGAATCCTTTCACGGAATTTATCAGTTAAATTTATTCTTGTATTAATTTTATTTTTAAAACGTTTCTTATTGTCTACTTCAATAACAAAGAGAATTTTGCAATTACTTTATGCTCATGAATTAGACAAAACTGGAAAATTCTAAAATTTATGTCATCCATTTAAAAAATTTGCATTTAATATAATCAATTTATAGAATAGCCGAATAATTTTTTTGAAATTGTTTGTGGCCTTATAAGTGCATGTATGTATTAAATGCTATTTAATTCTCTTTCTAATGTTATTTAATTGTACTGATTTTAATGCTATTGGATATTCTGATCATTTCAGTTTATAAGTTGTGAAAAAGCTACAAACTTAATTTTTAAAATTCCTTTATTTAAGTTTAATAGCATAGCAAGAATACTATAACTTAAATGTTAGTTTGTCTTTAATCTGTTAAGTATTACTACTTATGAAATTCTATGATGTTATACCAAATAATCATGCTCTTGAGTTGTAAATTTTTTAAAAAATGTTTTTTGTCACATTATTATCTAGTTATATGTCAGTAAAAATAATTTAAGTCATATAATGTGGGGGAAAATCATTTGTTTTAACTGCTTTAAGGTCATATCATCTTTTTGAAAATGAAAGTGTTCCCTCTTCCAAAGAAGTATCTTTGGGTAAGTTTACTGATAGCGAGAAACTCTGATTCTACGGCGCTGGATTATGTGACCAAGCCTACATTATTTTTAATGTTTTATCGTTTAAAACTAATTTCTGTTCTATTTCTACTCTAAAAAGTTTTTTGTTTTCAGTTTTAAATTTAGTTTCATCAAGTGTATGTACAGTCTATTTTAAATAACTGACAAAAGAAATTTTGTTTGTTTCTACTTAAATTAAATCTTATTTTTGCATGCTAAATTTTAACATTTCATTTTTTAGTGATGTTGATGAAAGAATTTTGCATGAATGCCTTAAATTCATGGAAGGTTTATTGGATAAAACAGCTGGTAAAAAAGCAATGGAATCTTTCTTTACTGAAGATAGTGATAATGGTAATGGATATTTATGCTTTTTCATCGTAGTAAATGTTTTTTAAATCAATTTTCAAGTTTGTTATTTATTTATTTTTTCTTTTTAGATATGGTGAATATACTTCTATCTGCAGCCAATAGCAACTTGAGCTCAGTTTATGGAACCAGAGTTCTGAAGTTTTTCAGCAAGTTGTTTCAACAAAGTAAATAAACATTTCTTTGATTTATAATTTCTTTTCTTAAATCTTTAATATAATGCCTGCAGATTTTTGAATTGCAAGTACAGTAATTTAAAAATACAATATAAAGTACGGGTCTTCGATCAACTTTATTTGCATTCTACCGAAAATCACCTAGTTTAGTTTAGTTGAAATTAAATCAAAATGTCTTTGTTTTGAAGCAGAGTTAAGTTGTAATGTTTACAAATATATTAATGTCATATATGCTTTTAGAGCTAATACAGGCTTTTTGAAATTTTAATTTACTAAGCAGTAGATTTTCATGGAAAAATAATTTGATAGGCTCATATTAAAATAATTCTATGTATAATATCTTATATTTTCTATGAAATGTGCACTATAATTCAATTTAAAGTTTTGCACAAATTCAATATGAACTAATATTATTCTGAAATAATTTGTATACATCATGATTTTTTTTCAATTATATAAATACATATTTTAAATTATACTTTTCCACAGAAACTTAGCCTGAATTAAAATTATTCATAAAAATAGATTTTCAATAAACTAGTTTTTGAATTGGGAATTGTTGGATGGGTCCCAGTCTTCTTGAAATTTAACACCATTTTAGCTTCTCAATGAATGTATATATCGTTAGAATACAATTCTGTCTTATATAATATTTATAATTTATTATGTCTTTAATAATAATTTTAATTTCAGAAGAAAAAAATCCTGGTGATAAAACATTGGAGAAGCTATGTAACTCTCTCTGTAAAATGAGTAAATTAGGAAAAGTTGATAGTGCAACTCTGCAGCAGTGGCTTAGTAAAGTGATTTTTGGAGCTCCTAGCCAGGTATTATTCATTAATTATTATTTATCAATGAATGATTATTTATTATCTTGTCTCCATTATTTCTACAGTTTGTTGTATTCAATGAATTCTACTTTCATTAAGTCTTTTGATCTGCTATGTTTTAAAATATGATTATTATTATATACTTTACCTGGTATTGTATGCAATACATGAGGCATTCTGTAGAATAACATGCCTTCGAGGGAAAAAAAAGTTCTGATAAGGTTACTTTTTTAAAAAATTTTAATTCCTCAAAAATTAGTAAAATATTGCCTTAAAGGAGGCTGGTCATGTACATTGCTAGAATTGTGAGAAACATTGGTATTCTAAATTATTTAGCATTCTTTGTTTATTGTTTATCATGCTGAAAAAAAAGTTATTCCAAATAATAAATCCAGAGTCCTGTTTTGGCACTGTACTATGTATTGGCTTTTTTTTTTACAGTATTAACTTTTAAAGTAATGTTGATTTAATTTTTTTTTTAATTAAAGCATTTCATATTAAAAAATTTGCATTGATATTTCTTTTCCTATTTTTTTCTTTTAGCAAGTAGAAGAGGGCAGTACTGTTCAAGAAAACAGGCTACTTTTACAAAGTCTAACATCATATATTGTCAAACAAAATAGTGCTGTTGGAGAAAAAGTTGCCAACACTTTCTTGTCTGCAATGATTCCAATGGGCTCACAAATCTTGTCTCCAGCTTCAGAGGGTATTGGATTTTCAGAATTAATGGTTATCATGGCCATATTATCTGGAGCTGGCTCTGGTACAGGGCATGTACAGCTCTTCAAAGCTGCTCCAACTTGGCTTGAATTATGTAAAAAGTACTTGGCACAAAAGGATGTTTTAGAAAAATTGGAACAGAATGTTTCTGGAGGAAAACACCAAATAATGATGGAATCATGTTGTTATTTGCTGTCTTACATGGCTGACATTGTTGGAGCATTACGAAATCAGAGTGATAAGGTCACTGGCATTAGCAGAACAGGAACTGCATCACCTCCTTGCGATGGTGAACTGCATCATCCAGAAATCGATTCAGACTGGGCTGAAGATATTGGTCCTGATGATGAGGAATCGGGAGGAGAAGACTCTGATGAAGATTCTTTATGTAACAAATTATGTACATTTACAATAACTCAAAAGGAATTTATGAATCAACATTGGTACCATTGTCATACATGCAAGATGATTGATGGCGTTGGAGTTTGCACAATATGTGCTAAAGTGTGCCACAAGGACCATGATGTGACTTATGCAAAATTTGGATCGTTCTTCTGCGACTGTGGTGCTAAAGAAGATGGTAGTTGCCAGGTATAATTTTTTCAATAAATATTTGAACAGATGTAATAATTTTTAGTTTTTTATTTTGCAATATTTTCTGAATATCAAGACATTTTGTTATAATTTTATAGACTTCTTAGTTTCATTGTAGACAGAACAGTTTTTTTTTTACTCATTAATGAAGTTAAATGTAACTTATTGCTTAAAAAATAAAATTGCATTTCTTTCAAATAAAATTATTTTTTAAAACAGGATAATCTCATTTAAATTATACAATGATGTATGTTAATTTCCTTTTGTGAGCTTTCAAGAATATAAATTTATTATTTTGTTACAGTTTTTATTGTTTTGAAACTAATGGTAAGAATTCATGGATAAGTATGGAATAAAGGAATATTGATTTTTAAATTTTCTTTTCTTAAATTCTACATCTGAATCTTTTGCATGTCTAAAAAAATCTTTTTAGTTAAAGATACTATAACAATGCTTAAATATACAAGACTATATATAAATGCAACTTTAATTAAAAATATTTATTGATATATTTTCTAACTCAGTAAAGCCAATAATATTGATTCTATTTGCATAAATTTATGAAACTGATTTGCTGATTGCCTGCACCCGATGGTGGCAAAAAAAAATTCTTGCCTACCTCTTTTGGCGCATTTTTATTAGCACCGCTGTCAACAAGTATGCCTAAAACGGAATCAAATATTGCAGTCCTATTATATACTAATTTAGTTCACTTGTATTAATCATTTTTTTAATAATACAAAACATGCATTTTATAAATAAAATAATGGTGGATCTATATTAAATGTTATCACCCAGATAACATTTTTGTTGCCAGTCTGTTGCAAGCTTAAAAAAAAAAAAAAATAGCAGTATGTACACACAAAACTATTATTTAACAATGCTAAACAGGCATATCATAAAAAAAGATGTAATAATAAATGCATTAAAGTTACTCACTTATAAGATATGTATCATAATTTTTTTCCTTCAAAATAACAAAAACTCATCTTTAATCATTATTTTAGCACATGCAAGAAAAAAAAATTGACTCCACAGATATATTACATCCTTTGACATAGAACAAAACTTCTCAGTGTATTATGCAATAAAGTAAACATTCCAGGGCTCTATTCAAAACAAATCACAACGCCTCTAACTAAAAATGGCCAGCCCAGAATGATAATCTCTCACCCAAATGACATGTACGTCCATCTCTTCAAAATTAATTTGAACATTTTAAATTTATCTGGACAGTGTTTCTAGTAGTGGATTCCAGGCAAATTTGTTCCAGACAACCGCACTTAAACTTATAGTGGGTGAAAATTGACAACTAATCAAAGCAATTGGACAATTCTTAAACATTAAAAAAACGTCAATGTAGTGAATTTCAGGCAAATTTATACAGTATGACGTCAAAATCTTTGCTTCTTCCACTCTCTTGATCATTACATCACACTTATTTGATCAAACACACTTATTTTCTATTCAGGAATACAATCCAAGCCACACATTGGTAGTTATCACGGATGTTGGTGTGGGGAAAAAATCGTGAAAAACGAGTATAGACGCATAACAAATCAGTAACAAATAAATTTTTGTACAATTTCTTATTTCTCTAAATTTATGTATATCAAATTTCACAGGCCCTTGTCAAACGCAGTCCTAAAGTGACTGCAGAGAGCGGAAGCTCTGCACAATCTGCACCTGGATTTTCTTTTGGAACTGACTCTATATTGCCAAGCTCATTACGCAGACGACCTTCCTCACCTACTAATGCCAACTCGGGTACTTCCACTGGTGATCCTTCTCGCAGTTCTGGAGAAGGCAAAAAGAGTGGTGATGATACACAGAAGCACAGACAAAATCTTGTAAAGCAATTGGAGGTAGTATAGCTTTCTTATATCTGATGTTATAGTGATGTAGTGTTAGTTAAATGTTTCAATAATATATCTCATTATTTAGGCCTCCCGAGAAACACTTCTGAATTACTTGGTAAGAATGATTCAAAAAATCTTTTTTTTAATGTATTCTAGGACAATTTAAACTTTAGTTGGATTTGTTATGTGTATTCTTATCTTTTTAGTTCTCTACCAATATCTCGGCCACAGTTTTGGAACTTCTGCAATATTTGATGCCAGCTATAAGTCAATCCTGTCAACGAAATTCACCTATAGGAAGTTCAATTAGAGCACAAAATGCATTATTAGAGCTTCATTCTCAAGACAAAGTTTTTGAACAGTCAGATCAGTTAATGGTATGTGCATATTATCATTACTGCACTGTTATTTGATTATTTATTTACACTTGAAAAAGAATTTCTCTTTTCTGTTTTATTTTACTTTTTACACTTTTGTTTCAATGTCTTCTCTTTTTCCTACAGACATTATTAAGCCATTACTCCAGATATTTAAATGTTTATCTCAGCTCATTTAAGAGTAATCATAATATTTTAAAGTAGAAAAGTGAAACATTCTTTTCTCAGCCTGTTGGTTGTCTGGGGTTATGGAGGTTTCACAATTTCATGACCAATAGCATGATAGTGGCAATGTGTTCAGTGCTGTATGCAAGCCCCCTTTATTTCCCAAACAAGCTGGTGCCCATTGACTTGAAGCTGAGTGGTCTTCAAGCTGCCACTTAGGATCAAATTTCAATGCTTCGCAATTACAACTCAGTGCTGTCACTGCTGAGTTTTTGGGGCTCAATAATTTAAAATATTAAGGATAGCAAGTCCAATTTAGTTGTTACTAAGACTAAAAATGTTTCAACCCTTAAACCTTTAAAGTGTAACAACTTTTGTTTTAAAATTATTTGTGTTGATATATTAAACTGTCAACCTAATTTAAAATTAGATTGACACATCAGAATGTATTGATAAGTGTTAGGTTTGTAGTTCTTTTGTAACTGTTTATCTCCAATTGAACAGATTGTACAGGAATTTAATCATCTAAATCATAGGTTCCCAACATTTTTTGGCCCCCTTCCTGCAAAAGTTTTTTTAACACTTCCATGAAAAAAAAATAATAATAATGAACGTTTATTAAACTATTTAAATAAAACTTTATTTTTTATTTAATATTTATATGTACTATTTCCTGTATTTTTGATTCAGTAAATTTTTGAAAATTTCTATTGATCAATAATTTTATGTTTGTAAATTTTTTAACAATTTTTTTTATGAAAGTAGTCATAGCATAAAAAAAATGGCTAAAAACTTTTCCCTAGAGCATAAAATTACTTCTTAATGAAGTATTTTTAAAATCCCTAACTATTATAACAAAAAGCAATAGTATAAATTTTGAAAAACGAAAAAAAAAAAGTTATTTCAAACTTCCCAGTGCAAAATTTTTTTTTTTATTGTAGAGGAGCGAGCAAAGTTTAACTTGCACCATCTAATTGGCTTAGAACCTTTTTTTTCCCTATTAATAAATCGCTGAATTACTAACTACTTAATGATCATAACAGCTAATTTATGCAGAGTTAACCATGGTTTTTTTATGCAAAATAAAATTATTAATTTTGAAGTATACTTCTATTTAAAAGTTTTTCTTACGTATGTTATTTTTACATACCTTCTAGAAAGTCCCAACTGCCCACTAGGAATGTAGTAAATAGTAATTTAGCTGAATACTGACTATTCGGCTTCAAAAATCGATGAACTTACTGATTTATTTTCAAAGAAATATTTGTCTTTAACAGTTTGAGATGAAAAAAAATCAAAATGTCTCAACAAAAATTTTTGAGGAGTGAAAAAAACTCATATTTGATGTGGGAAATATGCATCTAAATGGGTTTTGGCGAGTTCTGATTGGAGAACTATTCCCAATTAAGGCCTTCAAGTAAAAACATTACACTCTGAAACATATGAGTAACATTTACAAACCATTTTGCAATTTTCCATAGTGCCTCCTATTTCAGCTGATAATAGGAAGTTTACTGTTTTTATATTTAAAGTGTGTCATGTCTGTGAATTGTCTATCCTAATTTCTCAAGGGCTTACATTAAATATTTCTTGCAGAAAAGGTGTGCTAATTTTTAATATACTTTTTTTTTGTGTTTAACTGTTTAGTTTATAGAAATTTATTTTGAATTATTGATATCTTATTCTCATCACTGTGTTCATTTAAGCTTTCTTTTTTACTATTTACTTATTTAAGGTGCCAACTCTTGGCTCACAAGAAGGAGCTTTTGAGAATGTTAGGATGAATTATTCAGGGGAACAAGGACAGACTATCCGACAGCTTATCAGCAGTCATATGATTAGAAGGGTTGCTATGTGTTGTTTAGCCTCACCTCAGGGAAAACGACAGCACCTTGCTGTTAGTCATGAGAAAGGAAAGGTATGTTTCTCATTTTACTTTTTCTTAAATCTCCCACTCCAGAGTGCAATTTTTCTCTCATTTCGTAACTAATTCTTTTGAATTTTTTATTGTATGGCATTTCTTTCATAGATCACACTTCTTCAGCTGTCAGCCCTACTAAAACAAGCTGATTCAAGTAAACGGAAGCTGACTTTAACTGTAAGCGAAATACTTTATTCAACATAAATTTTTGTTGTACCAATGCATTTTTGAGTTCTTCAAGTAGATAAAAAAAAAACCTTTTTGACCTTATTTTTTTTCTTTAAAGAAATTATAATGTATTTATGTTTTTAATCCATGTAAATTTCAAACTAAACTCTTTTTAAACTTAAGTATTAAATCAAGATCTTACTTTGTTCTTACCATATTTGTTTACTAATTTCTGAAAATATCTCCAATTTCAGCGTTTGGCATCAGCGCCTGTTCCATTTGTTGTTCTGTCAATAACTGGCAACCCATACAATGAAGATTTTCTAGCTGTTTGTGGATTAAAAGTAAGTATTAATATTTTTTTTTCTGGAGGGAGTTAATTTTATTTTGATTCTTATTGCATAAATCTCTTACAGGATTGCCACATTCTCACATTTAGTGGCACTGGCTCTGTATCTGATCATTTAGTTTTGCATCCTCAACTAGAATCAGGCAACTATATCATTAAGGTACATACTTTTTTGCAATTGAATTCTTGATTATATTCAAATAATAAAACTTTGATCTAAAAATAACAAAAATTATTTCAGGCTATGTGGTTACCTGGCTCACAAACTGAATTGGCTCTTGTAACAGCAGATATGGTGAAAATTTATGATTTGTCCCAAGATGCTCTCAGTCCTCAATTTTTCTTTCTTCTTCCCAGTGAAAAAATAAGAGATTGCTGCTTTATTTTTTCGGACGACGGACAGCGGCATTTGATTCTTATGTCATCAGCTGGTCATATTTATTATCAGCCAATGGTTGAAGAGAGTTGTGCCAAGCATGGACCATTTTATGTCACAAATATTTTAGAAACCAAGCATCCTGAATTAAAGGTTGGCTTTTTAATTTTACATTTATATTTAGCAATAAAATTATGATACAATTACAGAGTTAACTTTTTTTTGAAAAAACAAAACATATGTACAATATAACTTAAAACACAGGCGATAAATAACTGAAAATGTCTGTTTGTAACATTTAGGACATTTGGAAAATAATTTCATGAAAACATATTTTTTATAGGCTTAAGTTATATTACTATTTAAGCTATTTTTACACTCACATCTCTATCATATATTTCAATATATGATTATCTTCTTCAAACTTTCAAAAGTAGGAGTCAACTTTTACTCTTAATGCATAATGGAAATTAGTTGATTGTTACACATTGCATTGAAAATAAGGAACATTGTGTGAAAATAGAGTAAACAAGCATTCTTTTTAAACATTACTTCTAAATTGTGCATAATTTTTTTGGTTTAAGAAAAATTTCTTTGAAGTATTACTATAAAATTGTCATTTATAACTTGTGCTACAATGTTTCTGTACACAAAAGTAAATAGAAATAACTTCTAAGCAGACATTCATGCTAAGCACGTTTTTCTTGTTATTATGTTATTCTTGTTGCCAATTGTGCATACAAGCAACCCTTTGCAGTTAAATTTTTTCTGTGCAATGGATTACTTCAAGAACTCATCAGCTATTTTGAAATATATTTTTCCTTAAATTTTTTGCCGTTATTCAAGTGGCTCCGATTTTTATTTAAAGACTGTTTTTATTTTATTATTATTATTTTAGCTGTCTTTCATTCTATTTTCTTTTCACAATGTTTTTTCTACCCACTCTCTCTCTCTACCTGGAAACAAACTAATTGACGAGTTTTCAAATCTATTTTTGCATATTTAATTTCAAAAATTTTATCTCTCTAGTTTTATTATTTTCCTTTTATATTTCAGAAATTTTAGTTTCAAATCTTATTTTTACATATTTAATTTTAAAAAAATTTATGACTACGAGACTCCCATGATTACGAGATATTCTTTGTTATAGAACTTTATTTTTATTTAATCCTGTATAAATTGTTCTATGAGAATTAATGTTGACCATAAGAAACTTTTTCTTTGAAAAAAAATAAATGCAGGGCTTTAAATTTTTTTATTAAATTGTATTAAATGGTTTCTCATAAATTTATTTAATTCATTATTTCTTTATTATACAATGCCATTTACTGATATATTTTTCAGGATTCAAATGGAATGGTTGGTGGTGGTGGAGTTTCTATTTATTACTCTCACACTCTTCAGCTGCTATTCTTCAGTTATGCTCAAGGAAAAAGCTTTATTGCACCTTTATCAAGAATATCATCACAGCTTTCTCAAATGTTCCTGATCCAAATGAAAAATAACAGTGCTAATGGCAATAACAGCGGTAATAGCAGTAAACCAACACCTCAACCTCTTTGTCAATGGTCTGAAGTTGCTAATCATCCTGGTTTGATATTAGCTCAAATTCAAGCATCAAACAACCCTGTGATTTTAATGGTAAAACCTGATACTGTGCTAGTTCAGGAAATTAAGTTCTTAACTGCTAAGTCCAAAATTACTGACATGGTTGCGATCAGGCATGTCATTACATGTGGAGAACTAAGAACAACTTTGATCCTATTGTGTGAGGATGGTAGCCTTCGTATTTACATGGCAAATCAAGATCAGACAAATTACTGGTTAACACCCGCCTTTCAGCCTGTGTCTAATACCAGCAATAAACCTTCAAAGAAAAAGAAAGCTGCTAAAAGTGGTAGACCAGTTGGAAGTGTTTCTTTCCCTGTTGATTTCTTTGAACATTGTACAGCAATGAATGATATAGAGTTTGGTGGAAATGATGTTTTACAAGTTTACAATACACAACAAATTAAGCATAGATTAAATACAACTGGTTTGTATATTGCTAGCACTAAACCTGCTGGATTTACTATTGAGGTGAACAATGCAGATAACTCAATGGTAATGGTAGGTTGCAGAGTTTTAGTTGGTAATCAGGATGTTCAAAGAGCTCCATCTTATATTGAAATTTTTGGACGAAGTGTTCAAGTTAATCTCAGCAGAAATCGATGGTATGATTTCCCATTTTCTAGAGAGGAATCTCTCACTGCTGATAAAAAAATTACAATATTTTTCGGTGCTAGTGCTGATCCATCAGGTGTTACTATGGTTGATTCTATTAAAATATTTGGCAAAACGAAAGAAACTTTTGGATGGCCAGAAGATAATGATGATTTCCCTTCTCAACCAGCATCAGGCACTGCAGGAGGAACAGGAACTGAATCTGGTGTAGAAGGAGTGGATGGTGTGACTGCAACTCCATTACCTCTTACTTCTCTAGACAGATTAGTAAGCAGCAGCTTAGAATTATTAGATGGCTGCTTTTCTTCAGGGCTAAATATTGAAGAAAAATCTGGACTAAAAAGTTCAGCAATTGATTTAGCTACCACAATGTTAACCCTACCAATGCCTTCACTAGTCCATGAACATGTAAAAACTCTTCTAGCTACTCTGCATAGCAATCGTAATTCTTATTGCTCTCACAAAGATGATGCTTTATTAAGCTATGTTGTGCAGTGCTTGAATGCAAGTCAAGAAGGGAAACCTACCGATGAGTTAGATGGGGAAGCTCTTTATCGTTTAATTGCTATTACAAGAAGTGTTGCTGTAGCTAGACCTTCTAATTTAGTTCGTTTTGCTGAAACTAATGATAGCATTTCTACTCTTGAATCATCATCAATAGATTTAGATCATGGGTCAAAATTAAATCAAAGCAATGAAGAAACTAGTACAACATCTCAATTTGAAAAACAGCAATCTGGCAACCTTGAAAGTCCTCAAAAAACTGATATATCTGGATCTGCTCATTTCATGATACAGCTGACTGATGCATTTTGGCATCTGCATGCTATGCAACCTAGTAATCCAGCAATTGCACCAGTATCATTTAGAGGACTTGTTCATGTTGAGGCTACAGTTCATGCTCTTGTTGAAGTTATCCATGCTTTCACTGCATGTGATCTTGAACATGTTTCGCTTGCAACAAAACTGTATGTAAAATTGCTCCTTTGTGAAGATACTCTTGTCAGTTTTGCAGCTAAACAAGCTCTAATTCGTGTATTAAGACCTAGAGTACGCCGAAGAAAAGTTTTTATTCCATCTCCACCACGCTGTAGCACTCCTGGTGAAGTTCATGAAACAGAACCAAATGAGTCTAGAAGTCATCCACAACCTCAAGCTCCATCTCAGTCAATACCTAGCTCATCAAACCAAGCTCAGGCTCAAGTTCCTCAGCAACCGGATATCCATGATTTCCAACAAGAATTAGAGCAGTTTGAAATAGTTGATGGTTTAGACCCCTTAGTTCTTTTACCTCCAGACGGAGCAGGAGGTGGTGTTCCCGCTCTTGAAGCATTGATTGGACAAGGTGGTTTTCCAATGCTAGATATACCTCCAGATGATGATGATGAAACAATGGTTGAACTTGCCATAGCTTTAAGCCTCCAAGACCAACCTGAAGATCAGCCTGGTGGTTTAAATCTGCAGGCATTATCTCTTGCTGCTCAAGGATCCCATCATGCATCATCTATTGAAGGTGGACATTATTCTGACACTACAGCATCTGCTGGAGCTAGTGATGATGAAGGAAGCACTGCAGCCACCGACGGGTCAACGCTGCGCACATCTCCTGCTGAACAAGGAGGCAGTGCTGGGTCTGAAAGTGGCGGCAGTGGAGTAGAATCAATTATGGGTGAACATAATGTTAGTGGACGTAGCAGTGCTTATGGAGATAATGTCCCCGAAAGTATTACTACTGGGGCTCGATCTGAAACCAGTTCTGTAGGGTTACCAAGTTCGACTATGCCACAAGGCGAAGAAGGGCTCGAAATGGACACTGACGTTGATACCAGCTTCCGTTTACATACTTTACGTTTGATTCTGTTAGAAAAAATGCTGCAGTACTTTCCTCAACTCTCAGAAGTTGGAGGAGTCAGAGCTATACCTTTTATGCAAGTAATTTTGATGTTAACATCAGATCTTGTTGGAGATGAAGAAAAAGATTGTGCTGCTTTGGCCAAACTCTTACCAGCTCTCATTTCTGCTCTTGACATGAATAATAAAGATATTTCTAAAATATCTGAAAGAACATCTGCTAGAGAAGTTAATTTAATTGTTATGAGATTACTTAGTATTATGATGTCCAGACTTAAAGGCTCATTAAAGTTGGCTGGAGAATCATCTACATTTTGTAGTAGTGCTACAGCTTTAGCCTTGGTTTCAGCTAATGCCATTGATTATTGCTTGCAAGTATTAAAAGTTTTATTAGATTATTGGAAAGGTGTGCAAACAGAAGACAAGTCTTCCAGTATCACAGGAAACTTACTAAAATCCCATCCACTTTCTCCTCCTCCTGATATGTCACCTTTTTTCTTAAAGCAGTATGTAAAAGGTCATGCCAATGATGTTTTTGAAGCATATCCTCAATTGTTAACTGAAATGGTATTACGACTTCCTTACCAAATTAAGAAAATTCTCAATTCTATACCTGGATCTCAATCTGTTGTTTTCTCACAGTCTTGGTTCCTTTATTTATGTGAATATATGATGATGCAACAGACTCCCTTTGTACGTCGTCAAGTTAGAAAACTTTTGCTATTTATTTGTGGATCTAAAGATAAATATCGCCAGTTACGTGATTTCCATGCTTTGGAATCTCACATGAAAGATGTGAAACTTATTTGCAATCAAGGGGGATACATTGATTTTGCTCAAAATAATACCCTGCTGAATCTTTCTTATGATTCTTTAATTAACATGATTGAACATTTGAAAGCTTGTAGTGACATTGCTACATCCAGAACCATTAATTGGCAAAAGTTCTGTCGAGAAGATGAAACTATTCTCCCTTTTCTCATTCATGTTAGTTTCTTGCTGGATGAAGGGGTATCCCCTATTATTTTGCAGCTGTTACAGTGTGCATTATGTGGAGCTAAAGCAATGCAGCAACAACAACTACCAAGCAGCTCTTCTCAGGGAGCAACTTCACCATCAAAACAGCGAAAAGAAAAAGAGAAGACTGAAACAGAAGAAACTAGCGATTCATCTAAATGTGACATTGCTCAGTGTGTTGCTCTTGCAGCCCAAGTGAATAAATTTGTTGAAAAAAATCTTCTAAGTAATTTCATCTGTGCATTTCTGCTGGAATCCAATGCTACATCAGTTAGATGGCAAGCTCATGCATTGATATTTCATTTGCATAAAAATTCAAGCCCTTCCCAACAAGAAGTCTTGCTGGATTTAATGTGGAAATTATGGCCTAAATTACCAGCATTTGGCCGACGAGCAGCACAGTTTGTTGATCTTTTAGGATATTTTACTCTCAACATGCCTCAACAAGATAAAGACAAAGAAAAAGAATACATTGAAAAAGGCTTGGATATCTTGCATTTGCAAAATCAGCTTCTAATGAATCATCCCAATTCTAATATCTACAACTCTCTTCAAGGTTTAGTTGAATTTGATGGTTATTATTTAGAAAGTGAACCCTGTCTAGTTTGTAATAATCCTGAAGTGCCCTATACTAATATTAAACTATCTGCTATTAAAGTAGATTCGCGGTTCACCACAACAACTCAGATTGTTAAATTAATAGGAAGTCATACAATTTCAAAAATCACTCTGCGTATTGGAGACTTAAAAAGAAATAAAATGGTTCACACTTTAAACATTTATTACAATAACCGTTCAGTGCAGTCTGTCGTAGAATTAAAAAACAGGCCATCCATTTGGAATAAAGCTAAAAAATGCACTTTGGCTGCTGGGCAAACTGAATTGAAAATAGAATTTCCTCTTCCCATTGTAGCTTGTAATTTGATGATTGAATATGCTGATTTTTATGAAAACATACAAGCCTCATCGGAGACACTCCAATGTCCAAGGTGCAGTGCTTCTGTTCCTGCCAATCCTGGCGTTTGTGCAAATTGTGGTGAAAATGTGTTCCAGTGCCACAAATGCAGAGCAATTAACTATGACGAAAAAGATCCTTTCCTTTGCAACTCTTGTGGTTTCTGTAAGTATGCCAAGTTTGACTACACTATTACGGCCAAACCTTGTTGTGCTGTTGATCCGATCGAGAGTGAAGAAGATCGCAAGAAAGCTATAAGCACAATAAATAGCTTATTGGAAAAAGCTGATAGAGTATATAAACAGTTAATTGCAAACAAACCAGCGCTAGAGTTACTTTTATTACGAATATATGAACATGCTGTAATTGAAAAACCTCCTGATGAAAATTCTAGCTCAAGTACTTCAGCATCAGTCTCCTCATCTAATGTTAATCGTGCAATTCAGCAACTTGCTCAACGTTATTGTGCAGATTGTAAAGCTTCATTTGATGAACTTAGCAAGATTGTTCAAAAGGTCTTTAAATTTTTATTTCTTCACTAATTTCATTCATATTTTAAAAACTTTGCATTGAAATTTAAGTGTGATTTTTAAAAATTAATCATTAATTATGTAACTTATTAAGGTATACTCTATATGTTGCAAGTTATTTCAACATTCTGATATATAATATTTTATATCAATAGTAGAAGTAAAAATACATCCACAAAAAATTCAATAGGGTGCTTTTACTAGTAGAGAAACCCACAAATAATGTAGGTTTCCACATCCATTTCCCTTAGTTCTGGAAGAAGAAGAAAAGTGTTAAAAATAATGGTCACTCAAATTATTAATTGATTACCGAAATTAACATTTTATATTCATAAAAAAACACTTAATAATTGCTAGATTGCATTTGTTGAATATTATACATTGTATAAATATTACTATATTATATTTTTTTTATTTAAATTTAGAACTAAATAGAGAATTTAAAAAAAAAAGTCAAATAAAAAGCGCATTTATATTGATAACCTCCATGTTATGCATAACAAAATCTATTTGTTTTAATTTTAAAGTAAAGTTTCTTTAACTACTATACTAAGTTTGGTTGGTTTAATGCAATCATCATATTAACTTTTCTCTTGATACTCTCAGTTAATGCCTGAAAGATAAAAAAATATTTAAGTTATAAGCATTAAATTGACAAAATATTAGAAATGATAAATTTTTAAAGAGAACATGCCTATCTTAGAGACTGACATTTTATTTCAAATCAGGCTTTCTTTAATATTGTTGTTAAAATCATTTTAACATTCCTTGCTTAGAATGTGTGTTTAGTTTATAGATAGGCAGCTGCTTATCGGTCGCTTATAAAGAGTTGCATAGTCTTTCCTATTGTATGTTTTAACAATAAATTAATTGAGTAAAAATTATCAGATTTTTTAAAAACTGGTCATTGTTAAAAAGCCTTACATTATCGAAGTGTTATATCATTGAAGTCTCACTATATTTTTTTTATCTAATACAAGTTTTCCCCAAAAATGTATTTATATAATCTTATAAATTTAATTTTATGTAGGTCCTTGCATCTCGAAAAGAACTAGTAGACTATGAAAGGCGCCAACGTGAAAGTCGAGCAAAATTAGCATCCCAGATATCTGTCACGCAAGAAAGTTTGCTTCAGAAACGACAAACGCCCGATGATTCTCGGGGTCCTACTTTTGCTGTAAATGCTCCTGGTAAATGTTACGGGTGTGCCAGTTCTGCAGTGGAACATTGCGTAACTCTTCTAAGAGCATTGTCAACAAATAGTCGTTACAGAATGATCTTATGCAGCCAAGGTTTGATACGAGAACTTGTGGCTTACAACTTACGCCATGGCAGTGTTCGTGTTAGACACGAAGTGCGGCAATTACTGTGCTCCCTCACCAGAGATAACACTCGAGCCACGTCTGATCTCAACTCGTTGCTCATGGAGAAGATAGCTACTGCTCTTACTGGACAAGTTACAACTCCAGACTTAGCTGCAGCAGTCAGGCATGAAGTGGCATTGTTAGCAAGTAGCTTACAAAAACTGGATTCCTGTTGGGAGCAGAGATTAAGGTTAGTTATACTGTTTATTGAAAATGACAATTTATACTTATTTTAAATGAGTGTAAATGATAGTTTTGTTGCGTATTTTATGGTTTTGTTAAAATGTAACAAAATTATGAAACAATTCTGGACATTTTTATCATTCTAATCAAAGAGACAATATGGTTTTTTGGATATTTAAGAAAAAAAATATCCAAACCCATGTTCATTGTATAATTGTAATGTACTTATAATTCACTGTATAATTTTAATGTACTGTATCTTTAATCCTATAAGTTAACTCTTATTAAAACAGTATTGAAATTTAGCTGCAGTGCGCTACTTTTCCACATTCAATTACTTACAAAGTAAGGTTTTTTTTTAGAAAAGCGGGATTAATTATTTATCTTTTAATTCTTCAACAGTAAAACTTTATCAGTTTATAAGTAACATAGAACATTTTATTTAATCACATTAAATCAAATATAAAGTTCAAAAACTTGAATATATTTTTTAAATTTTGAAAAGTTGAATACTGTAGTTGCATTTGTTTCCTAATTCAAAAATATTGTCGAATTATGGTCCAAAAATTTCTGTAATTCTAATGTTAAATTTGTTTTATTCATATATATTTTAAACAAATTTAAAAAAAAAAAATATTATTATAGGTGTGTTATGAAACTTTTCTTGATGGGTGTGAATGCAAAAAGCTCTGTTGTTATGGAAAGTATAACACTGCCTTGCCTCAGAATTCTTCAAGTTCTTATTAAACCTGAGCCATTTTTGAGTAAAAAGAGCAAAGACAAGACTATTGACTCTTTAGCGACAGTCAGTGTTGCAGGTATCTTTGTTTGTTTTTTCTTCCCTCCATTTTTTAAAATTTATTTTTGCTATTTAGCAATTATTTCATATGAAGTTGTTTTTTTCTTTTATGCACATGAAACTGTGTTTGAATGTTGTATGCAACTTATTAGCTATTTTTGTAAGTTAGTCCTGTAGCCAAATTATAACATTCATCAAAGGTATGCTGCAGTAAATAATTGATTATCAGAAAAAATGCCAAAATTCAGCTGTTGCAAATAATTCCAGTCGGATATGCGTTTAAGGTCAAAAAGAAGCATTGAGTATTTTTATTCATTATTAATTTTTTGTTATGAAATGTGGATGGTTATTTTGGCTCTTATGAAGTCATAATCATTTAAATGCTTTGATCTATTCCTTTATTAATAAATTCATAGTTATGAAGATAATAGCTATAAGTATAAATTTACATGATTGCCTTATCATTATCAGTTCTTTCTTATTTACCATTTTACCCTGATCACTCTGTAGTTCATGCACATCATAAAATTATTCATTATAAAACTTATAAAAATATATTATTAGAGTAACAAAAATGTTGTGATTTAGGACATTTTTGTTTATTTTTAATTGTTTAGTATGATTTTATAGTTGTTTTAATTTTAAAAATTGTATGATAAATCAATCTTTTTTTTTTGTGTGTTCAATAGAAAGGTATTAGTGAGGAAAATTTCTGCCAAATTACACAGTTTATCAACTTATGTAATTTAAAATTTTCTTTCTCAATAAACAAATTTAAATTCTGAGTTTTATATAAAGAAAATTTTCGTGAAACTAGGCCATTTTAAAGACTGAAATAAATGTTTTATTCCTTAAAAAAATTCTTCACTCTTTTATTTAGTTAATTTAAGGTTATTTAATATTGACAGAGCTACAAAAATACCTCTTGCCTTAGATTGTTTTAGTATAAGGCTTGAGTGGTGCGCTGTAGACTAGATTACAAATTCTTTAATAAAGAAGGCAAGTGAAAACGTCGTTCAGTGATTAAAATCTCTTTATTGGCAACTTTAGTCGCATTTTATAGGATCTCTCAAGTCTCACATTTCGAGAGTAAACTCACCAATATATCGATGCATAACCAAATTAGTAAAAAACAAAATGAATTGTAAAAGTTCTTAAATAGCAGTAATTTCCATAGCAACACATGCATTGACGAGGCGTGCACACTGCTTACTGTTGAACAAGTGGGTCATTTGATCCTCCTGCTTACATATAACTGTCTTGTGACCTACATATTTTCTTTTAAAGTAAACAAACTTTTCACATGTTGCTAATTGTCATTCTTTGAATAATCTTTAAAGGGTAATAAATACAAGAAATCTGCCCATTAACAAAGGTGTTAATAAATTATTAGTATTACTTTTTCCTATTTTGTTTCTCTTTTATTTTTGCATCAGATATTTTTCTTATCATTTGATTATGTTACTTTTGATAGGTAACGTGTAGGTTCAGGTTTTCAATTTTGCGTTTGGCATGACTTTTGTAACATTAAACTTTACATTTAATCCAATTTATTTTTGTCATCAAATCACTTCGTTGCAAAATTTGTGTTTCAAATTTATTGTTACAAAATATTTTCAATGCTCTCATTCACTGCTAACTAACACAACAGTTATGGTTCAGTATAATTTTTTTGTTCGTTTTAGCTGGAATGAAAGTCGGGGTTGATCTGAAGGGTTGGTTAACTGGAGATCCAAAGCAATCTTTTAAATCCTGGAAACAACAAATGCCTGTCAAAGCAACAGACCAAAACATACCCAATGTCTCCAAAATGAAGAAAGAAGAAATTCATCAGCTTTACTTAATGGAGAAGTATGGTATTAGATGGCGAGAAAAGACAAGGCGCTATATGATGCAGTTGAAATTGCTTCAATCTAGTTGGCTACGCCGTGTTATGTTCAATCCTTCTTCACAAGCGGCAAGGACTATGGCTTGTAACGTAGTTGAAGCTTTGTGCCAGGTATAAATGGTTCTCAACACAAAATACACGATTTATTATAAAACACAAACTCATAAGTTAAAATTTTAAAAAAATTGTGTTTTAAAGATTTTCTAAGTGATATTTTAGTTATTTTTTCTTGATATCTTACGGGTTGTGTTCATAATAAACGTCCACATGGATGCTAACTTGTATGGGAAATATTTAACTAAGTTATAAAATGATTATTGTAGTCAAAAGAAATATCTAAAAAACATGTTACTTCACTTATTACTGTTTTAAATTTAATTAATTCCTTTAATTAATTAAATTTTTCTATTACCAGATTTATATGTATCAATATTATATCAAACTAATTTTTTGAAATTTTGAAAATCAAAATTAAACACTAAAACATAAGTATTGCTACCACAAAAAGAAACAAATTTCTCTATTATCATACAAATCGACAGCCCTGTACCTATCCATGGATATAATTAAAATTTATGGATGCCAACTTGTATGGGAAATATTTAACAAAGTTATAAAATGATTATTGTAGACAAAAGAAATATCTAAAAAATGTGTTACTTCACTTATTACTATTTTAATTAATTCCTTTAATTAATTAAATTTTTCTATTACCAGATTTATATGTATCAATATTATATCAAACTAATTTTTTGAAATTTTAAAAATCAAAATTAAATACTAAAACATTAAGTATACTAAAACATGACCACAAAAAGAAACAAATTTCTCTATTATCATACAAATCGACAGCTCTGTACCTATGTGTGGATATAAATAAAATTAAACAGGAAAGAAAAAATATTTTTTTATAATTTATAAATGTACCTTATTACAATATTGCTGTTAAAATAAATGTTTTTGAAATATCAATAAATATAGCAGTAACTGAAAGTATATCTCATTGTTCAGCAATGAATTTATCAAACTTTAATGTTTATTTATGAAAAAAAATTATATTTTTAAAAAAATGTAAGTTGTACTAATTCCAATTATTATTAAATACAATTTTGACATTCAAATAATATTACAGTTATGTTTACATAAGAAATTTTATAAGATTAAAAGCAATAATATTTTGTGATAATTTTATTCAGAAGTTTTTCTAAATAAAATATTTTTACATTGCAGATACCAAGTCGTCGTAGAGATGTTCTTGACATGTTGACATCTTACCTAGATGACTTAGGATCTGCTGGTGAAAGTGCCGCAGAGTTCCTAACTCTCTATAAAAATCTAATCAACCCTGCTCCTTGGAAGCATTACTTAGCTCTGAAAGGTCTCTTACCTCATATTGGAAATTTAATAACTCATGAAATTGAACATCTAAGTTTCTTGGAGGAAACAACTCTGAATTCTGATCTTTCACAAGGTAACACTTTAGTTTTAGCTTGATTTCTTCCACCTAGTTTGAAAAGAAAAAAATTTTTATTTTGAAACACAATGGTCATTTTACTTCGGAGTGAATTTTTTTAAAAAAAAAAAATATATTAATATGCCATTCTTCTGAAAAAAGTCTCTAAAAATTTTATTCAGAATCCCAATAAATTGTAATTTTATTTTTATAGCACCATATTCTCTTTGTGCTTTAATTTGGAGCTCATTCTTCTCGTTTTTTTCTCTCTCCTTCTTCGTCTTTAGTTAATTAGTTCACACCTTTAAGGCCACACGTTCAAAATAATCATTTCACATGTTGTAGAAGGAAAAGTGAACTTTAATTTCATAAAAGCAAGTCAATTTTTTTTTTACATAGAGCAATAAACTTAAAAATTTTAATAGTTATATTTGTAGTGTGAATTGGGTATTGGAAGAAACTGTGGTTATTAATTAGTAAAGAAAACATTTTGTTTCAGTAACTCAAAAGACTTATCGATATGTATATAGAAAGCAAAAAAATATTACTTCAAAAATAAAATTCCTGTGATATATAAATAAATTGGTCTTGCTTTTTAATAGCTTAGAGTGTATTTAGTTTGTGCAATAATTTATTTGTTTTTGTTAGGATATGCCCTGAAAATGTTAACTGAGCTTCTAGAATCTTTCATCGAAGTTGGCCCAATAAGACAACATTACAAGTCTCGCCTTGTTGGATGTGTACTTAATGGTTATTTATCTCTTAGAAAACTTGTTGTACAAAGAACAAAACTCATTGATGAAACTCAGGAAAAACTGTTAGAACTTTTAGAAGAAATGACAACTGGTAAAAATTTTATATCTTTATCTGTTCTTGTTAAATCCATGATTGTAAAAGTTCATGTATGGTCTGAATTAAATAACAAAAAAAAGTGTTCTGTGTGACCAGTGAGATCTCACCTTATCAGTGACCAGTGATATCTGACCTTATCAATTAAAATTGACTCATTAAAATAAATCAGGAATCTAATCTATCAATTTGCAATTGACTTATGTTGTTGAAGTCTAAGCAGTGTGTCCAACCTAAGTTATAGAAATTGATGTTTTTTTTTAATAACTTTTCTCCCTTCATGCACCACCCAGCCAAGCATCTAGCTCCAGGCTCTATCTTTTAATAGCCACATTAAAAATGCTACTTAATTTGGCCCCAGCCAGACAACATTTGCAGCATTTGAGCTGTATTCCCATTTTAAAAATTTCGTACTGTATCAACAAGATGGCTTTTCGTCAGGACATATTTAATTTGCATTTTGCTACTTATGACAATGTTTGTTTAATTAGCTACCAGGATCAAACTCACCAAAGTTAGATTTTCTTCTATTGTGTATACTACAAAATAATTGAATCGCAAACCTAATTTATTCTATTAAAAACTGTCCTCATAGCTTTCTTTGAAGAAAAAACTATGAAAATATTAAAGAAATTCAAAACTTTGTAAGATATTGAGAGACGGATATAGAAAATTAGCAAAAGTACGTTATTAATGAATAAATAATTTTCTTTTTTATACATTTAAAAATGTGTTGAATTTCATTTAATTTCAAATCAGGCTTCAATTTTTGTTATCACAAAATAATATTCTAATCATATTAGCATTATGGTTTAGTTAAATAAATATTTTATTACTGTCCTATATTTTTTTCAACTGGTTTTTTTTATAACATGTGTCTAAATGAAACCATTGCAGGTACTGAATCTGAAACAATGTCTTTTATGGCTGTCTGTGTGGAAACTGTAAAGAAATATGGACTGGACGATTTGCGTACACCAGTGTTTATATTTGAGCGACTTTGCTCCGTCATCTTTCCTGTAAGTTGTTCGTTCTATTAAAGTAAATTGAGAGACATGTTGCTTAGAGATTTAAAATAAAGTGAAAGATATATATAAATATTTAAATTAACTAAAGATATTTATTTTATTGAATAAATTTGCCTTTAAAAAGATGAGCTTATTTGTTAAAAATATATAAAAATATATTTGTTAAAAATATATTAAAGCTATTCATTATTATCCCATAAAATCAATGGTAATTTCAGTTTTTTTATATAGTTCAGTGTTCTATCAGAAAAGCTTTAAACTTTTTAAAAAAATGAAAAATTTTGATTTTTAGGAAGAAAGTGATTCTGGCGAATTTTACATCACATTAGAAAAGGATCCACAGCAAGAAGACTTTCTTCAAGGTCGAATGCTGGGTAATCCTTACAGCTTTAATGAACCTGGAATGGGTCCTCTTATGCGAGACATTAAGAATAAGATCTGTCAGGATTGTGAACTTGTAGCCCTTCTGGAAGATGATAGTGGAATGGAGCTTTTAGTTAATAACAAGATTATCAATTTAGATTTACCCGTAAAAGAAGTGTACAAGAAGGTAAGTGATTAATAATTAGCTTTAAATTTTTTATTTCAGAATTAACACCTGTCCTTATATAGTTTTACCTAAAACAGTATATTTCTAAGGATTTACATTTCCCATCTTCTTCTGCCAATTTTTATTATTTCACATTAGTAATTATGTTTTTGTCGTTTTAAGCCCCTCTATTTATTCCTTGTTCTGAGAGCAAATAAAAGAAAAAAATATGTTTCATTTTAAATAAAAAGCCATCTCTTTTTTTTACAAAACTTCATTAGTCATATTTTTTAATTAAATATTTTTAAATGTTTGTGGATTTTAATATTAATGTTTGTTAAATTCATCACATTTGTCTATAAGTATGCTAAGTTGTGTGAAGAAAATTTTTTTCATAACTGTAGTCAAATACAGCATTGTAATTTCATAATGTAAGATAGTCGGGTTATTTCAGGAAGCTTTAATTAAAAGCACTTACTGATTTGTAAATATAAAGGTTTCAAAACACTCACATGTATCAGAGAACCTGGAGGTATTGTAACAGCCAACAAAATGAAATGTAGTGGCTCCCTTTCTTAAACATTTTTATTAACATTGTTGTATATTTTCAACTTTCTTCATCTGGGTATATCATTTAAATTATTGTCTAGATCTATTTTAGTATCTAAACTAGTTTTTAAGAATTATTTGTTTTATCTTAAGAAATAATGAGATGTAATTCTAATTCATTCACTCCTTAAATTTTGTTCTGAATCAAAGTATCAAACTATTTTATTGTGTTTCTGTTGAATGTACAGTGCGCAAAACAAAAAATGGACAATCCTGAATAAAGTAGAAAATGTCTGACTTTTCCTGAATAAGAAACAAAAACGTATTTTCTCTGGATAAATTAACCTTTTTTCGATGAATTTGGATTTCTGACTCCCTAAAGTATAGGATAGGGGGATAGCCGCAATATGGGGAAAATGGTCCACTTCGTTTGAGAGCAATCCAAAGTTTAGACCCCTTAGTGTTAAGTTTACTTTTTACGTATATCTTGATATGTCGAGAGCTTTCTAAGCAAATTTTTTTAAAAAAAGATGAAAAAAAAATCACACAAAATTATGAATTTAAAGATATTTTCACGCAAGTCCAAAGATATCTTCATGCAAAATATAGCTTTAAGTAAATATTTATTATTTTATTTAAACAGTTGACAATGTAAGGTATAAAATTTTTTGCCTCACTTTAAAGATTGTAATTTTAAGTGGCAAAATACAAAATTTGAACAAAATTGGTTTAATAGTTCTTGAGAAATCGAATTTTTTAAAAGTCGAAATTTTTAAATTTGATTTCTCGGGTATTATTTGACCGATTTTGTTCAAATTTTATATTTTTTCATTTAAAATTATGTTCTTTAAAATGATGTAAAAAATTTTATATTTTACAGTTTAAACATTTTTTGACTGTTATTAAACAAAATAATAAAAAGTAATAAATCTTTACTTAAAGTTATATTTTGCTTAGATTTATCTTTAGATAAACGTGTTTTATAATTCAGTGCAAAAAATTTTCACTTCGTTTAAAAAGTTCTCGAGATATGGCAAAGAATGTAAAAAGTAAAATTAATACTAAGCGACCTCTCTCTTGACCTATTGGAATAGCATTTAAAATAAAAATGGTTGCGGAATATTATCAATGCATGCAAGCATTTAGTGCTCCAAATATTTTTCTATTTATTACATTTATTGTTTTAATTAAAAGTTAGTTTTAATACATTTGAAATGTTACAAAAATGTATTGTTTTCATTGAAACAAAAAATTTTTGCAGCTGCTCAAATGCCCAAAAATGGATGTTTTATCATTTTTTGTTTTTTGATTTTATGTATTTATAAATTTTTTGTAAGGGCATATTTTGTGTGTTTTAAATGGTCTTCACAACGCTTATACAGTAGGGAACCGATTATCCCATGATTGTAAAAGTTCATGTATGGTCTGANAACGCTTATATATTAACTATATTAATTATAAATAATATTTACTTGCTGCAGTTGCAGATCCCTGCCTTATAATACCGGGGTTGCCACTCCACAGGGAGAACAGGGAAAACCTGGAAAATACAGAGAATTTAAAAATCACCTGAAATAACAGGGAAAATGCAGCGAATTTAGATTTTTCTTTACAAACTGGGAAAATACAGGGAATTATGTTTCTTATTTTTGTCTTTTAAAAGATCGTGACCACTAAAAGCGTCATGTATGGGATATTTAACCATGATATTTCAGCTATACTAAACTATTTCATTTACTATTGCATTATTTAAGTATGTTCAGCTGTTTTTTCAGCAGTTAAAACTAATAAATATAGTTAGCTCAATATAACTCACACAAGAGCACAGAAATCATTGTTTCCTCTTAATATATTGTGTATAATATGTACACAGAAAACACAGAGAATTTTTTTCCCCAGATTTGAGTGGCAACCCTGAATACATATGCATTTCAGAAATTTTCTTTCAATGCCATTTAATTTGCACTGTTGAATTACCAGCATTGTTTTAAGAAACATGAATATTTGACTTAAAATAATCTCTACAATAAATAAAAAGTTTTAATCAAGTGGAGAGGAGACTGCCAAAATTTTAACCATTAATTTCTTTTTAATTTTTAAATTTCCATGAACACCAATATTTGGTTTAAAATAATCTCTACACTAATAGAGATTTTTAAGTGAATATGGATGAGGCTGCCAAAATTATTACCATTAAATTTTTTATTTTACTTGTGAGTTTTAGCTTTTAATAATTTTTTATTGAATACTTATGTTTATATATTGTTTTGATAATTTTTTTTTATTTATTAATTATTTCTTTTTGTGTGTAGGTATGGTGTATGGATAGCAATGAATCCGAAGCTATGAGAGTTGTCTATCGGATGAGAGGTCTTCTTGGTGATGCTACTGAAGAGTTCATTGAAAACTTGGATACAAAAGATAACGAAGAAGTTGACAATGAGGAAGTATATAAAATGGCTAATGTTATGAGCCAATGTGGTGGCTTAGAAGTTATGCTGGAGCGATTATCCACTATTACTGAACTGTCCCGTGGTAGATCTCTTCTAACTGTTCTGCTCAAATTATTTGGATTTTGTATAAAGGTAATTAATTCTTATATGAAGTTTGTGGTTTGTTAGTTTTCAATAATTGAAGACCTAGTTTTTGGTACTTAGTTTAAAATTAACCATTTTTATGGCTTAACATCCTTTTTTTTATCTGGTGCTTATAAATGAGCTAAACATTGTGGTTTTTTATTGTCTTGACATAAATAACCAAACTTGAACCTACAATGACTACAAATATAATTTTTATCAAAACTTTTTTTTAAAGTTATTTTTATTTATTGATTTTTTAAATAATCATTTTTACAATCTTGCAATCCACATATTCTCTTTTATATCTAGATCTCTTTGCTTAATTTAAGGTTAATGGCAATTTTAAAAATAAAATTTTGAAATTCCTTGTATTGTTTAATACAGTTAAGTAATATTTTTTCATCTTTAAGTCTTTAATGTTTCATCTTTGAGTACATATTATAACAATTCATCTGTTGAAGAATAGTATCCTATAGTTTTTTCAACAAACATTCACTAATGAAAAAATTAGTCATAAATAATTTTTAGCAATCTGCATGAAAATTATTTATTCTGAATGTAGTTTAACTTTATAATATTGTAATTTTTTTTTAGTTCTGCTATATTTTATTCTTTAATTGAATAGTTTAAAATTAGTTTGTTCCATTGAAATGTGAAACTTTAACAATATGCTGCTAACTACTAAATAATGTACAAAATGTTTTACCCTTATTACACTATTTTTCGTTGTTAAATTTCAGTTTTAATTTTTAATAATTTTTTGTCAAATTTTATTTATTTTAAAATTGACTTTAAAGCTTCTTTTTTTTTCTTCAAAATTTATTTTTCTATATTCTTGCTCGATTGAATAATTATTAATCAACCTTGTTGTATCTCTTGAATATAGAAAAACTAAAAGTTATCAATTTGATAAAAGATTCACTGTTACTGGGATGAATTTCTATGACTATGTAGTGTCATTTTAAACTCCAGATATAAATTATAAAGTTAATAAGGGGTTAATTATGGATGTTTAAACAATGTTTAAGCTTTTTTTCAAAAAGCATAAAAAAAATATTATTCTTAAATATCAAGACAATTCACTAAAAATCAATTATTATTTTGTTTTTGCTTGGCTATAAAATTATCACTTAATCTTTTGCTGTTGGCTGCAAAATCATTGTTTTAATTACTCTGAATTTTCATCAATATATGTTTTAAATTTCTATTCTTTAATAATAAATAAACTGGTTTAAGTGAATTAGAGTACAACACTAATATCACAATTATGGTCTCTGAATCATGTTCAAACAATTATTGTTATAATTCTGAAGCATAATATGTAACAATTTTCCAATTAGGTAAGAAATAATCGTCAAAAATTGGTAGAGCCAGAAATGGGTGCAATTAGAATCATGCTTGGTGTCTTGAGACTTGCCCTTTCTGCTGATTCACCAGAACTGCTACAAGCTCCTACAGGTGGTCCGACAATTATTGAACAATTACTATTGATAATGGAAACTATTCTAGCTGAAGCCGCTAGTAAAAACAGTGCTGATTATATGGAATTTGCTAAGAGCTGTGGGGAGAAAGAGGATATTACCTCGCTGTTATCCTCTGTTAACAACGTCATTATGAAAAATTTCTCCACTCTGTTGCCATTGCTTATGCGAGTGGTACCGTTCCTTACATTTGGATCTCAGGTTAGCTGTTTTGTATTTTATTACCTAGTACCACTTAATAGTTTGTATTTATTTGTACTTAATAGTTAATTGCTTAATAATTTATAATCAAGTATTCTGGTTTCAAACTTCTATAATACTTAATCTCTTAAGATTTTTTATATATAATTTGTTCATCTTCTTAGTTCAGAGGCCCTTCCTCTCCCAATCAAACTCAACTACCGAAGGGGTGGAGAAAATTCTAAACATGCTTTTGATCCTTTTAATTTAATTTTTACTAATAAACTGATTATGTATGTATACTCTATTTGGCACTATCTTTCTATGCATGTAAAATATAAGGCCATCGCCTAGTCAGAATTTGAGATATAATGCGTGCAGTATTTAAGATTCTATGTTAATTTTTTCACTCAAAATTATGTTAATTAAATTCTGCAATCAAGATTTTTGAAAAATATTAAATAGTAAGCAGTTATTAGTTTTTGGATTCTTGACAAGTATCTTAATTTTTAGACACTTAACGTTAAAGGAAATTTTAGCATCATCCTAGTCGCTTTTCATCAATTTAAACTGCAATAAGATTAGATATTAAAAAATCTAAAAGCTGAGAAACTAGTAGCTTTAAATTACTGACTCAAAACCATAAATCTCATCAATTTATTGCTCTAGGGTTTTGAGGAAAAATTCATTTAAGTTCTAAAAATTATCAAGTGCTATTTCTCACAATCTAATAAAGTAGCCACTTTATTTCCTACCTTTTTTTAAAGGTATTTTGCTGTCTAATAATACCATGTCATCAAAAGTACAAAAAAAAGTACCGAGAAAACACAAATTAAAAATTTAACCTAGAGTCCAAGATGGCAAGGGTAGAGGCCTCTTAATAAGAAATACTCTGAATTATTTATTATTTTATTTTTTCTCAAATTCTTAGTGTCAATCTTTTTAAAGGCTAAACAAATTTTATCTTATACAATTGTTACAGGAAAAAATGGAGACCTTAATTGAGCACTTTAAACCTTACTTAAACTTCAATGAATTTGACTACGAACACACAACTGATGATGATTTACAATTAGAATGTTTCTGTATGTTGACTGCAGGAATTGAGTGCAATGTTAATGGAAATCAATTGAAAGATTTGCTTGTGGAAAAACATATTGTACAAGATGCTCTTGAATATATTACAGCTCATGCACCTCCTATCAAGTAAAAGAAACTCAATATTTTATTTACTTTGTTTAGTAATCTAACATGTTATTTTTGTATGTCTGTTTTACTAGCTGAAAAATGATGGTGTGATTTAGTAAATTACTAAAATAAATTAATCAAAATATGTTGTTTTAAAATGTGGGCATGATTTCTTGTAATCAGTAGTCTTATTTGTCTAACTTATATTAAAAATCAATTATTGTAGAACCTTTTTTAACAAAACAAAAAATGTGCATTAGTCATATTGATTTGTTTCATTTTAAAAATTTATCTTAAACCAAATAATTAATACTTTAAACCAAGACAAACATATTCAGGAATTTTCAAATTCCTGAATATGTTTCTACCTTTAAAGCTGTCTGAGTAGTATTTGAGAAACTGATTTGTTGTACAAAGCATGTGGTTTAAGAGACAATTCATTTTACAGACATTTTTTTAAAACTTTTTTACGTAAAATCAGGCATATCAAGACACTTCTTAGTGGGCAGCAAATAATACTACAAAAATGTGTGAAGTATACAAGCTAGTTCTTTTATTTTAAAGAATATAAATGAGTTTTCTTACTCTTTAACATCAAGGAATAGCAATGATAATGATTGTAGAACTGCTAAATTGATCAAAGTTGTTCTTTGTTCTTTTAAAATGTATTTCTTTTTTTTTTCTGACTAATGTTTTAATTTTATATTGTATACACATTCATATTTATTTGATGCAGTTACGATATTTTTTTTTCTTCCATTACATTTTATAGGAGTGCCTTGCTGGGTGCATCTGATGAATGGAAAGAATTTACATCAAAACCTGCTTTAAAATATGTTCTCAAGTTGTTAACTGGTCTCAGCCAAGATCATGAAAAAACACAACATTTAGTTAGTGCTGAGTGCATTCCTATTATTCATAGGTAAATAAATGTCTGCAAATCTGGAAGCAATTTTCTTGCATTTTTTCTTGTGTTACTTTTTAGATAAATTAATATAAAAATTCAATGTAAAACATATATACTATCTAACTTTATTTATTTATTTTGTTTGAAGCTTCTTTTTTAAAAAATAAATGAATAAAAAATTTATAAACCTTTCCCTCTTCCTTTTTTTAAATTTTTTTTAAAGTTCTTTCATTTGTAGCATGTAGGAAAATGTCATTTTTAAAATTAAATAATAAGCTCAAAAAATAAATCTTGAAAATTAAATTTAACCTCTCTCATTCTCTACTCTATCACACATATGTTAGAACTTTGTCCGGAATTCTCTGTATTTGATCCGTTTTTTAACATTATTATTTGCTGTATGTACCTTTTACTTAAGCAATAACTTGTTTTTAAAGGTTGGAACAAGTATCTAGTGATGAAAGAGTTGGTTCTTTAGCTGAAAACCTTATGGAAGCCATCAAAAAGAACCCAAGTGTTGCCCAGAAAATTGAAGAAGTGCGTAAACTAACAAAGGATGAAAAGAAAAGACTAGCCATGGCAATGAGAGAAAAGCAATTAGGTGCATTAGGAATGAGTACTAATGAGAAAGGACAGGTAATTTCTCATGTATACTAAGTTGAATTAGCTGTTGATATTAAATATGAACCCATAATGCATTGTTGTTTATTGACACATATTTTATACATGTTATTACTTGTGATATATATATAACTAGGTATTATGAAAAACGAATAATTATTTTGTATTTGCTTTGAAATTTTATATGGTTAAAGATAGGGGTTTACAAAAATATAAAAGTTTTAGGTTTTATGAAATGAAAAGTATAATTTTTTTTTCTTTTGCTTTATGTTAAATTTTACTGAAATATGTTAGAGTGAGTGATGTTCAGGCACATGTGATTTGTAAATCTTTGGTCAAAGATATATCTTTTAGAAGTTTCATGCATAAGGAAGCATAATATATTATTAAGTCAGCCACCTAAACTAAGGGCTCTAGCAAAAAATTTTATGATTTGTTTTATTAAGAATAAATTGTTGTGTCATATTTATTATTGGATAGTGCTAAATTTATGAAGACAAGCCTAAGATCATAAGAATTTGATAAATTTCAATTTAATTCCATAGATAAAAAAGATTAAGTCATTTAAAAGGAATGTTGATTGTTATGGATTGCTATTGTTCTGATCAGAATTCTGTTCTGTTTTAGGTCACTGCTAAAAGTTCTCTTCTTAAAAATGTGGAAGAACTTGGTGAAGAATCTGGTTTAGTGTGTATTATCTGTCGTGAAGGCTATAAGTTTCAACCTACCAAAGTTCTTGGCATTTATACTTTTACCAAGCGCTGCAATGCCGAAGATTTTGAAAATCGCCCTAGAAAAACACCTGGTTACTGTACTGTTACTCATTTTAATGTTGTTCATGTGGACTGCCATATGGCAGCTGTCAGGTAATATCTATTATATTCATTTCATTATTTAGATTATTTATTTAGTGATTGAAATATTTCAAAACAAATTACAATTTTAATGCAGTTCAAATATCATACTATTAAAAGTAGAAAAATAATGTTCCCGGTAACTTAGTTCCTGAATTAAAATACCATCTGATAGACTGAAAACTATCAATGTAAATTTATTTAGTAGAAGTTACAAATTATGTTTTCAAACCTTAAAATGCTACTGTTCTTTTCTTTGTGTTGTGAAAATTGAACACAATCTATGCAGAGCTGGGCCCAACTATAAATAATATTTTAGCAAGTGAGAAATACATTTCTTGAGTTATCCTCAAAGGTAAAGTGTGTAATTTCAACAAAAAAAAATTAAAAATTACTATGAAAGCATTAAAAAATTTTGGTATTTTTATACCGGTTTATATTAAACAGCCAAACAATTTCAGGTAAATAGAAAACTATAATTAATGTAATGGACACTGTACGTCTTAAAGGAATAACATGGAAAAAAGGAAACAAAAAGTTTTAAATTATATTATTTTTTTTTACTTGTAACAATTTCTTCAAGTTATCAAACTATTTAACATGACTTTATCGAATTTTAAAATTCATTTTATAAGAAATGTTTATTTTTTTTTTTTTTTTTTGTAGGCATGCAAGAGGTCGAGATGAATGGGAAAGTGCAGCTCTGCAAAATGCTAATACTAAATGTAATGGGCTTCTTCCACTGTGGGGTCCTCAAGTTCCTGAATCTGCTTTTGCCAGTTGTCTTGCCAGGTTTGTAATTTGACCATCTTATTTTACTAGTAGTAATTGAATAAAATATTATTAGATATAACTGGCTAGTTATAGTCAGTTAAATTTTCTATTATATTTGAGGAAATAAAATTATATCTTAATTTTTGTATTTTTCAAAAAGTTATGGTTTTGGTTCAACAAAGAAGATAGCTACTAAAGTATATTTTCAAAACTAATTTGTTTAATAATGTAATTTTTTTTACATTACTTTGAATAAGTTTATGTATATATAATATTGTATACTATAGATTAAATATTGTGTTGTAAGTAAACTAAATAATATTTATATGAGTCTTAAAATATTATACCTATCCATGTAATCAAGAATTAATAAATGAATATTATTTTGCCATCAAGTAGCTGGTCAAAAATCTTTTTCTTTTTTTTGTTTTTGAAAAAAGGTGAGTTTATTCTTTTTAATGCTCATTATATTATAGTGGATTTATGAAATAATAAATAAATTGAAATAGTTTTGTTTTTATCTAAAATTTATTAGCATGCAGTGGAAATCTTAGGCATTCAGATAACTAGGGGTTGGCAGCTATGTATTTGCGAATTTGAAAATTTTTATCTGATATGTAACAAATTTAGACTATTCTCAAATTTCCAAATGTGTTGCAAATGTAATTAAACATCCTATTTGATGTTCGCAATAAAAAGTGCATTGTTTCTAGTACCTTTTCAATAACATCAGAAAATTATAAAAATTTGTTCAAGTTAATGATTTGCTGCATAAAAAAGTGAGACCTCTGCTAAACACAGGCATATTTTAAAGAAATTTAAAATTGTCAAAAATATCTATTCAATTATGGGGGAAGAAACTAAATAGTTTAAATCTTATTTCAGTCTAAGAAATCTGTTATGATTTGGTAAAGTTAGAATTTCATTTGGTACTGGGCAACCTCCCTGTTCACTATCTCTCACCAATGATTAATTCACAATCATTGTTTTATCTTGAGATAATACAATTTTTTTCTATGAAAGTTGAAATTATTCACTTCATCCTATCATTAGGTATAGGAAGTAGGGGCATAAGCAAGCAGAATAGGAAAAATTCTGTTTACTTACGTGCCAGATGCCACTTCTGAGGTCCAAATATTTCTTAATGATTCTGTTATGATCTATTAGTTAACTTGAATAATTTTGAACAGTGATTAATAATTAAAATTAAAAGTATGCTGTGATAAATTCGGTTAAAACATTAATGTAATTCACACCAAAAAATAATGTTTGTAAATCAGTTAATAAGTTTGGATACTGATTTAAGTAAGTTTAGAACATTAATGTAATTCGGTTAGAACATTAATGTAATTCACACCAAAAAATAATGTTTGTAAATCAGTTAATAAGTTTGGATACTGATTTAAGTAAGTTTATCTTAAAATGTAGCTTAATATGGTAATATCATAAAATTGTGTTATAATACAAAGACAACTCTATTATTTCTCAATGTTTAATTTAGAAAACAATCAAAATTGTAATAGTACCATTGTAAAGTAGGAAAATAAATGTTACAGGTAAGTACCTTTAAATTTAGGATAAAAAAATATTTTACAGAAAAAATTACCTTTATGACTTTTATTAATTTTATGCTGATTAATACCAAAAATAATATGAAAATTAATGTGGGGAACTGGACCACATGATTTTACGGCCAATGAAAATGCACTACAATAATTGAAAACTGTGGCACTAACATTAGATTTTTTTATATATTGTGTAAAATAAGTTTGTGGTGCCTCTGAATTTTTTATTTATTTATTTTTATTAAATGTCTTCTGTTTATTTCACTAATTCAATGTTGTTTCTAAGTAATCTGGCAGTACCTAAATTAATTTTTTTTTAAATCTATTATAGGCATAACACATACCTTCAAGAGTGTACTGGTCACAGAGATGTTGGATATGCTTCTACAGTCCATGATCTAAAACTCTTACTTCAGAAATTCGCCTTTGAAAAATCTTTCAGTGAAGACAGCGGTGGAGGTGGACCTCAAAGCAATATGCATCTTATTCCATATCTTATACACATGACTCTCTATGTTATTAATACGTGAGTATTTTTCATAGTTGTTATGAGAATAGGAACTGACCTATAAATCCTGTATTTTTCAGAAAAGTTTCCTATATTTTTAAAAATCATCTTATATTTTGCTTTCCTGAAATTTTTCAGATTTGTCGCATTACATGTTTTCAATTTTGCTATAATATAAAGTTCTGATTTATCATAATTATAGATGCTTATATGTTTTATATGTTCTCAAAATGCATTAGACGGATCATGGGTTAGAGTCCACTTGTTGTCAGGCTAACCATGTGATGTTTTAGTGGTATTCCACACCATTTAGCGTGACAGTTTAGATTGACAGAGCATGAACAATTATATATTTTTTTTAATATTTGAATTTGTTTTTCGTTTGCTATATTTTCATAAAATGTTTTTTTTTTGGGTATATATTTCTTTTTTTTTTCTTTCTTGATATGTTTTACCCTTATATATCTGCAAATATAATATAGTTTTATTCCAAGAACTTTAGTTTACACTTATGTTTCTCTTTTCAGAACTAGATTTGTAAACAGCGAAGAAAAGAATATTGTTAATTTTCTGGAGATGCAGAAAAGCAAATTGGTGGAAAATTGTTTTGAGGTAAATTTAGCTTTTTCAGCGATTATAATATTATCTACCATATTCGAAGATTTAATTTTCCTTTAAAATTTATAAAAATAAAGTGTAGTTTAACATTTTTATATTTTTAATTTCAAGTTTATTTACTAAGACTATAGTCACTAATAAATTATAAACAATATAATAGTCAATGTTATAGTTCAAATCTCATCAATTTACCTTTTTCTTTTTAGTTGGAAGGTCCTTTGTATTGGATGATTATGTGTGTTATCGTGTTTCCACCTAGCAAATGGCAGAAATTAAAAATCAACTTCCTAAAAAGAATTGTTATCCTTGCTCAAGCAAGGCATGTGAGTCCTCAAGGATGCGTCAATTTGAATGATTCTGCTATAAAAGACTTTAATGTATATAAATCGTATCTTCTTTTTTATGGTCTAATTGATGGTCTCTATAAGAAAATGTTTAAGGTAAGTGTTTGTATTTGACTTGATTTTTATTTAAATAAAATCAATAATATTTTCATTTTATGGTTGTAAGACAATTTATTTAATAGTTTTTATCTTTTATCTGAATGGAAACTTTGCAAGCTATTACTTCGTTTCGTGATTTTTTGTTCAGTTACACCTAAAAACCGAGGTTAGGTACTTGAGTGTGATTTTACAGTGTGGAATTATAAACTAAACTAAAAAACTCAGTGGCGCGACAGCCCATTAAGAGGGCCAAGGCCGACTGTGCCCATCTCAGTTTTCTTGACCTTGGGCTCTGGGGTGCAGGAGCATATGTTCCGGTCAGGTGGTCAGCCGAACACGGAACCCCCAGTGTTAGTTCCCAAGCATGCTTGGTACTCATTTTATCGACCCACTGAAGGGATGAAAGGCTGAGTCGGCCTTGCCCGGCCCAAGGATCGAACCAAGGACCTGTGGCACGGCAGCGCGAAGCGCTACCACTCAGCCACCGGGCGTGGAATTATAAACAAAAAGTATTTAAAATAAAATAATTTTAAGAAAGATCTTCTGTTCTTTTTTTAATTGAATCTAATAAATATTTTTTTTCAATACTTCATATTTTTATGAATATCATATTTTTTTTAATATCTTATTTTTTTCACTATGACATTTTATTTTAGAAAGTTACTGTTACCGAAAATGAAGAATGGGCTGTTGTGCTTGCTGATTTTATTCGCCAGAATGATCAACCATTGCTAGAAGCTGGTGATAATCTACTACGTTTCTTTGAAGATGATTTAGTCCCCGTTCAATCTTTTGCTGAGTTCTGTGATGTTCTGGGTAAATATTTCTATTATTTCTTTTGAAAAAGGCAATTTTATCTTACTAAGGTGCTCTCAAAAATTTGATTAATGGTCTCGTAAAATCAAGAAAATAAAATATATTGACGAAACACGTTTATTTGCAATCAAATTTATTACCATTAGCTACAATACTTATTGATTGTACAGCTATTAGAAACTATCAACAAAGTTTTCTTTGATTATCACTCATTGCACACTTATCACACAACAGTATGTCTTTATAGCCATCTTTTCTTTTATCGCTAAAATATTTAAACCACTTAAAAACATACATGTTTACAAACATTTGAAGTGTCACTGCCATTGCTTTATCTAATTTGAAGCAAGAACTTCACAAGTTATTTTATTTCATAATGACATGTTTTTTCTCATTGATCATTAATTTGGTTGTAGTGCTAGTTTGAACTTGCCTGTTAAGACTTGAACACTAGAGGGATTTAGCTATTATATATCTTGCTACTTCATACATCTGTGAAGCATGATATCCCAACCGGTGTCGTTATTCACTTATGGGATCATTCACTGAACTTTCTGAGAACACCTCAGAGGTAGATATTAAAAATATTCGGTCATTGCTCAAAGGGATCAGTAACTAAAATATATTACTAGTCCAGATACATTTTGATTGGTCCATGTGAATGTAATGTACCTATTATATTTTTTTTGAAAGTTAATGAAATGAATTTAAATTGAAAATTACTATACTGAGAATATGACAATTATTCCATTTTGTGACAAAAACCAAGTCTAAAAAATTAAACAAAAAAGACATACAGATTACAGAGAACAAAGGAAACCAGTGGCGCAGCTGGAAATGAAGAACATGTACCCCATAACTGGAGAAGGTAAAGAAGGCGACTTATAGTGGTTTAGATAACAACACTTTGGCAGGACCGGATCATATCAAAGTAAAGTTTCAGAAAGTTAAAGAACCTAAATTAATGAGCGAAATACACAACATCATCTCCAATGATTGGTCAATGGACGAAATGCCCATTGAATGGGAGGGTAGATTCTTCATACGATAAAGGATCCTATATGTCCTATATTCAAAAAAGTTTTATTTTGGAATGTAACAGCTATCGAGGAACCAATAATCTTTTTAATACATCTTATTAAATCCTTTCACATATTTTAGCAAAACCATTAATACCTTTTACAAGTTGTTAAGGTANAAAAAAAAAAAAAAAAAAAAAAAAAAAAAAAAGAAAGAAAGAAAGAAAAACCTACTAAAGATCAGATCCACAGCATAAGTCAAATTCTGGAGGAAAAAAAACTATCAAATATAACATAATTACATACCATCTTTTTGTTAATTTTAAGTCAGCCTATTAAGAAACTAATAAACTTTATAAAAATGACCCTGAACAATATAAAATGCAAGGTTAAGTTAGGAACAAAACTAACTGAACCTTTTTACAAGGAGAAAGGACTAAAACAGGGTGATATTTTTCTATTACATCTTGACAGTTATTTAATATTGCCTCAGAAAAAACAGTGAGAGATTTGGGCATACAAACATAAAAAACAATTCTCTAAAATTCACTGTAATTATTAGAATTTGTTGATGATACAGGTATTTTATATAGAAGTAAGAAAAAAAATTTGAGCTAAAAATTTAGGTTTAATCGTCAATGAAAAAAAGACTAAATTCATGTCAGTAATAAGTAAAACTTAGATTCATGGCCACTGAACTGAAAATAAAAGAGTTTGATCTCTTTAAATACTTGGAAGTAAACAATAATAATGATATTTCAATCAAAATCTATAGCAGTGTAAATATGGCTAGTAGATGCAATTTTGGTTTTAGAGGATAGTTCATATCAAAGTACTTGTAGGGAAACACGAGAAACACAAGATATTAGTAAGTTTTATGTATGAGTTCTGAACAATAAATAAATCAGAAGAAAATAGACAACATGTATTTGAATGAAAGGTCTTTAGAAGAATTTTTTGATTCAGTGAAGGGGAATAAGATACAACTTTAAACTATACAACAAATTCAGGCAAACAAATTTAGTGAAATTTATTAAAATTCAACAAATGAAAGGTCTTGGTCTTATCTGAAGATATGACATGAATTCAGTAGAAAAAATTACTTTTCAAAATCCAGAAGAGGAAGGAGAGAGAGAGAGAGAGGTAGACCATGTTGAATATAGTTAGAATATTAAAGATTGACCTTCTATACTATTTCTAAATAATCTAAATCCTAATAATCTCATGTAAATGTAATGGATATGTAAATTAAATTATCCAATATATATATANATATATATATATATATATATATATATGAAAAAAAATGTTCTCTTCTTTTTTAGATCTTTTGCGAGACCTACCAGATCCTACATGTTTTCTGGATAATGTTCTTCTTTCTTTGGATTCTCGTGACTAATTAGAATATCTTTGTACTTTATGTTTAATTTGATGTTTCGTCGTAGAATAATGTGCATAAAAATTATTTACCAAAATAAAATTTTAGAAACTCAAGCGTTCTTTTTGTTATTTGATAATTTTAAATAAACAATCATTTTAATAAATTTGCAATTTTAATCCTATGTTTTTGCTTATTATAATTTCTTGTGCGAAATTAAAAGTTTGAAATTCATCACATCATTATCATATTTCAACTTCACATTATTTCGAGTTAAAAGATCTAAATATTTCTTTTAGGATAGAAATGTTTCAAAGATCTTTTTATTATTCTTTCACTAATTTATTATTTCTTTTTATGTATAATTTTTTTAAGACACGAATGGAAAAGCAACTTAATAAAATTTTATATAACATCTTATCTATATTAAGTAAACAAGTAATCTTTTATTTGGACATACATTAAAAAAACTAAAACATTAATCTATTTATTAATACTTCACAATCTTTGTATGAACTTAATGAAATAGTATTGGCATTTTAAATAAAAAATGTGTGCAATATTACAGCATAGATAATTTTTCTTAAAGCAATGTAAATTGTTGAAAATGTTATTTAATTACAAATTATTTCGGTTTCATTAATCCTATATAAATAGAATATGGCTGCCACCCATGACTTTACAGTATCCTGCTGAATCAATACTTTTCATGGGGTCTCTGAACATCTTGCATTGGACGGAGTATCCGGCATTTGTTTTGTCTTGCATTTGTTCAGTTTCACAAAAGTTACATACTGCTGACTCTCATCCGCAACCCCCTCTCTTCAGTCATACAAGAGGAACTTCTTATTCTTTTAAAGTTTGAGAAAAGGTTGAGTTTGTTTCAACTCCTCAGTCTTTAATCATTTGCTTTATCAAAAATTTTTTATTCCTGTTTAATGCCTGTTAAGTTAGTTTTTTTTTCTCTCTCTATTTTTGCTTCTTTTTTTAAAAAAATAATTCTTTACATAATAGTTTCTGTACATTTGAATGGAACACAGTGTCAAGGTACGAATATAGCTTTTTCGTTTTTAGAGAAAAATCCTTTTCTTAATACTAAAAACAAAAGTTTGATAACAATTTTGTTACTTTACCATTATATAATAACTTTTTGAGCAATTTACAAGATTATATTCTGTTATAGTGGTGAAATTTTAATTAATTTGAAAGGGTGTTAGCTTTGTTATTTGATAAAATTCAATAAATGTCCTTGATTATATTTTTGTATTAAGTTATTCTAATTCTTGTAGTAAAATTAATAGCACCTGGTAGCATAAAAATTCGAATGTTTCATCAATTACCACAAATTTTCTAAATTTACTGCCCTTAAGTTGATTGGTCTTTTGAGAACTCCTGAGAAACTTATAGTAGCAGAAAAATAGTGTTTTAGGTAGAATTCATTCCCACAAAGACTGGGATTGAATCTTTTAATGATTTTTTATTTATTTATTATTATTATTTATTTATTTATTTTTTTTTTGTTTATTTTTGACGTAATAAAAGTTTATGAAACTGAGTGTGCAGAACCGTTTTTTGGCCACCATCCTGGAAAAATATCAATTATTAAAATTAAATTTTGTTAAGCGAAATGTTTAGAAAGATAAAAGTGCAAATGCTTAATATACGCTTTTTTTTTTATCTTGAAAATACATTTAAAAAAATTTTTATTTGAAAAAAAATGTGTAATAACAAATTAAAGGATATTTCAAGTTGGAAAATCAAATATTGGTTTTTTGATGCAAAATGTTTAGAATGATGAAGCCAATTTTTTAACACACCAGAAAATTCTGATTGTGTAAACACATGTTTTAAGTCTGCCATTTTAAAGAAGTTGTGAAAAATCATATATGTTATCATTTAAATTATTTTAAGTTGAAAAAGATTAGCATAGTGATTCTATGAATAAAATTAAATGTAGGCTAAAAATTGAAAATAATATACTGTCAAGAGCCATATTTTTATAAATCAGAATGTGCTTTTGAATACAAGCATATCCAATATTTTAATGTGGCTAGCTAAATCTAACAGTCTTCTTCAATTTCTTCTAATTCACTTTCTTTTAGTGTAGTAGTTGTGCATTCTCTACTAGAACTATTACATCATATTACTTGTACATTTCACACCAGAACGTCATTGTGTACTTTTACTATTACCACACTTGTAATTTAAAATAGGTCTGTCATCTAAAGTTCTTGCTAATAATGATGTATCACTTTTTCTTAATAACTGAGTTCCTGGATCAAATAGACAGTTCAGAGAAGTTCGCTTTCAATTTCTGCAATCTTTCAGTTTGGCATTCTTTGAATTAAGAATACTGCGTTGATATGTTGTGTTACTTTGCCAATAATTTCTAAAAGTCTTCATAGTGTCAGCTTTATCTTTTTAACTAAGATAACAGTTACAGAGTTGGAAAGATTTCTAGCGTCAGACATTTCAAGATGTTTTTCACTGCTAGCTCGAGAGACATTAGTAAGATGTCTCATAGCATAAATAATTTCACAGCATACAGGGTGCCTACATTCCCATGTAGCTCATTAACTATCACCCACAGGGACCGACTTACAGATTTGGGGGCCCCGGGCACAGATGAATTTGGGGGCCCCAGTTAAAGAGCCGATAAATTTTAGTTAACATGCAAGGTCTTAAACTAAATATTGAAAAAGTATTTTTCAGACCATAAAAATTGCAAGTAACATGAAACCTTATTTAGAAGTACGTCCCCCAGATATTCAGAATTTAATTTAGTGAAATTGTTTAAAAAAATACTAAAATTTAATAAATATGTCTAGAGGTTTTGGCTAGAATGTTAAAAATTATGAAGGAAACAAGATATTTGTACCCAAATCTAATAAAAGTAATTGAAGTCTGATAAAAGTAATCATCAACATTCGAAAATTTTTAAGATACCATAAACAACAATGATTAACTAATGCAACAAGCTTCAGAGAAATTACTAACAGAAGTTTATAGCTGAGTCTTGTAAAAAGAATGGCCTTGCACTAGAGCATTAAAAGTTGTTATAATACTGTAATAAATAATGTCAATAGCAAATTACTTTGCTCTAGTGTGAGTGCGGAGTAAATAGTAATGATATAATGGAATAATGCAAGTACCCCATTCATGAAATTTGATAGTTGTCCCTGTTCTAAACATTCTTTCAAAGGGATCTTCTACACAAGGTTTTGTATTGGCCATGTAATGTAAAAGATCATTTATTGGGAAAGGGGGCCTCTCAAATGTTGGGGGCCCCGGGCACGTGCCCCAAATGCCCTCCTGTAAATCAGTCCCTGATCACCCATGCTTCTTCTGTGCGTTGTTCACACCTCGAATTTTTGTTGATCACATTAAAATATGCGCAATAAACATATTTGTTCATATTCCAGGCCACAATCTACCAACGAAAAATGAAATGACCAGCACACAAGTAAGCTAGCTTGACTTCATGTTTTTTTGTTTCAATTTTCTTATTTCCTGTAGATATACCCTGGCACATTTTACATAATGATATATAGTACTGATGACTAGGGGCGTCACCTCCAGTCAAGAAGCAAAAATTGCTTGAGTAGAAGCTTAAATTGCTTATGTGGCAAGATTTTTAATAAATCCAAAAAGATAATTATAAATTTCAATTTCAAGACGAATAGTTTTCAATATTTTCATTCCAATAATTTTTTTCTTATCGTTACAAAATACTCTATTTTGCAAAAAGAATAGAAGTATTTTCCCCTAGTTCCAGAAAAAAAAAGCCAAGGTTAACATTTGGCAAGGTTGGACTAAGGATAAACCTGAAATGATTTCCCTTGAGCTCCTGCTACTATGTTGGACCCTCCTTGAAGATGAAACGCTGGTACCCCATATTCATTTACATTTACAAGCGTATAGAAAGAATTTAACATAACTTTATAACATATTTTATTGTAATTTCTTTCATTCTTATCATGAATAAAATATTTTTACAAAATTGTTGAATCTGACTGACGGCAGGAAAACAAAGCATTGTTTCAATTACTATAGGAAACATCACTGATGCAAATGTAATGTTGGACTTCTCCTGATACGTGTTTAAATCCAGAGGTGTTCCTTATAAAATGGAAGAAAGAGAGAAAAATATTTTAATGCAAAGTGACCCTTGATCTTTGTATGTACAAATTAAAATACAAAATTTCGCACTATTTGCTTCGTAATATGTATTTTATAGATAACGCTGTTATGAACCAACAAAAGTAATTCTAGTTACAACAAAATCAATTTTCTAGAATAGGAAACTTACTAGGTCATTTATAAAACAAAGTTTTTAAAAATGAAGCATAAAATGCTTAACTTGCTAATAAAAGCTTGCAAAACACGTTTCAAATTAGAAAATGAAGAAGTCAGTAAGAGTTTCTTGCATTTCCGTAAAATTAAAAATAGTTCATTTTAAGTAACTTCTTATCCAAGTCAAAAATTCGTCATCACAACGGTCGAATACGCCATCTGAGAGGAAGACCGATTCTATGTCTAGACCCTTCCCTCTCCATCTACTACGATATTCCCCCCTTTCTTAATATTTTTTGTATTTACTTGTCAAAAATATTTTTTTAAATTTTAACGACGAATTCTTTTAGAACTATGTCCAATGTAGTTTTCAGTTCCTTATAGTTTCCAAACTTAAAGGTTTTTAATATATTTTAAAATCAAGACAGAAACTTACACACTACTATCTCCTATGACTCTCCACGCGCTAATGGTGAAAGCATGCGAAGTGTTGCCATAGTTGGAGAGTTCTGTTTTACGTCAACTGTAACCTATTTCGATCTCCAATTGTTAAAGATTCCCTCCAGACCCCATATTTTCTGTCTGGGCAGGGGCGGATCCAGAAATTTTTCCTGGGGGGGTCGTAGACTCAGATTTCGTTTTAATCTTTTGGATTATGATTCTTGAAACAGTGAAGAACATAATTAGATGGGGAAAAAATAGATTTTACCGACCTACCTAGGTGCATATGCCCCCTTAAATAATTTTTTAAATATTTTATTTCTTTTGTAAACTATTAAGAAAATAATTCTTTTTTTCAATTGAGGGGGGGCATGACCACCCC